TGTCATGAGAATATTATGTTGAAACATTTGCTCTTAGTCAACTTAAAATATTCTGTAGGTTATTGTTCAAATTCAAAGAGAACAAGCAAAGCGAGGAGGCTGAAAGAGACCCAACTCTAGTTTCTGATTATACCTTTGACACTGTGCCAAAAGCACCAAAACATGTGTTTTTCAACAGAACTGCATTAAAAATTAAAGCTATACGGGTGGGAAATGAATGATACAGTGTGCACTGCTCTCATCTGTGCTGCTGACTTTACCTGCTGTTAACAAGACATATCTATACAGAGCAGCCTCAAACTCCTTAAAGCCTCTGGCAGCCTACATGCTGTACAGCAACATGGGAGCAACAACTGGGGCAAACAATGTTATTAACACAAAGAAACAAATGACTTAATTTATTACATTTATAGAATTTACAGGATTCTGATAAGTAAGAAAATAAAGGCATGATTAGGTAAATTTAACCTGGAAAAGAGTAGATTAGCTTAGTTTAGACATTAGCAGAATCAGGAATGGACTAAGCCAAGTCTATTCATAGCTGGTCTATCAACTATATATTAGTTTGTCTGTAAAATAAATATGAAGAAAGGGTGAATAAGGTAATATTTGGATATTATAATGTGCGTGACCACCCCATTAAAGGAAAGACGATACTAAAGACATTAAATGCTTAATTGCTTTAAGAAAGAAACCCAGCTGTTAGAGGAAGAGCATGAACATTTTTTAAGGGAGTGTGTAAAAGTGTTTTTATCTATCTATCTATCTATCTATATATCTATCTATCTGCTTCAACTGTACTTTAGGGCTAATAAGCTAATGTTAGCATGCTAATGTTAAATTGAGATGGTGAACACGGTTACATCATCAGATAAAGCTCAGCATGTTGGCATTGTCACAGTGAGCGACCACTTCATTAGTACTGTAGCACCATTTCTCATGTAAAGACTCTTATTAATGGATTTACTTTAAATAAATGTTGTAAACCACAACTGTAAAACATAATTTCATTTTATCCAGAGGAGTTTTGTGTCCCTGATGTATTCAGAATCAACAACTTTCTTGTCTCTGCAGCTCTGTGGACCTTTGTACAACATCTCAGTTCAGAGTGACACCACTGTGGCACTCTCCCCTTGTTCTATAATGATTGTTTGTTCTTTTTTCAGTGAAACAAAACGCAGCAGATCAACAGACGTATGACGTCCGACAGCTGATCTCCTTCCACTGATGAAGTGAAATACGGTGTCTTGTTTTTATAATTTATAGTTCCTGTTGGAATGCGAGGCTGGACTTTTGTAGTTTATGTGTCAGAATATTGCATATAACACCTCAGCTAACAGTCATGTGAGGTTTTTATATTGAAATGTTTAAGAGAATATATTATCTGTCATTTAATGTTGTTAAGAAGTTGTCATTCCAAGAAGCAGGTTCACTGTGTTATCTTCTTCAAGAAACAGTTCAACACTTTCCTGCCCAGCGTTAGATGAGAGCATCATTGATGCACATTTTATAAAACGTCTCAAAAGTCAACATTGAAAGTGTTCACTCTGTTCCAACACCTACAGTCAGGTCCATAAATATTGGGACATTGACTCAATTCTAATCTTTTTGGCTCTATACACCACCACAATGGATTTGAAATGAAACAAACAAGATGTGCTTTAACTGCAGACTTTCAGCTTTACATCCAAATCAGGTGAACGGTGTAGGAATTACAACAGTTTGTATATGTGCCTACCACTTTTTAAGGGACCAAAAGTAATGGGACAGATTAACAATCATAAATAAAACTTTCACTTTTTAGTCATTGGTTGCAAATCCTTTGCAGTCAATTACAGCCTGAAGTCTGGAACGCATAGACATCACCAGACGCTGGCTTTCCTCCCAGGTGATGCTCTGGTGATGCTCTGCCAGGCCTCTACTGCAACTGTCTTCAGTTCCTGCTTGTTCTTGGGGCATTTTCCCCTTCAGTTTTGTCTTCAGCAAGTGAAATGCATGCTCAATCGGATTCAGGTCAGGTGATTGACTCGGCCATTGCATAACATTCCACTTCTTTCCCTTAAAAAACGCTTTGGTTGCTTTCGCAGTATGCTTCGGGTCATTGTCCATCTGCACTGTGAAGCGCCGTCCAATGAGTTCTGAAGCATTTGGCTGAATATGAGCAGATAATATTGCCCGAAACACTTCAGAATTCATCGTGCTGCTTTTGTCAGCAGTCACATCATCAGTAAATACAAGAGAACCAGTTCCATTGGCAGCCATACATGCCCACACCATGACACTACCACCACCATGCTTCACTGATGAGGTGGTATGCTTTGGATCATGAGCAGTTCCTTTCCTTCTCCACACTCTTCTCTTCCCATCACTCTGGTACAAGTTGATCTTTGTCTCATCTGTCATTGGATGTTGTTCCAGAACTGTGAAGCACATCTTGTTCGTTTCATTTCATATCCATCTGTACACATCTGTATTCTTGTGTCCTTGAGCACTAAGATGCCTTGGTCAGAAATATACCAACACAAAGTTTACTAAACCCACATTAATGAACACTTCTGCTAACACCACCTCAGGGCTCAGTGTATCCCACAATTCACCACGGTTTACTCCTCCACACCGGTCCAGTTGTTTGTGGCTATGAGTCTGTAGACTGGCTTTAGGACTGACAGTAATCAACGGACCTGATGTTTACAACATGTTGGATTCAGACAGAATATTATTATTATTAATGTTCAGACACACAACAGTTGTAACAGACCCTCCTCATTTAATATTAACAATATGTTCTGCTTGATTAGTCCGCATATTGATATGCTATATCTGATATTGTAAGGAAGAAATATGAAATCTTATCCTTCCATCCATTCCTTTCCTAAAACTTCAGCTGGACAGAAACCATTTACCAAACCAAATATTTATCTTATATACAGTCTTTACGAGTACTACAGGCTCATAAATAAAGTCTTTATTAATTGTATTCCTCTTCTCAGCTCCTGAATGTGTTTTGTATTATGATTTCAAACTAATACTGTATGGGCGATCCTGTAAATGTGTTCATTATGTGAAAATTTAATAAAGCTGGCTCTGTCAACTGTTTTAAACACGTTGTGTCTTGCTTGTTAAATCTGCACGTCATATACAGAAATGTTAAAAACCAACAAAATATGGGCTAGGGTGTTTTTTGAGTTATCTTGATGACTCCGTCCATCCTGTCCAATGACAAATGACAATGCACGTCATAAGGAGCCCAGGAACAAATTGTTTTTGTCTTGTTGCACAAGGTCCTAAAAGATGTAGGGTGTCCTCTGTAAGTGCCTGTATATTAGAATTAAAGGATGTTTTATAATTTATTGTAATAAAGTAGAAATAATTACTCTTGGTGTGGTTGAGGTGAACCATATATGTTCTTAGAGGGTCGTTGTGCAGCTAAGTGTCCTCGTAAGTTTGAGGAGTCATCTGATGAAAGTAGTGATTGCTCTTGCACAGGTGCTCACTTTTTACCCTCCCTTTTGGTTTAGTTTAGTTTGGTTAATATTACTGAATTAGAATTGTGTTTTAGTAACTGTCTTTAACTTGTTTTTAACCCCTTGTAGACTGATCAAAGTTCTTGAGTTACAGTTCCAATGATTTAATTATTGTGTGGTGCCACAATCATCTAAATACAGATGTAGTACACAGCATCTTCTAAAACCTAAGAAAATAAGATGTGGATGGGATTTTTGGTCATAAATGACATAATCCAAAAGCCGCAGGTGCAGATTTAGTGATTTGAAAGCCTTAGGTAAACCCAGGCACCTTTGCAAGTTGATTACTTGCGTGTAAAACACAGTGTTTAACTCGATACCAATGAAAAATCACACATTTAAAAATCACATTTAATTAATTGTTGAATTTTTCAATTACTTGACAGAAAAATAAATAAATTACATTTATTTAGCTGATGCTTTTATCCAAAGAGACTCGCAATAAGTGCATCCAGCCATCTGGATACAACCCAAAAACAATGTAAGTACATCAACTTCATCAAATATGCAGAACCGCTTCAAGTGTTACATTAAGAAACAATAAGAGCTAAAGTTTTTTTCCCCCCTACAGGCCAAGGTGCAGTCTAAACAGATGATTTTTTTGTTGTCCCGATGTCAATGCGGAGCGTGTTCCACCATTGTGGGAGCCAGAACTGTTTTACCGATCAGCAGCTACAGTGTGTGATATTGCAGATGCATGCAGGTTGTTGAATTATATTTTTTATTTAAACAGTAATGAGTTTATTTATCCATCATCTTTCACATTATTGTTAAGAAATATTATGCTTCTCACGAAGTTGTATTTTGACATGAAGTTCTTGAAGTTATAGAAAACATATTAGTCATTCAAAGTGGTCATATTATGCTCATTTTCAGGTTCATCATTTTATTTAGGGGTTGTAACAGAACAGGTTTAAATGATTTCATTTTTAAAAAACACCATATTTTTGTCATAGTGCACACCTCTTTTCACCCTGTGTGTTGAAGGCTCCGTTTTAGCCAGGAAGTGATGCATCTCACTCCTACAAGATCTGTGTTGGGAGTTGCACATGCGCAGTACCTAGTTAAATACAACTAGCCAATCAGCAGCCTGCAAACACTCACTTCGGTTCAGCTGTACATGTCCCCAATACCAGCTTAGCAACATGGACTGGAGCAAGAGTTTCAGAGTGGTGAGTTATTTATTTATTTTTTACTGAGCTCCGTCTCTACATCACAGTAACAACTTTATATTCATTGGCTGTTTGGAGGGTAGCTAGTGTTTGGAAGGGAGAGGGGAGGCAGCAGACGGACATCTCGTCACTGTGTGCTGCAGCTTTGTGTTTTTCCATCAGTGTTTTTGAGCGCGTGTCGGACTAGCTGCTTGGTGAGCATTTTGCTGTGTCGTCACAGGGATGAAAGAGAAGCGGCTGGACTCAATAAAAGGAGAGGAGGGAAAAAGCCAAAAAGCATAATAATGACCTCTTTAATTGTATATGTACAGCAATGTACCTTGAGTTTGATGGTGATTAAAGCAATAGTAATAGTAATACAATAGTAAATATTTAAAGCAATGACGAATAATGCCCATATCCAAAATCCAACACATTCATTTATTCACGGAATGGGACCAGAGCCTGGCCGTCCTATACGCTCACTATGCATTTTGCATAGGGACCCGCAAAGTAAGCAAGGCCCTGCCTTCCTCTCATGTCAGAGTGAGTATCAATGTTCACAACTTTGATGAGAAGTTGAAGAGAAAACTATCGAGAAGAGAAAGTAACTAAATGAGAGTAAATTGTAGAAACAGCAGTCAGATAAACTTGTGTTCTCTCCTCTCAAAGTCTGATGTCAGCAGATTACAGTAATGTTAAGTTCACGTGCTAGCTTGCAGTGAATGTCACTCTAGTCTGTCTGTCTTGCTAACCCAGTTGGGCAGTGCATCTCTTGGTCTGTCTGTGTTTTGGTTGCCTAACAGACTTTGTGCCTGACCAATGTTAAAGTAAAATTAAAAACGTTTGATAAACGCTGACCAGCAACAGTGTTTACAAACTGCAGCTCAGAAACGATAACCGCGTCGCACATGAACATGTGCTCATATGCGCCTGCACGAAATCAAACTCGCGCATTCCAGCCTGTGGAGCCAGTTTGAATGGGCCTGATGAAGACGATAACATTATCTATTCTTTAAAGGGGCAATGCTTAAATTTGTCAGTAGAGTAAATGCTGGTTGTCACAGCTGATCCACATTCAGCCTTAGCCAGTACCAGCGGAGACCCAGTCCAGACGCCTGTAGCAGGTCACACAGACTCAGGTAAAGTACAGCCAGCATCAGATACAAGCAGCTCAGACCCTAATGGAACAGTCGCTGTTCCTCAAAATAACCCAGCAGATTGGACACCAGTCTTAACAGACTTTATGAAGACTGAGCTAGTGCGCAGAGGTGCATTCAAACCAGCACTGAATTTTTCTTAACCTGAAGACAAGTCTATATGAGGTTTCCATTCAGGCTTACTACAGAGGCAGACTGTTTTCAAGAAGGGATAACTGTAGTCAGAGCACTGTGTTGTCAGGTGTGACTGTGTAGAAATGGCAAATTGTTTACATGGCTCATGAGTCTATTAGGAGGGCTTAGGGTTAGGGCCCCAGGGAGGTTAGGACTGGCTCTGAATGGGACAATTTGATTGGTCCGCATTTACTGCACATGCTATCTATGAGCGAAAAACTAATGAATCTATCAGATAAAAAAACATAACAGACTTTGTGATACATACTTTATTCCCTATATGAATGTATCATCCCCAATTAATCCTAAATATGTGTATTGTAAAATGTATTCTGTTGCACAAGAAAATATACAAGAAGTCATTACGGACTTTCGAATGAACAGCCAGACTGTAACTGCAGTTAGCTGTTTGTAACTGCAGTTCCACTGCTGCTGTGATGAAGATATCTTTGAAAACAGAATGACTCCTGCATTTGGTCACGACATCTGTCCCTCTGCAAACAGTGGATGTCAGTGATGGAAGAGCACAGTCCGTGGTGTACAGTATGTGTCTGCAGTCCTGGCTGGATAGATTTCTTCTTTCTTGGTTTTCTTCTCTACTTATTCTTACCGAGTGTTCTCTGCTTTTCTGCATGCTCTACTATCTTCTCGTCCACGTAAAGGCCTTTGCGGCGGCGGACAGCGTTCATGTATTTGAGGGCCTGGTTGGCAGAGTCGGCTTTCTCTCCGAAGTGCAGGTATTCTTCCTCAGTAGTGGGAACCCAGTATGGATCACTGCTGATGACCTGGGACACAGAGAGGAGAAGATCAATTAAAATATGATGTTAAAGGATAGTATAAGGAAACTTTCAACGTCTCTGCATGTAATTTTGGTCTTTTTTGGTTGTACTCAAGTTTAAAGTTGCAAATAGTTGTATTCTTTTTCTCTATTCTTTTTATCATTCTTATATAACTTGCATTGTTTATTCCATATTTATATATTTCTACATCTATTTATGTCATCTGTATGTTTGTTTGCGTGTAGCACCTCATCACCAAAGCAAATTCCTCGTATGTAAAACACTACTTGGCAATAAAGCTCCTTCTGATGGTTTCTTCTGGTTTAACCGCTCGCGATACAAATCTTCATTATCCCTACAAGATGTATACCGCAAAGCTACTATTCATATCTGTTTATGTCACACAAATCTTTATATCTCAGGTTGGATTTAAATCCAGACTCAGACTTTATACATGTGGCACATGCTCTACCAACCTGGGAGAGGTTGGTAGAGCATGATTCTCACAGATTCACAATTCTCCTGATTCTTTACTGTTTCTGGCAAAATATAAGCCCTGCATCTCTTGCCGGACACTTTCAGCCATTCAAGCCTCTATAATCTTATTTAAATAAAACTATCTGAAAAGGAAGAACTGGTCGATATTTAAACTATGTGAGGGGTCCCATGGATGTATTCAGCAGTTCTGCTTTAAAGGGTTTGTGAGTTGAAATTATTGAGAAGCACTGATTCAGATTGTGTGTCCAGATACTTATACATTACATTTCAGTAAATATTTATATATATACACAGTGTGTAACAGTCACCTCCCAATGGCTGAAGACCAGCTGTGGACTGGCCAATCCGCTGGTCCTCTTGCGAATCTCATCGGAAAATCCGAAGCTCTCAGCCACAGGCAGAACAGCCTTGATGATGAACATGTCTGTCCCTTCTTTCATGTCTTCATGGAGGACACGACCCTCTCGCTTTGCCAGTACACCATATACTCGGCCTGGTACAGGAAGAGACACAGGATCAGGACACACCCAATATACACAGATTCCCTGGAAGAAATATCCAAGGAGGGTTTAATCAAGGGTAACTGGACATGGTTGAAGATATCTGAAAAACAAGGCCAATCCAATCCACCGCGCAACTTACAGGACTTAGGCCCCATCTACACTAGTTTTAAAACCAATACGATCTCCGTCCACAGCAACGTTTTAGCTGCATATCAGAGTTGATCTCCATCTACATTAAAAAGACTGAAAACATGCATCTAGTGGCCGTTCACGTGCACTGGGAATGCCGGTGTAAACAGGAAGCAGATGGTCTGTTCTGTAGTTACAGAAGAATTGGCCCAACAATGCAGCCATGCAGTGTACAAGTGTAGGGTAAGTGTTATTTGCAAGGTACAAAATATTTTAATAATACCAAGTCAAAACTCAGCAGCATCGTGTTTCTGCTTTGCATGACTTATAAGACCCAATCAGAGAGCCAAACGTGAGCGTCTGTGCCATCGTTTCTAAAGTCTTCCGTTTTTGCCCGTCTTCACTAAAACACTACCTGGAGTTTTCAAACTTCTCAGTTTTAGTTTTTACTATACTTTTGCATAGAGGTGTCACCTGGGTTCCTGTTTCTTGAGTTTTCAAAGCCTTGTGGAAGTAGTAATAAACAGATGCTAACAAAATAATCAGTTTTCTCTTTAGTAAAAGGAAGAGGTGCTTAATCTTAATTGTCCAGTGCCGCAGTAGATACTCATGCAAGTTAGAATATGGACAGAAAACTTCAGAAAGAGGTTTCAGTTGTCTGTATTAGAAAACAATTACATGAGGTAATAGTAAAAACTATCTTAGAGAACGGGTGGAATTTCAGCTGTGTACAATCTTTCATAGAGTCACTGCAACACTTAAAAATGCAGCATTTTCAATAAAAGCTGTTGGAGTTAGCCAAATCAAGTAGATATCAAAGTGTTTTTCTCTCATCGTGTTCATGTTCGTCGATGAAGCTCAGCGAGGAAACACTGTCCCAGGAAACAAGAAAGGGGGAATTGTGCACTAGAAATGGTCACCATTTGACCACGGTCAGGTGTCTGGACCTCATCAAGGACTCACACAGGAAACAAAGAACAAAAGAAATGAGTTGTAATTGAATGTACACTAATTGATTTGGTATGTGTAGTTAGAAATTTAGACACTCAGAATAACAGACACAGAAGTGTTTACAAATGGATTCTGACTCAGAGTATGCCAAGCGGACAGCTGGATCCCTGAGCCATACAGAATGTGCTGAAAGACAAATAAACCTGCTTCAGTCAGCTCCACAGTGCAGAAGTTAGAACTTTAACAAACTCTAAACGCTCCCGAGAATGCCTGAGAGGTCCAGGGGTGAACACAGGGGTGCAATCTGAACCACCAGGTGAAACTTTACTGTGTACTCAGCCCCTCCTGTTCACGCTGTACACCCACGACTGCAACCCTCCACATGGAGAGAACTCTTTTGTGAAGTTTGCTGACGACGCCACCATCATTGGCCGGATTTCAAACAACAATGAAGGTGGAAATCACAGAGAAGTAGTGCACAGAAAACAACCTACTGCTCAATGTCTAAAGGCGCTGATAATTGATTTTTAGGAAGGAGGAGATAAAGACACACACTCCTGTCTACATCAGTGGAGCTGAGGTGGAGCAGGTGAACAGTTTCAGGTTCCTGGGAATCAGCATCACAGAGAACCTGACATGGTCGTCTCACATCTCCACGCTGGTGAAGAAAGCTCAGAAACCACTGGATTTCTTGAGGAAGCTTAAGAAGGACAAATTTCCGTGCCAACTTCTTGTCAGCTTTTACAGAGGAGCAATAGAAAGCATCCTGACTGGAAACATCACTAACATGGGACGGCCAGGACCGGAGGGCTCTGCAGCGGGTGATTAAAACTGCTCAGAAGATCATTGGTAACCATCTCCCGAGCATCAGAGATATCGGTGAGGTGCCTGCAGAGCCCAAAGGATACTAAAGGACAGTACCCACCCAGCCACAGCCTGTTCACCCTGCTGCCTTCTGGGAAGAGATAAAGAAGTTTCTGCTGCCGCACCACCAGACTACATTTTTTGAGTGTAGCTTGAAGGGACTACATTTCACACATGATTTAATTGTGTGGCAGAAGTTTGTCAACAATGCTCTCTTACCCAGCACTTCAGCGGTGGCCATAATCTCGCAGGTATACATGGCAGCCATGAGTCTCTGGGGCTGAGCCTGGAAGGCGTGACGGCAGGCCTCCTTCATGGCAGCGATCAGCAGGCCGGAGACGGCGGCCTCTGGCCTGCGCTTGGCTTGGCCCGGCCCTGCTGCCGTGCCGTCCGCCTGTGCAGATGTCTCACTGCTTTGTTCCACTTTGCTGTTTGCTAAAGCCTCATGGGATATGGTGTCGTCCTCCAATGAGTCCTGACGTTGTGGCAAGGCTGAATACTGAATGTCCCACCTCTCCACAGAGAAGCAAACTCCCATCAGGGGCTCCTCACACATGGGCCCTGACAGAGTTGCTAGCTGGAAGCCGCTGACGATGCTGTTATCAAAGTCTCGTATAGCAGTGGCCTGAGCTCCAGACTCTCCCGATTTGTCTCGCCTGACCAGACACTGCCACACCGAGGGCCGCTGGTAGCCCTCAACACTGTTCAGCAGAATGTTGGGGCCATATCTGAAAACAAAGAACAATAAGAAGGTGATTAGCAGTTTACAAGGTAATACAAATCATTCTTACGTGTTCATACAAACCGCAAATATGCAGTACAGCCAGATTCTGAAGGATTTTCTCAAGACGGCACATAATGCTAGTGCTTATCTGCTTTGAAGTGACTATACTATATTACTACATTTACCTAAAAGCTGCATTAATTGAGTTTTTGCCCACATGAAGACAGTGCAACAAGCTGTAAACACAACAATAATATATTATCACCACAGACCGTTATATGGTGTGTACGGTTTCTCAGAAGGAGAATTTTTAAGGAGAAATTTTAAGTTTCTCATTTAAATATCAACATTAGCATTACTCATGTCATGTTTGTGTCCACCTGATGAATGTCCGATATCTACTCTCATTTTTTGGTTGGTTCTCCACCAACTCCTGAGAAAAATATCTGTGTCTTCAGCTGCTAAACACTCCACTATGTTCACCGGCCTTTTCACTAAAAACAGCTGCTGCTGGAAACAAGGTTGAGAAGAGTCCAGTCAGTAAAGTTGTAAAACCAAAACAGTGAGCTGAAAGATGCTAAGTGATTTTAATTAGAAAAAAGGAGAAAACAAGCCTTCTAACTACAATAGGATTAAATAAGTTTATACAAACAAAGCAAATTAGGGAAAACGGTCTGCCCTAAATAAATGTAATAATCACCTATTCGGCCTTCATGAACAGCTTGTTATGTGATGGTAAACATGCTTTGTGTGTATTGGTTTTTCCTTCACATGTAAAAAAGCAACTGTTATATCAGAGGCCTGTGGTGTAAATCACGGATTGTTAGAAGGACTTTCCTTTGTGTTTTTTTTTTTCTCATTAGTGTTTTGCTACCGGATAGGTTTTAAAAGGAGAGTGGGAAGTGACGTTTAGGGGGAACTCTGGAGTGCAACAGGTGAAGCGGTCAGAGTTTAGTGGGCTCTGTGCAATGTTTTTCCAGACGAACTCAACAAAGAAACTGTTTTTGGTGGATTACATGTGGGGACTTCCGGACTACATCATCCCATTGGCTAAACAGACTGTGGCGAGGTTGCATAAGTTAACTGTGAAATATTATTGAGTGCGGCGTCTCGCCACGCTTCACCTGGTATCTTTTTTTCTTCTTACCGCGGAGGACATCTAGTTCAATCCGGAGAATTTAAGTTATTTGAATGAACATTAGATGTGATTTACTTTTCCCTTGCTGTTTGGTGTATGGCGAATTGTTACAAGCTGAGGTAAATAAGGGCAAAATATTCTCCAGAAAAAGGTCAGTCTGCTCTGTTCTTTACATTCCATGTGAACCATGTCACTACAGACAGTGTCAGACCAAACTGAATATATGTTCCCCTCCTCATTCATGCTTTTGATTCATCTCTGCTATAAATCTACCCTAGAGGAGTCACAGTTCATGTGAACCATATCCACATCACTACAGTGTCAGACCTGCGAGGCCCAAAGGCCCAGATACGCTCCACAGCGTTATTCCACTTCCTCCCCTGCAGAAGGCTCTCCAACTGGGCCTTGAATCCAGCGATGTCCTCCAGGGTCCTGGGGGTAACGTCCAGACTCTTCCCCTCCCTCAGGTGCATGTTTATCTGCTCTAGAGTCCGAATCAGTTCTGTGCTACACTCCAACAGATGGGTTACCTCTGTCAAGAAAAACAACATGGAACAGTGAATTTAAGGTATGAGACACTCCCAGTTGCTTTGTCTTCATTATAGTTTGCATCATGTAAGAAAATCTAATATTCTGTAAACAGTTTCATTTCAATGGTCCTTAACTTGATCGCTGGTTTTCTATTCAAGAACCTGAGGAAGATCATCTGGGGTTGAAACATCACTCTCATCCACATGGAATAAGAGTAGTTTGTTTTTGTGTGTGCATAATCTGGTCTGTCTTCATCAGGCTATGCCAATGAGCACGACGAGTTAAATGCAGACTGCTTTTTCACTGTTAGCTTGAATATTCACATTAAGGCAGAAAGCAGGAGTTTTTAAGCATGATATACTTACTGTGTCTAGCTATTTATTATTAAACATATTAGCATTAACACAACAGACACTGCTCTCTGTTGGCTCAGTGACAGCAGGGTGTAGCTTCCTGACTTCCCCAACAAAACTTGCTGCACCAACACGGTCCCATGTTTTGAGAAAGCCTGACAAAGAGTCGGTATTGGACGCCCAGGGATGAGACGGGGTTGGCTGCATGATGCGCTAAATTTTTTCTCTGTAGCCTAAATATTAGCTGCTAGTGCTAGACATACTACCACGCGTAGCCATTTTACTGTTCTGAGTCATGTGGATGTGTGACTGCAGTAAAGAAATAAAGATATAAGTAGCGCAATGAATGTATCCAAATGTAGCAGAGTAACAGTATTGATTTTTCTCTTTAAAAAATTCTCAAGTAAGAGTAAAAGTATGAAGCATTAGAACTACTATGACAAGTAAATTTTACTCAAACAAGTTACTTGAGTACACGTAACGGAGTAAATCTCTGCACAACATACCGCCAGGTTTGTTTGAAGCATACTGAAACCTTTAGCCTGCTCAGTGTGTGTCCAGTTCTTACCTTGTGGCAGGGGGATCGCCCGGACGCTGACAGTGGCCAGTCTGTTGGGAGTGGTAATGGTTACCAGATTACTGTGGTCCACGTGTAGGGTGTCAGAAGAACGACCCTGAGAGGCTTCGTCTTTCACCTAGCAACGTATACATACACATCGACACGTGTTGAGGGCTGAGTTTATCAATCAGTCCAACAAATCTGCTCCTTGACCTACAGTTGGATAGCTGTGCGGTTGACTCACCTGGTGAATGATGGCTACTTTCTGCTGCCTGCCCAGCTCTTCGTTCACCATGTCCACTTTTGGAGGACGCACCACTGTCTCTCTGAATGGAATGATGGGCTTGGATACACTGATCTCAATTTTAGCAAACCTTTAAAAAGACAAGAGAAAATCCTGTTACTGATACCAGTGACAGATAATGTCACAAGCAGCTTCATGCCAGTTTGACATTCTCCCGCATTGTATTCATATAAGAACATTTACTGAAGATATGACCTATTATTAAATCCATTCTGAAACAGAAACAAGACTAAGAGACTAAAGGCAAGCTAGTGGCTGTGCTGACAACATTTAGCAAATTTTGTTAACAAGTCATGGTAAAACATTTAACTTAAGTAGATGCACTGCAGAGGGGATGCCAGTGCCTGGTTCACAACAACTGTTGAACTGAATAGATAAAAAGAGCAATATCCTGTTGGTACATGATGTCCTTGATGTCTGGACTAGTTGAACTAGCAACTGACTGTCCCAATGAGGCCATATAGAAAAACTAAAACAATTGCATTAGAAACTCAACATCCTGCAGCAGGTTAGCATCTCGCACGCCATTGGCCAATCAATCACTTGTAGTGACGTGACGAGTGGTTGTCAAATGTATTTTCTCTAATCTCAATCAATCGGAAATCTCCAGGTCTGAAAAGTGAAGCCACGCGGAACTAACTTATACCTGCATTCTTTCTAATGGCCAGCAGGTGGCGACTCCTGAGAAGTCCAGTTTCCATTAGAAATAATGGTAAAATGACCCTACTCATCAGCTGATTTATTCCCTCAGTAAACACTTTCCTAATGAGTTTATGGTCTCAGTCAGTAGTTTCACGTTTTCTTCGAGACAGCAAGATGTTTGCTTAGTAAATTATATATAATAATACAATACAGCAGCGTATGAGTCAGGGCAGGACTACCTTATGATTGACAAGTTGCTACCATGGCGACCTGTCAATCAGGATAGAGGCACGGGAGAGAGCCTGTCATGTTTTAGTCTGTTAGTATATTTTGAAATATATTACATTTTTGTTTAGTTGTTTTTATTTCCAGGATGTATTTAACGCTTAAACGTGTTAACAGAATAACATAACTTGTCTTAACGGTGGTGGTGGACCGGATGTGAATCATGGTCGCTTGTGTCAAATTGTCAGAAACTTTTACAGCAATATAATGACTATAATGAAAAATGCTGTTCTTTTCCTGGTGAGAGGGGCTGCTTTAACACCCAGCAGATCTCCAAAATATCCAAGCACATGAATTCAAATGCAAAATATTTGGGCTGCCACATGAGCTGCAGCTTTACACACACACTGCATGATGAGACACACACACACACACACACACACACACACACACTGACCGCTCTCGGAGGTCGTCCAGGCAGCGTTGGAGGTGAACCTCACCAGCAGTGACCAGAACATGTTCTCCTGTTTCCTGGATCAGAACCTCAGCACAGGGATCTGCCTGGTTCAACAAACGCATCCCATGCACCAACTTTGGCATCTCACCTAACAAACAAAAAAATAAGGTGGAAACCACCGTTCATGTTTATGTTTTTATTGTCATGGTGGCTTCAAAGCAGCAACAGGTAATTAAATCAAATCGCAACTTTTGATTCATTTCTTTGACATTGTATATTGTAAGGTAGCACAATCCATGAAATGAAGAAGCGAGCTTGTTTTTGTTGTACTGGAATCTTGGTTTATGAGAAAACTTTTAGCCAATCCATCCAGAGGATGTTCAGATATTTCACGAAAGTCAAAACTTTGACCTGCTAGTGGCGCAAGACAGAAAGTCAGGGAATCACTAAAGTCATTAGTGTTTATCTTCTTGGCAATAGTAGATAAAAAAACTGAATAGTTTGAGTTCAGTACAGTAGGTAGTCAATTACTATGAAGTAACTTTGATTTTGAGTACTGACTAGATCACTGATGAGTCAGTGTCCAGCAATACAACTCTCTCAACTAGTGTAAAGAAGCAAAAATGTGGTTATGTCACTTCCTGTCAGTGAGCTTAGTGAGCAAAGGTGTGCACTAGGCTTGGGTGACCTTCTCTATTTTCATATCATCTAATCATGGCTAATTGAGATCACCGATTGGCAATGTGCAATAGATATTGACTAGCAGCTATATACAGCGTGCTAACCTCAACAACCTAGCTGTGGTTAACTTGAATGCTCTAGTTTTGGACACATTTGTGGAGCGGTGTTCATGACACTGACCATTCAACTACGGATTGATTAAGGAATCGCTGGAAAAGCCGGCAACAGTCTTTCCTCCAGCACGTGATCATGTTTTGATTTAGACTGTGCACACAGAGGAGGGGCTATATACAGACGCCTCTGTTTCAATGTGTTTGTGAGAGAAAGGGAGCGAGCAAGCAGAGGTGCAGAGCGAATCAGCTCCACAATGAATTATGATTTTACTCATATTAAATAGTATATTCTATGTGGCGGCATATAGTGTTGTGGCGTGTCACCGCAAATAAATCAATGAATGGTAAACAGCAGTGTGGTGCAGATTCTAGAGACTGTTTTATGTCATCTTGTTCCGATTAGGATTTAGTTAAAATCGCCTTAATATCGAAGCCTGAAAAACCAATCACTGATCATCCCTTCAAACGTCGATAGCTGATCCAATCGCCAATTGGCACGAGCCTAGTCTGCACTGCTTTCATTGCTTTCTAGGGATTTTAAGTAAACTTCCCGTGCACTGGAGCATTGTATAAAATGAGCTTTCTCTCCCTCCTCTCCACGATTTCTGGAATCATGTGTGAGGGAGACCTAAACACAGCTTCAGATTCCCTCTGTGACAGGTGTAGAAGTGCAACAGAAACACATTTCCTGTCGATTTGGTTCAACATTACTGTATCATATGGAATTACTGTAATATGTATTTACCTCTTCAAATAAATTTAATTGTTAGTGTGGTGTACACTGCCAAAAAAAGGTGAAGTTCATGAACTCACTAAGCGTGTATGTGTGTGCTTTCCAAAACCTACTTGGATGTTTGGGTTCTATAGCAACCCGTACGATGGGCGTGGCCTCAAAATTGAGCGGAATGAAGGGCGGGCAGGCGGGTGAAGTTGACAAGGTGGCAGACTTCAAGATATACTCCTCAAGACCTCCGATACCTGAGAGGACAGGAGAGGATAGGAGAATTTAAAAAGATAAAAATAAAGATTACATTAGGGTTAGAAGAAGAGTTAATTACTTTGTCTGTGAAGATTCTCAGTCATCCAAGTCATAGTTATCCAAAGTGGGTTAAAACTCAAAAGGGCAACAGGACTTGGTTGAAGATACGTGAGGACATTTCCCCTCTCATCTGAGAGTCGTCTTCAGTTCTGACTGACATCCCAGCTATTTAACCTCTGCAGGGTTGTTATCAAGGTGACAGATAACGCTTGCTTCGTTAGTGCTCCTGGCTCTAGATACAGTCAGTCATTCTAATCATTTGAGGCACCCGAGGCCAAGTCTAAATGATTCTCACATGAGACCAAATGTGAGTATTTGCTCAATTTATTAAAAACAAAAAAAAGAACATATACATAAGTATTCATAGTCTTTGCCATGACACTCAGAGTTGAGCTCGGGTGCATCCTGTTTCCACTGTTCATCCAGGAGAGTCCACATGTGGTAAATTCAGTTGATTGGACATGATTTGGAAAGGCACACAGCTGTCTATATCAGGTCCCCCAGTTAACAGTGCACGTCAGAGCATAATCCAAGCCATGAAATCCAAGGAATTGAACAACCATCTCTGCAGCACTCCACCAATCAGGCCTATAATGTAGAGTGGCCTGACGGAAGTCACTCCTCAGTAAAAGGCACGTGACTGCCTGCCTGGAGCTTGCCAAAAGCAAGTATCGTGTCTTGAGGTGGTGGCTGCATCATGCTGTGCGGATGTTTTTCAGCGGCAGGAACTGGATGACTAGTCAGGATGGAGGGAAAGATGAATGCAGTAGACCTCCTTAATGAAAACCTGCACTCTGGACCTCAGAGTGGGGCGAAGGTTCTTTATCCAACAGGACAATGACCCTAAGCACACAGCCAAAGATAACAAAGGAGTGGCAACTCCATGAATGTTCTTGAGTGACCCAGCCAGAGCCCAGTGTTGAACCTCATTGAACATCTCTGGAGGGATCTGAAAATGGCTGTGCCAGAGGTGCTTCAACAAAGTATTGAGCAAAGGCTGTGAATACTTATGTACATGTGCTTTTTTCCCGTATATTATTTTTAATAAATTTGCAAAGATTTTAAACAAACTTCTTTCACGTTGTCATTATGCGGTGGTGTTTGTAGATTGAGGAAAATAATGATTTTCATCCATTTTGGAAAAAAGGCTGTAACATAACAAAATGTGGAAAAAGTGAAGCGCTGTGAATACTTTCCAGATGAACTGTAGGCTATATACCATACCACTGCAGATATGGCCCATGAGGCTCATTTATCACACTTTGGTTAAATGTTTTGACTGCTCAACTGATTCCAAAATCTGAAACTGGGTAAAATTTAAGCTTATGACAATTGGATCAGCTATTGGTTTTCCCAGGCACCGATATTAAGGCGGTTTTAACTCTCTATCAGAACAAAGATGACATAAAACCGTCTCTAGAATCTGCACCACACTTCAGTGTTATCCCATTCATTCATTTATACATACCACATACCATTTACTATTTCATTTGTCTAAAATCCTTATTCATTGTGGAGCTGCGCACAACACAGAACCTCCGCCTCTCAAACACACTGAAACGGAGCTGTGTGTAGATAGAAAAACTCTGAGAAGTTAGTCTATTTTCTTAACACAATAATGTCAATGTCAGTGACTGACCTTCAAATAAGTTACAAACAAGTGTGTAAAGAGCCAAGCTAATACAAGCTAATAAGAATAGCTATGTTAATGTTAGAATACAAGGTTGTCAAGGTTAGCACGCTGTACATAGCTGCTAGTCAATATCGATTGCACCCCCCCCTCCGGCACAGTTACACTGTGGTTTTGTGGGAGACACTGTATTGTGCATTTACAGATGTTTCTGCTTGTTTCTCTTACAGATAATAGGCCTATTTCTTCAACGCTGGCATTTCACTGGCATGCTGCAACGTAACAGATCGCCAATCTGTGATCTCAAGTAGCCATGATTAGACTATATGAAAAATGAGAAGAACGCCCAAGCCTAGTGAATCAGAAAGAAGAAACAAACAAATTTACCCAAGACATTTCCTGCAGGCACTTCCTCCAGCTCCTCTAGTTCCTTGCCCATCAGAAGGTAGAGTCTTTCCATGGAACAACAGAACAGATGAGACACCTCGGGCACACAGTCTGAAGCACTGCAACCCTCTGGCAACTGGCCATGGAGATGAGAAAAGGAATGAGCATGAGAAGTCTCACAAATGTAGCATTTGCAAAAGGTCATAGTCATAGTTCATTTTGTTGGGATCACAGTGCATATATAACTAGGGTAAAAATTCATTTTCATGGTAGTTTATTTATCATTATACAACATAACGACGTACAATGAAATTAAAGTTCCATCATGCTACACCAACCTCCTGGTCTAAAAAGTGAAGCCAATTGGGAAGTTCCTTAAACCTGCATTGTTTTTAATGACAGCAGGTGGCGACTCCACCGGTTGCAAAAATAAGTTTGTATACAAGAAAGAAAGTGATTTATTACCTCAGTAAAAACTTTCCTACTGAGTTTATGGTCTCAATCACTTGTTTCAGTCTTCAACACAGCATGATGTTGAATTTGATAAATTATGGTTCTATTTAGAGGAAAACAGATGATAAAGCAGGGCATGCTTTAGGTTGATCCAGATGTATTTGCAAATTACAGGCCCATTTCCAATCTCCCATTCCTCTCCAAAGTACTGGAAAGAGTTGTTGCCGCCCATCTCCAGGACCATCTCAAACATAACCAAATTCCAGTCTGGTTTCCGCTCTGCCAACAGCACCGAAACAGCCCTGGTTAGAGTCAAAAAAGACCTACGAATGGCAGCTGATGCAGGCTCACCTTCCCTCCTCATACTCCTCGATCTGTCTGCTGCTTTCGACACTGGATCGTGGCTTTCTCCTCAACCGGCTACACCAAACCACCGGACTCACTGACACTGCTCTTAACTGGTTTAAATCGTACCTCACTGACAGAACAGAGTACATTTCACTTGGAAATGCAACACACCGTCACCAGCATAGTCCCCCAGGGGTCAGTCCTCAGCCCCAGCCTCTTCATCATTTACATCCTCCCCCCTCGGCCACGTCATCAGCCGCTACGGAGTCTCATTTCACTGCTATGCTGATGACCCACAACTCTACATAAAATTGGACAACCACACCTCTGCAGCTTCACCAACATCATCTCCGTCTTCAACACTCACTGCCTACCTGAAGGAGATAAAGGTGTGGATGAAACACAACTTCCTCCAGCTGAACAGCTCCAAAACTGAGGCAATTCTTGCTGGCACCACGGCACAGTGCAACATATAGCTGTGAACTTTTTGGGTGCTGTCTGTGTTTTTGTATATGAAATTTGACACTTTCACAGTGTGTTTTAAGGTCATGAAAGTTAATTGTAATGATTTGGTCACCTAAAAATGTCTTGTTCAGTTTCAGGTTACTAAAAGACACTAAGATTTCTTTCCAGTAATTACATTTTATTTTAAGCCAGTTTTCACTAGCAAAAATTAGCATGCCAGTTAATATCACAGTTAACATGAATTGCAGATGCACCTTGCTAACAAAGCTAGCTAGCTCCACCCTCTTGTCCAAATATGGTAACAACTGTTAAGAAACCATGATGGCGACGGCCAAAGTCGAGGCTTTAAAACAGCAGTCCACACACTAATGGGTGACGTTACAATGGCTGCGTCCACTTTATTTATATGCAGTCTTTGTGCTACATGGAACTTAATTGGAACAGATAATTAGAATGGGTCCAGGTAGCACTGTCAGTTACAGGACCTATCAGTCTATGTCACATCATCTTTACAGCTCTTGGTTTGTCATAAGGCAGTGTGAATCAGGATGACTTATAACTGTGGCTTTACCATCCTCAGGCCCTGGGCAGGGTCATACTTTGGTCCCAGTACAAATACTCTCTGTCCTTTCTTGACCACCCCGCTGTAGACTCGCGCAAATGCTATGAACTTCGTCTGCTCCTCTTCCTCCTCTGGCTTCCAGTCTTTCAATGTCAGTCTCTCCATCTTAGCTGACAAAGAAACAACAACACAGAAAGTGTTCCTGTGAGAGTCAATCACAGGGAACCATCGTTCTTGTATGTACTCTGACATTAGGTGCTGGATCTTGTTTTCTTTTGTTGTACTTTATTTGCTAATGATATAGATTATAACAATTTTAACTGTGTCCAAAGAACGATTTCCGGCTGTGAATATCCCATGGATAAAATGCTGTACTTTTACCCAATATTTGACGCTTTTGAGCATTTAATACTAGCACTTTCACCTTTTCCTGTAGAACCCTGTCAAAAACAAACTATCACCCATTTTCTATCCAAAATATATTGGTACTAGTCTTTTGTAAAACTGACATAAAAAGATGAAAAATTAAAGAAATAAGTCAGTGAGTGGAAAGTTGAGCTTACCTGTTTCGAGTCCTGTAGGTTGGCCTTCCTGTGACATACTCCCTGAGTGGCCGAGGTTATTGTTACTCTCTGCGGTTGCTTGATCAGCTGCCATCCTGTCAGCGTGTCTCTGTCTGGCCAGTTCCCTGCGCTTGGCAATCTCCTCCTGGGTCAACGGCCTAAACACATACACACACTTCAGAATCCCATCAGACCTCCAGATAACAGCTGTTTCCTAGAGGTCAGAGATGCAGTGTGATAAGCAGGATATCAGCTGAAACCATAGAAACAGTTGAGGTGAAGGCTGTGTGTGTGTGAAATGGTTATTCGTATGTGTTGCTTAAGGTACCGTGAGAAAATGAAATATGATCCAGGAAGTCCAGTTTGAGCAACACATTTATGAGTCGAAAGCCGTCAGACACAGGACGACACTGTAGTTTTTGCTGGAGCTTTCTGCATTGTGATAAAGGCTACGATCTGGACCTGCTCTATATGGAAAGTGCCCTGAGACAACTTAAGTTATGATTTGGTGCTATTTAAAACTAACTGAAATCAGGCTCAGTTTTTTCAAGCAGTGCTAATGTCAGCCTTAGCCAGCTAACTGTGCTAAACCCAGGCTATCCAGTATCACAAAGCCTGCTCACTTTAAACTATACTGCAGGAATATTAAATCAACCTACCGATTAACCCCCTGGAAAAACACTGATCAATTTGCATTTGGGTTTGTAAAGGTTAACAATATCAGTCGGAAACCAGGTTTGTGATCACAGAGTTTTAGCTTATTTAAGCCAGATAACTCAGACAACCTGACTAAGTTCACCTCGCTCTCTGATAAAGGATACTCCAAACAAATTAATGTTTTTCTATCATCCGTTACCACCCTCTGACAATCAGAATGCCTAGCCATTTATTAACCACAGGGATATCAATCATCTGTAATAGGTGGCTGTGTCCGAAATCCCCACTCATTCACTACTCCCAGGCCCTATGTAGGGACTATATAGTGAGCTCACTCGCATTATTAAAACAACACTTTAACCTTTATAGTTGTTTTTATCCTTACGTGGAGTTTACGTTGGAGTCTGTGTTTTGCTGGGAGCTGGTTGTTTTATGGTGTTAGTGGACTGCGTGCCATTAGCTGTGGTGTTGTCGCTGTGGTCGGAGAGAGGCTCGGGAGCGCCAATGCAGCTACATCCCGTCCCGATACCTTCACATTAAAAGCAGAATAGTGGCTGCTCCAAGCAACAGAGTAAACAAGCATGTGCTTCATTTTTTAAGTGAGACTGCAGCCCGTTGACAAAAAGGCAGTAAAACTGGATTTTATTGAAAAACTACATATAGCACCTTTAACACTTGAATAGTTTCTGCAGCTTATAATAAATAAATGACAAAGAATTGCTGAAAATGCAGGAATCTGAAATAAATGACACGTGCATTGTCTGTGGCCCTGCAGTAAGCTCCAAATACCACCAATACCATTGATTTAATTCCTTTGAATCACAAATGAATTAGCCCTTAATTTTTCTATTAAGATTTCTATTATTTATTTTGTTGAGGAAAAGGGACTGAAGCAAGATTTTATCATAATAGTTCTGAATGTTTCTATCTCAGATTTGTTGAGTGATCCACTGTCTGGCATCAAGGGTTTGTCACGTTCTGACCACAAAGAAAAGTTTAAACACACCAGTCAGACTTTGAACTTGAAAGAAATTTATCATGATAATTACCGATATCGAATGATATTAAATGTTTTTATCGTGATAACATTTTTGGCCATATCGCCCAGCCCTAATACAAAGTAAATTTCATTCACCGATATTACCTAGGGTTGGAGGAAACATATCAGGGATATCCAAAGCCATGACTGAAGAACAGGACTGCATCATCTGCTGACTGTAGATCTGTACACACACACACACACACACACACACACACACACACACTCTTACCTCTGTCTGTTCTGAGGCAAGGCCTTGGTATCCACGGTAAACATCTTGGACACATAGACAATGACCGGAGCATTTTCCCCGCTCGAACACTGGAGGAACGCTAGAAAACACCCAACATATCTAACATCACTATACAGGATGTTAAAACTATCCAATCCAAACATGGTATTCATTTGAGATGACACACTGCTCACGCACCGTTTTTCATCTTATGACTATCCCATTCCTGGTACTTTCAATTGCCTGATCATATTTGCCCCTGATCCCGATAGGGGTCCTTTATAATATTGTGCATCTGCATATACAGATACTGAGACATGAAACAACCATAACTGAATGACATGCAAGTGCCTTACAAAAAATATGATTCCAATCGGCCTGACAGTGGCGCTATAATGAAGTATAATTGCCCTGCCCCACTCCATGACTCCAATTGACTGAAATTGTACACGCTACAGTTCAATGTGTTCTATAAAAAAGCCTCTTGAACAATAAAGGCCACTTATGATGGAGTTTTTCCAAAATGTCATAATCTGAATAACAGTAATGTGACGGGTCTCTCTCACTCTCTCTGTCTGTCTCTCATTTCTACTACTCCTGCATCCATTCAAATACCAAAGTGTTCAGCTTAAGTACATTTATGCTTGAATCAACTTTTTTCTACCTTTTCTACTTTTCAAAATATTGTACATTGTTAAACAAGTTACTGCAACAGAGGTGAAATGAATTGATTCAATTTTGTAATCCACTTCAAATTTAAAGACTTTAGACCACGGTGGACACAGTAGTCATGTCACTTCTTTCAGTGTAGGAATGTTGTTGATGGGGCTTGAAGCAGGTATATCAATTCATTTTTCCAGCCCCGAGTAATAAGCTAGCTTTTGTTCATTTAGTGCCGTGGTTTATATGTTTTATTCTGAAAAGCAGAACAATATTCTTCACAAATTGTTAACTGACCTTCATTTTTAAAATTGGTGGAGGTCCTCTTTAATTCAGTACTGCAGATCCTGTGTGTTTGTGTGTGTGTGTACCTTGTTTAAGTTCCTGCGTCTGCTCTGGCAATGAGTCAAATCGTCGCGCTCCGACAGTCATCAGTTTTTCCACCCTCTCTGCCGCCATGTCTAACGGGCTGGGAAGCTTCTCACACACCATCGCTACAGTCTGTGTTAAGGACAAATAAACACCAAATGTACATACAAAAAACGCTTCACTCAGGCAGAAAGAGGAGTTTTAGCTGATAACAGATAAAGACACGAGGCAAAGGATACAGAGGACAGCCTGGGACACGGGGAGCCACTGGCTGCAGATGGCAGAAAGGAGGACTTTGGGGTCGGAGTGACGAGAATCCCTGGCCATCACCTTCACTCCAAGTGATGTCACCACCTTCTCCACCTTCTCCTTGTCTCTAGTCACAGAAACACACGACACCTTTGCAAAAACACTGCAGGGCATGGACATTCTGACCTGCCTCTGTTCCCTTCCAGCTATCTTCATGAGCACACGTGTTATCATGGCATAATATGACTCAGGCTCAGGTATTTGAGAAGATGAGGCTTATAGGACTCTACGGGTCATGCTAACTTTGCACACTTCACCTCATTAATCATCAATCAATCATTAAGGCTGACTGCAAGGAAATCTACATCTGGGGTAACTTGCCTGTGGACCTCTTCATGTTTGCAGGGCTGTGGCCAGCTGCCAATTTTATTGTGTGTTCATTTAAAAGAAGTAGCAAACAAGATAAAATGGTTTGTGCCTGCAAGTTTCCAAATTGTAAGAATAAATAAGATATACAGAGACGCACCAATTGCAATGTTCTTGGCTGATTCCGATTTCTGATTTTTAAAAAGCCTGTCCTGCCAATTCCAGTTTTTGTTGAGATTTTCTTTCTTTCCAAGACCTATAATTGACAGCGTACACACACATTTTTGTAACTTTTCTTTAGTGTAAAAATCTGTCTCTCTTTATTTATTTTTAGCCCCAGCATGAGTACCGGCAATTTTTCCTGAGGTCCTTTCAACTGTATGTTCATAATAAAACACTCACTGACAAATAACTTTTACATTTTCTCCAAACCTGCAGCAGGTTACAGGACCTTGCGTCACTCACTCAAACACAGCTCAAAATAAAAAGTGCTGCTCCAGGTTGGGCTACTGGACGGAGCATATTACATTACATATACATGTACTCATTTAGCTGACGCTAAAAGCGACTTCCAATTGCTATAAAATATATAATATATGTCAGAGGTCGCACGCCTCTGGAGTAACTAGGGGTTAAGTGTCTTGCTCAGGGACACAACGGTGGATGTGTCACAGTGGGAATTGAACCCGGGTCTCCCACACCAAAGGCAAGCATCTTCTCATGTGCCATGGCCACCCCATACAGCTTATCTGTACGAATAAAATATAACTGAAAATAAATTGTAGTATAACACAGCTTAGTGTTTCCCACAGATAAATAAAACAAAATATTTTAAAGAATACTGTTACCCTTTTTCTAGTAGCTTATTTGCTGTCTAACAATTTCAATTCTACTTAATTCTCCACTTCATTTTAGTGTTAACTCGCAAACTGCTCTAATCTGCTAACCTTGCTTTTCCCTCCAGACAAACAAAGTCAGCCAAAAAAACTCGCATGTTGGATTTTTTCCACCCGTGATTCCGTTTTCTCAGCAGCCGGTGAACCGCGTGTGGAGGAGGCTTGTTCTTAATGATGTTGCCTATCGGAGTGATTGAGACCACCGTGGTACTGAATGACATTGGGACAGGTGTGTTCAATGTTGCTTTACCTGGTCCGTGCTTGTATCCAAGTCTTCTAACATAATACCAGATAACCTTTCTTTGCAAATTCTTTAATTTCTCTTCAAAGTGATAAAATGAGTCACCAAATATAGCCTACTTTGCAGAGCGTTGATATACCTGGGGGGTCCGCCCAAGTAGAGTCAGTGTGCAGGGAAACATGGTTTATTTTGGCCCAACAGGTTTATAAACTGCGAGTGTTGTGTCTTCTTCACTCCAGGTGAACCCCACCTTGTACTACGGTATATCTTCACATTTAAACATCCCATTACAATAGAATCAATTAATTTATTAAGAAAGCAACACTGCTTGTTATTTTTAACAAAGTGTTTCAGTGTTTAGCATGTTTGACCCACCTCCTAGTGACTACTGCATCATATAAACTCCAGATGTTATCCAGCACAAGCTGCACAAACAGCTGCTTCTTTCCTTTGGCCTGCAGCGAAGAGGGAGAAAAGGAGAACACATGAAAATGAATGTAAGAGATATATTTGCTAACATCCCGAATGAAGAGTACTAAATTACGTGTGCATTCTAAAATATTGCACGTGTAATTTTAGTACCTGTTAAGGGTGATCAACTAAGAATTATTGCGCAGATGACAACAGGAGCAAACACAATGGAGGTGGCAGTATTTAAATGAGGGTTTTGCTTGTTTTAATGGTTTCCGCCATGGAGAGTCTAGAGGGAAAGCAGCCACTGCGTGAAAACCTTGGTTTGTTTCGTTCAGTGCGTCCCGAGTATGTGGAAATCATATATAAATATCCTGTCTGAGATTGCACAAAGTACTTGCGACAGCACACCTGAAAAAGTGCTTTGGGAAACCCCAGCAGAAACAGATACGGTATGCTGGAATGACCCAGACGTGAGGAAATGCCAGCAGATCGTGCTTCATCCAGCCAGAGAGAACAATCACAACCGTCTGCGATCTCCTGGCCCTGTACGCCCCAACGCCCCATTCCCTCTCTGGTACCTACAATGGGTTGTGTCGCTATTACGACCGGCGTGCTGTGAACAGTTGGTGACCGTTCCCTCCCACGGAGAAAAAATGTCAGGTCAAAACAAAATTTGCTTCATTGGCAGGAATGTTAATACAACAGTATTGCCAAAGCTAAAGGAAAATACATAGACAAATTCAATTCATATAGTTAATCGAATAAATAAAATCAAATAATTTTATTTCTATATATTGTATATAGAATAATATTATCTAATGTTGTTCATTTCTCTACGTTTTCTTTCATTACGGCTGTGTCTCCTGGAAACTATAACAGCAGCCATCTCTGCAACACTTGGCGGTTTTGCACCTTCCTTTCAGACATATTAAATACATATGCTGTTTCACTCCCATGAAAATGATTTTAGGCGTGTTAGATTGTGTAGTAAATAAATGTATCTGCATGTTACCCTCCCATTACTTTTCACAATAAAATTGAAACGCCCCAAATTGAATATTCATTAAGGCAAAACTCCTGTGAAATCAAACTGTCCACTTAGGAAGCAACACTGATTGACAATCAATTTCACATGCTGTTGTGCAAATGGAATAGAAACAGGTGGAAATTATAGGCAATTAGCAAGACCCCCCCAATAAAGGAGTGGTTCTGCAGGTGGTGACCACAGACCACTTCTCAGTTCCTATGCTTCCTGGCTGATGTTTTGGTCACTTTTAAATGCTGGTGGTGCTTTCACTCTAGTGGTAGCATGAGACGGAGTCTACAACCCACACAAGTGGCTCAGGTAGTGCAGCTCATCCAGGATGGCACATCAATGCGAGCTGTGGCAAGAAGGTTTGCGGTGTCTGTCAGCGTAGTGTCCAGAGCACGGAGGCGCTACCAGGAGACAGACCAGTACATCAGGAGACGTGGAGGAGGCCATAGGAGGGCTACAACCCAGCAGCAGGACCGCTACCTCCACCTTTGTGCAAGGAGGAGCAGGAGGAGCACTGCCAGAGCCCTGCAAAATGACCTCCAGCAGGCCACAAATGTGCATGTGTCTGCTCAAACGGTCAGAAACAGACTCCATGAGGGTGGTACGAGGGCCCGACGTTCACAGGTGGGGGTTGTGCTTACAGCCCAACACCGTGCAGGACGTTTGGCATTTGCCAGAGAACACCAAGATTGGCAAATTCGCCACTGGCGCCCTGTGCTCTTCACAGATGAAAGCAGGTTCACACTGAGCACATGTGACAGACGTGACAGAGTCTGGAGACGTCGTGGAGAACGTTCTGCTGCCTGCAACATCCTCCAGCATGACCGGTTTGGCGGTGGGTCAGTAATGGTGTGGGGTGGCATTTCTTTGGGGGGCCGCACAGCCCTCCATGTGCTCGCCAGAGGTAGTCTGACTGCCATTATGGGGCGGCTGTGGCTGTGGGTTAGCCGTTAATCGGAAGGTTGGCGGTTCAATCCCGGCTCCCCCAGGCTGAATGTCGAAGTGTCCTTGGGCAAGATACTGAACCCCGAATTGTGTGAATGTTAGTTTCTGTTTGAATGTGGGTGAATGCACTAGAAAGGCGCTATACAAGTACGGAGTTCATTTACATTAGGTACCGAGATGAGATCCTCAGACCCCTTGTGAGACCATATGCTGGTGCGGTTGGCCCTGGGTTCCTCCTAATGCAAGACAATGCCAGACCTCATGTGGCTGGAGTGTGTCAGCAGTTCCTGCAAGAGGAAGGCATTGATGCTATGGACCGGCCCACCCGTTCCCCAGACCTGAATCCAACTGAGCACATGTGGGACATCATGTCTCGCTCCATCCACCAACGCCACGTTGCACCACAGACTGTCCAGGAGTTGGCGGATGCTTTAGTCCAGGTCTGGGAGGAGATCCCTCAGGAGACCATCCGCCACCTCATCAGGAGCATGCCCAGGCGTTGTAGGGAGGTCATACAGGCACGTGGAGGCCACACACACTACTGAGCCTCATTCTGACTTGTTTTAAGGACATTACATCAAAGTTGGATCGGTCTGTAGTGTGGTTTTCCACTTTGATTTTGAGTGTGACTCCAAATCCAGACCTCCATGGGTTGATAAATTTGATTTCCATTGATAATTTTTGTGTGATTTTGTTGTCAGCACATTCAACTATGTAAAGAAAGGAGTATTTAATGAGATTATTTCATTCATTCAGATCTAGGATGTGTTATTTTAGTGTTCCCTTTATTTTTTTGAGCAGTGTAGTTTATGCAAACAGCCTCATGTGTACAGTGTGAGAGGAGCTTTTTGTGCAGTTTAGAGAAGAGAGAGAAGACAAAACCATCCATTTTAACTTGTTTCACCAAGATCTTGTGTCTCCAAACACCCAGTTGTTTGCTGCTGCAAGATATTCCCATATTTTACCCTAAACCAGATAACTTTATATTATAACGAGATATTTCTCTATAATTGATTAATCTGTTTGTTGTTTATGTTTGTACCCATTTTTAATGTTCACAAGAAATGCATATATTCATGAATTGTTACATTTCCTTAAGAAAAAAAGAGCTCTAAACAAAGATTATAGTGCTGACTGAATGTGAGGTGTCTGTCCAAGTAGTAGCTGTAACAGTTCTAGTATTTAATAAACCTCATTTAATTTAATTAAACCTCATAATAAACCATTTTTTTCCCTTTCTTTGGCAGTGAAAGTCAACTACACAATGTAGGAGAAAAGAACACAGGAGAAAGATTGAAAACACACATTTAGACCTACAATAAGTCATAATTACATCACCTGAGCTCCCTTCATGATCTTCTTTGCTTTTGCATTGAGGTAGAAGTCTCCCCACAGGGTTTTGAGCAGCACCTCTGCCTTAATACCCATTCTCTGGCTGTAGATGTGGGCAAACTGCTGGATGCTACAAAACACAAAATCAAACCCTTAGTCTGTACTTACATTTTTTTATGCAGGCTCGCTGACAACAGAAAAGCACTGCAAACCCTACTACAGTGTTTAGCTTATTTTTAACTGGACCAATGAGCAGTTATGAGTAAAGTGGAGCTTTCGCAACTTGTAAGAGACTTTAATATGACTTTGTAGATGTCTGGATCTCATCTTCCTCCTCCTCTACTTCAGAGGCTTGTCTTGGGTTGAGAGGAGAAGAAGACAGATGTCTCTGCTGGGACTTCATTGGTTTGTTTAGAGAGTAATCACAAGTACACAGCGCTAGAACTACATACAGAGGGGAGAACAAGTATTTGATACACTGCTGATTTTGCAGGTTTTCCTACTTACAAAGCATGTATAGGTCTGTACTTTTTTATCATAGGTACACTTCAACTGTGAGAGATGGAATCTAAAACAAATCCAGAAAATCACATTGTAGGATTTTTAAATAATTAATTTGCATTTTATTGCATGACATAAGTATTTGATCACCTACCAACCAGTAAGAATTCCAGCTCTCACAGACCTGTTAGTTCTTCTTTAAGAAGCCCTCCTGTTCTCCACTCATTACCTGTATTAACTGCACCTGTTTGAACTTGTTACCTGTATAAAAGACACCTGTCCACACACTCAAACAGATTCCAACCTCTCCACAATGGCCAAGACCAGAGAGCTGTGTAAGGACATCAGGAACAACCTCCTTCCCTCAGTAAGTGCACTGATGATGGGTTGTGGCTGGGTCTTCCAGCATGACAACGACCCGAAACACACAGCCGGGCAACTAAGGAAGAAGCATCTCAAGGTCCTGGAGTGGCCTAGCCAGTCTCCAGACCTGAACCCAATAGAAAATCTTTGTTGGGAGCTGAAAGTCCGTATTGCCCAGCGACAGTCCCGAAACCTGAAGGATCTCGAGAAGATCTGTATGGAGGAGTGGGCCAAAATCCCTGCTGCAGTGTGTGCAAACCTGGTCAAGAACTACAGGAAACGTATGATCTCTGTAATTGCAAACAAAGGTTTCTGTACCAAATGTTATTAAGTTCTGCTTTTCTGATGTATCAAATACTTATGTCATGCAATAAAATGCAAATTAATTATTTAAAAATCATACAATGTGATTTTCTGGATTTTTGTTTTAGATTCCGTCTCTCACAGTTGAAGTGTACCTATGATAAAAAGTACAGACCTCTACATGCTTTGTAAGTTGGAAAACCTGCAAAATCAGCAGTGTATCAAATACTTGTTCTCCCCACTGTAGGTCTTCACATCACACTAAAACATCAGCAGCCTCCAGTGAAAATGCTTTCTGAGGTTTTGAAGCCAGCGTCAACATCTAAGGATCTTTCCTTCCACTTAGACCCTTCACACCGCGCATACCACTGACCCTAACCCTATGATGCAGCTTCAAAGGATCCAGCCTCACCTGAAACCCCATCCATCTATGGCACTGGCAAAGACCACATTTCCTTGGTCAGGAGAAAAGTAGAGTTGGGAGTCGTCAGCTTCCTCCAGTCCGGTACTCCAGTCAAACACCTGATCTCCGCTCAGCGTCTCGCTTTCTTTATCCTCCTCCTTCTCTTTCTCTGCTCGCTCTTCCAGCACTTTGGATGTGAACAAACTCCCTGTCACTGCGTTCACCTATAAGGAAGAGCACACACACCATCGCTTAGTTTCAGTGGTATACAATATGAGTTCATGATGATTCAACACAAAAAGTACAATCTCACTGAAGGTTTCTGTGTAGCACAGCAACGTAGCTGAGTGTGTTACAGAGGACCTGTATTAAAGTAGACTTATTGAGGCCTGTGTCGGCTGGGCTCACCTGTTCCAGGATCTTCTGCAGGTGTGTGTAAGCTTCCTGAGAGGTGAGTTTCAGCTCCATGATGAGTCGGTCTATCTTATTGATGACCAGAACAGGCCTGATGTTCTCCAGCCACGCCTGACGCAGCACAGCCTGGGTCTACACACAATACATACAAGACAAAATCCCATTTTTATGCACGCCATAAATATGGTAGAAGAGTTACATGACTGATCAACCATACCAAAAATGTATTCCAATATTTAATATAGCATTTATTTTTTTCCTGCAGAAAATGTATTTAAGTGTTTATGCAAAAACATTGTGATAATAGATATAATAGATAATGGATAATAGATATATTAAAAATATGCATTTTTAAATAATTTTACTTCAAATGTTTCAGATTCTGAAAATGATTTTAAACTTTCTTTGAATATTAAATACAGCTAAAAAGCTTTGTTTTACTTCTCTGTCAGTTATATATGAAGCTACACCTGAACCTGTGACACCTGTGAAATTTGGTAGAGATATGAGCATGTACAGTGAAGTTATAACAACATCCTGTTTCATGGAGAGTCATCGATATTTGACGCCACGCCACAGGCACGCCCTTTGACGAAAACTCTCAGATAGCACAACTTTTGATCGTCAATGCCTTAATACTGCACAGCAAAAATTTGAAGTCAATCCAATTAGTTGCCTAGGAAGAGTTCATTAACGGACATACCCTGTGAAACTGCAAAAATGAACATAAAATTTAAAATGGCCGACTTCCTGTTTCTTTTAGGGCATTGCTCCATGAGGTTTTTTTGTAGGGCTGGACATGATTTATCTGCCAAAAATGATCAGAAACTATACCCGGGGCTGCAACTTAGGGAGCGCTAGCAAGCCATTTTGCCACGCCAATGCACAAAAACATGACACATACATTTCCATGGGCCTTGAATTTTGGGCAAAGTGTTGTGATTTTTCAAGCATGTTTAGGCTACAAAAAATGTATGTAATCTACAGAAAGAAGAAAAAGAATTTGTTCAGTTTCAATAGGGTCACCGCATGTTTCATGCTCTGGCTCTAAATAGGGATCTTTGATGCTGGCAGGTAGGGTTGGGCAATATGGCCAAAAATATTATCACAATAAAAACATTTCATATAATTTGATTTTGATAATTATCACGATATATGTATATTTCTTTCGAGTTCAAAAGCTAATGTAAAATTGAAGAAAACAGATGGTTAATTATTTGGTTAAACTTTTCTTTATGGTCAGAATGTGACAAACACTTGATGCCAAACAGTGGGTCACTTAGCAAATGTGAGGTAGAACAATCAAAACTATTATGATAAAATCTTTTTCAACAACTATGATTAATAAATCTATTTTCAGTCCCTTTTCCTCAACAAAATAAATAATTTACTAGAAAAATTAAGTGCAAATTTGTTTGTGATTCAACTGAATTAAACCAAATATTTATTGACGATATATTGAACATTTATTGCATTGATAGAGGAAAATTATATTGCAATAATTATCTTTATTGTTTTATTACCCAGCCCCACTGGTAGGTGGATTTTGTTGTTTTTAGAAATAAACAGGCCATTTGCTATACCTATAGGAGAATGGTCATCATTCTTTTCTCTAATAATCTCTCTAATGTGCAAGAAAGTTAAACATGTAAAATAAAGCATCATCTAATTGTTGTTTAACTTACAATATATAGTTTTGAAGTGTTTTACAGCACTTATAAATCAAATATGTAGTAGATAAGTAAGTTTTTTTGACCAATGATGCCAAGCCGGGCACTTCCTGCTGTTAGGGCTACCTTTAAACATCCAATAATCATGGTCCAGGTACTGCTCTGGTGTGAAAGCTGAATGCATTTTATGCCCTTCCACCAATCTGAACTCTGGTTACTCAGGGCCCTGATACACTATGCACTAACATTATTCACTAACATTGCTCATCCCTTTTTGCAGTGTGTCCGAGACTGTTACCACTAAGTGGCTTTTCTAAGCTTCCCCCTGCATCTCACCTTCTTCTTTTTTGCGAATAGAGAGGGCTCAGTTGCCATCCCATGACCTAAGCATGAAACTGTTGTCATGCTGTCACATGACAACAGGTGGTTAAACAGTATATGGGGCGAGAGGGTAACCTCCTTGATCAGATCATAGGGGTTTGATCTCCTCCTCAAAAAAGACCACTCACTTCACAGGTCATGTGACAACTCGTGTGCCCGCCTCATTCACTAATGAAGTTCTGAAAAGCTAATAAACGGACCTTTATGCTTAGATTATCTTGTTCTACATACTGTTCCCAAAGTTCCAAAGAACTAACATCCATGCTCAAATCATTGGTCCTGTGAAAGTGGGGGGCTATGCAAAGTTCTTACACTGTTCACCTAGTTGATGTGAACACCCTCAAATTAAATCTGACAGTCAGAACTTTAACATCAATGTTTCATTTTAATTACCGCATCAAATCCAATGTAATGAGACAAAACTAAGTCCAAATACTTACAGACAGCAGACTACAAAGTCTCATCTTTCTGAACAAACAGCTTCCTGAATGAGACAAAGTCTAAAACAGTGATGTTTACCTGTGGACACACTCCCTCCACAGCATCAACTATTACAATGGCACCGTCACACAGCCTGACAGCAGTGGAAACTTCCGAGGAGAAGTCGACGTGACCAGGAGAGTCGATCAGATTTAGTAAGTACTCGTGATCTCCTGAGGAGACAAAAGTGGATAGAAACACTATTCAGAGTTTTCTCCTCAAAAACCCTTGTTTAGATTGGAGAGAATTTCTTGGCTTTTTACACTCACGTCAAACTCCAGTTCAATAATACTGGAGCTCAGATGAGCCAACTAAGATTCATTCATTATTTATTTTATTCATTACAGACAGTAGTGTTGAAGCTATATGAGTCAAAGCTTTGTAGCTTAACACCACTATACTAATGAAAGTGTGATCTTTCACATAAGACAGAGCATAATAAAGACAGTCATCAACTAAGGATCATACTGAGCAATAGTATATACAGTGTATTCACCATCAAACAATTAAAGGTACTTTTTGTTTGTTTATGGTATATTGTGTGAATTGCTGGACAAATGAAGGCGACTTGCCATCATAGTGGCCTTACCATTTCTGTAATGCAGAGAGATGGCACTGGACTTCATGGTGATTCCTCTGATCTGTTCATCCTCCCTGCTGTCCAGATACCTCAGCTGGTAGTTTAACACATAACAAATAAGCACAAATAATGACAAAGAACTAAAACTGGAATCTGTATAGGTCATACAGCATGGCTGTCAAAAAGGTCTCTGTAGCAACTTACTTACCTTCCCAGCCAGTCGACTTGATATGATACCATTACTTGCCACTAAGCAGTCAGCCAGAGTAGTTTTGCCTGCAAAGACGTAGATTGAGATAGAGGTAGACAGGCGTCCTGTAGATGTCACTACCTTACAGCATACACTGAACATTTGCCTGTAATTTTATTTATTCATTTTACTATTTTTGACATTTTATATACTAAACAATTAATCTATGAATTGAACATATAATTGAAATTAATCATTAGTATTAACCATTAGTTGCAGCCCTAAAATTCTTTAGCCCAGGTTTGTCCCATGCTCTAAATAAGCTATGAAAATAGTAACATATTAACCAAAATTCTCAGCTGGGGATATCACACAGATCCAATCTCTAATTGAATAAAAAAATTTACAATTTTTACCAAAATCTGCCAAAGCAAACCATTTTTACTTTACACCTAATTAAAGTAGTTCTTGTTGAGAAGTATAGGACTAGTGGTCACTCTGTTCCCTCCCAAACCATGCAGGACAAAACAACTTTTTTTGTCTTAAATACTGATATTGTGCTCCAAAACAGTAAAAAGGACTGCTTTTGTTAAAGGGTCCTAGATCTTTTAAAATAGCCTACCATATGTAGATAGTGCTGATCTGGCAACTGTCAATTCAAGTTATTAATTGTTGACATTGTATGTAACTAAATGCTGTTAGAAATGCCGAATTTAAAAATGTAAAATAACGTACACTTAGTGGCTTCACTAAGTGTCTACGTCTTCAGTATTTTTGAGCACAATCAGTAAATACAGGTGCTGGTGATATAATTAGGATATCATCAAAAAGTTGATTTATTTCAGTAATTCCATTCAAAAAGTGAAACTTGTATAATGTATACATTCATTCCACACAGACTGATATGTTTCAAGTGTTCATTCCTTTTAATTTTGATGATTATAACTGACAACTAATGAAAACCCCAAAATCAGGATCTCAGAAAATTAGAATATTGTGAAAAGGTTCAATATTGAAGACACCTGGTGCCACACTCTAATCAGCTAATTAACTCAAAACACCTGCAAAGGCCTTCAAATGGTCTCTCAGTCTAGTTCTGTAGGCTACACAATCATGGGGAAGACTGCTGACTTGACAGCTGTCCAAAAGACGACCATTGACACCTTGCGCAAGGAGGGCAAGACACAAAAGGTCATTGCTAAAGAGGCTGGCTGTTCACAGAGCTCTGTGTCCAAGCACATTAATAGAGAGGCGAAGGGAAGGAAAAGATGTGGTAGAAAAAAATGTACAAGCAATAGGGATAACCACACCCTGGAGAGGATTGTCAAACAAAACCCATTCAAAAATGTTGGGGAGATTCACAAAGAGTGGACTGCAGCTGGAGTCAGTGCTTCAAGAACCACCACGCACAGACGTATGCAAGACATGGGTTTCAGCTGTCGCATTCCTTGTGTCAAGCCACTCTTGAACAAGACACAGCGTCAGAAGCGTCTCGCCTGGGCTAAAGACAAAAAGGACTGGACTGCTGCTGAGTGGTCCAAAGTTATGTTCTCTGATGATGGAGAGGCAAAGAATCCACGTTGCTTGAAGTCCAGTGTAAAGTTTCCACAGTCAGTGATTGTTTGGGATGCCATGTCATCTGCTGATGTTGGTCCACTCTGTTTTCTGAGGTCCAAGGTCAACGCAGCCATCTACCAGGAAGTTTTAGAGCACTTCATGCTTCCTGCTGCTGACCAACTTTATGGAGATGCAGATTTCATTTTCCAACAGGATTTGGCACCTGCACACAGTGCCAAAGCTACCAGGACCTGGTTTAAGGACCATGGTATCCCTGTTCTTAACTGGTCAGCAAACTGGCCTGACCTTAACCCTATAGAAAATCTATGGGGTATTGTGAAGAGGAAGATGCGATACGCCAGACCCAACAATGCAGAAGAGCTGAAGGCCACTATCAGAGCAACCTGGGCTCTCATAACACCTGAGCAGTGCCACAGACTGATGGACTCCATGCCACGCCGCATTGCTGCAGTAATTCAGGCAAAAGGAGCCCCAACTAAGTGTGGAGTGCTGTACATGCTCATACTTTTCAGTTGGACAACATTTCTAAAAATCCTTTTTTTGTATTGGTCTTAAGTAATATTCAGATTTTTGGAGATACTGAATTTGGGATTTTCATTAGTTGTCCGTTTTAATCTTCACAATTAAATGAAATAAACATTTGAAATATCAGTCTGTGTGTAATGAATGAAGAATAATATAATTAAAAATAATAATATTCAAGTTTCACTTTTTGAATGGAATTACTGAAATAAATCAACTTTTTGATGATATTCTAATAATATGACCAGCACCTGTATTAAGTTGATGAAATTTTAAATGGAATTTGGTTTAAGGTTAGCATCTGTACAGACACACAATCAGGGCTCGTCTCTGCGTCAATAATGTTTAATGTCAGCGTCCCGACTCACCGTGGTCAACATGTGCCAGAATACACAGGTTTCTGATGTTGGCAGGGTTTCTCTGCAGTGCAATGATCTTTTCCAAGCTGGAGAGTCCCATGGCGAGCACCTAAAACAAATGACAACACTCAACGTAACGTTACGCTAGTCACCTGCTTCAACCTGCTGATTTGTTACTTATGACCATAAAGACCATGAAGTGACACTGACGTGATAGTGTGGAATAATAGTACAATGACACTGTTATGTTACATGTTATGTTACAGTGCAGGTCAGGCTTTGCTTGCTTTAACGTTACTGGCTAACGTTAAGGTTAAAGCTAATAACGTTAGCGTCGGCAGAGCGGTCTGTCAGGACGATAAGGTTTAAACAGTGAGTGGACTCAAAACACGGACTTTAACGTAAGAGTGCAGTCAACATAAAAGGGTAAAACTAGACTGGACATGGAGTAACGTGCCTGCGAATTGCAGCGTTAACGGGTAATCTCTGCTAACACTGTGGCTATCCTAATCTAAATCTCTCACAGAAACAAGAATCAACATGGCTTCTAAAACCTCCACACGACACCGCTAGCATGTGCTACGCTGCCATGTAGACTTAAAAACAACATTATTGTGAAAGTAAGCACACATTTCACAGACATGTGGACATTCTTAACTCACGTTGTTGTCCCGGAAGTTGATGAAGCACGTTAACCACACCCATTTGCTAACATTGGTGCTGCATTCAGGGCACATATTAAAAACGGGCCACAAGGCGACAGCTTGTTCTTGACAGATACAACTAGATAAGACACATTTATGTGTAATTCATTCACAACACCTTTTAATTCAGCGTACAGTTTGTAAATAGAAACCTGGTGCTATTAACAAACTATGCATTCGCTGACAAAAGCGTTTCTTTTTTTTTTACACGCAGCTATGGATGCACGGTGGTTGCTAGGTTACCAAATGGGAGAAAGTGTTTAAAAAGTTGTGGAAATCTGTGTGATGTTGGTGTTTGATACCATTAAAAAGTATTAATCAGTTCCATACTCAACATAATGGCTGAGGTGGAGGCTCCTGCTTTGGAGCCACCTTGTTGTTTATTATCTCCTGGCACAAACTGAGTCAATATTTTTACTGTGTCAAAAACATAGAAAGTACATGAAATGTTTGGCTTCTGCCACAAAAAGTAACATATTTCTGCTTTATATTTTTTCCCCTCTTCATTCCTGTAAATTATGTTATTGAAGAATGTGGTATCGCATGCTGTATGCAACCATTGATAAGTGCTTGTAAATACATATTATATAGCATAATCTTAAGGAGTCCAATAGTTTGGAACCACCACTTTATAGTGTCCTAAAAGCAAAAAGTCACTTTTTCACTAGAGAACTAAGAGGTGATATCCAATAATCATATAATACAGTAATGCAGCTTTGTCATTTGCTTTATGCTGCATCTATTCACTTTTTCATGCACTGTTGAGTAATCTTTTATACAGTGTACACTCCCATCTCCCATCAACCCTTTACGCAGGATAAGCGCTTGACGATGGATGGTTGGACACTCCCACTCACAGGGACTTCTAAAACACAAAACATCTGAAGTATCTGTCACAAAGCAACATAACATGTCTCCTCCCCAAGCTCAAAGAATGAAATCTGCCTGCGCAAGACACTGCACCCCAAATAGCCCCCGATGGCTGGTCCATCGGTGTGTCAGTGTGTGTGAATTAGTTTCTGTTTCTGGTGAGCAGCTGGCACCTTAGCCTCTGCATCCATCCAGTAGAACTCATCAGAAATGTCTGTTTCTATGTGGTGTACCTGACTGATGTAACTACACATTTAGATCTTTGACTTAATTCTTCCTCACAAAGCGTCCACAATGTTTAGACTATCAGTTGTTTTAATATGTTATGTCATTTAGGTTTGTAAACATCAACAGATGTTTTGCACTGTGCATGATGAATATCATCACACTCTGAGGTAGGCTCTATTTTTATTGTTGCAAGATTTTATCCCATATTTTTCTTGGTACCTGTCTCCTGCAACCAAGCCTTCCTGATGCTTTCCTGTGATGTTTTGTATGGTATTCCATAGTGTTTGTCTGTGTTGATCATGTTTTCAAACATAAGCAGCACTTGTGACACCATAAAGTTTTCCTCCTGATAGTAACTATGATGTTTTATAGCACATTGTCATTTTGGTTTGTTGATCTGACGTACAGGAAGAGGTGGGGTGGGGATTTGTGCCAATGAATCAGAATGTATGGAATGTATTTTCTTCACTTCTGTGGGAGCTAGGCAAGGAGTTTCCCTCTGGTTTCAGTCTGTACGTTAAGCTATGCTTAAAATGTCCCGGACCTACCTCGGTGCTGTAAACAGAGAGATTAAAATGATATTATTCATTGGCTCTGACTTTGAGTAAAACAACAATTTCCCATAATGTCAGAATTTACTTTTAAACATGTAAAAATACTCTAAATAATAATGTCCAGCGTTGTTTTGTCAAAAAAAAAAAACTACTAAAAAGCTTAGCTACCCCCTCACCCGAAATTCTAGAATATGTGAATATACACAGATACAGGATACTGGAAACAGTGGTTTGAGAAAAAAAAAACCTCAAGGTCCACTTACTAGCATAACATTGCCAAGCGCCATGTGCTAAGGAAGACTATGAGATGTCGGTGAAGGCTCAGGAAAAAAAGCAAGTACACCTTGAGTTAAGATTTGTTTTGATACACAAATACATGTATATTTTATTTTAAAATTTGAACCACTTGACACAAGCAGTAAACTTCAGCTCTAGATCCACATCATGCTTGTGTGATTTACATTTTAGGTGATGATGGGTTAGTTGTACTGTCATAAAATCATGCTTGTGCATGCTTGTTTCAAACTTTTACAATTTTAGGAAACCCTTATCATTTACCTTTAGAGCCAGAGCAAAGTTGTTTGAGGGTCAAGGTACCTGGAAGGTAAAAACTAGGTCCACATTTATGAAGTGATCAAACTGTCTTTATTCTTTTGTGTTATCTATAGCACGTTAATGATTTGTTGTACTACCTCATGTTCTCTCAGTCAAGCTGCAAAACCACACACAGTGTAATGTCACCACTGTTTCAGTAGCCAGGGAAAAACACTGAAGAACGCTTGTTGCCTGGCGGCATTTCACAATGGAGCTACAAAACATTGGAGATTGCGCTTAAACACATGCAAATAAAACCAAGCGAGTGGTAGTAAACATACCACCCAGTCTACAAATACACATGCTTTATATTTTAAAAAGACACCATAACCATGAATGAGTAAGAAAATAAAAGTCTCACACAATCTACATACACCCAATATACGATATTGCACTTAGAACACACAGTATATACAAGACATTTTAAAATGCAGCACATCGGTATGATAACCAACACAAAGGTAACATGAATAGACCCTTCAGTCAAAATCAGTGGTGTGCTGGTGCCTCTCATTCCAGCGCCGGCTGTCCTTCATTTGTAATATCAAAATTATTTTTACAAAACCTTTTGTACTGCCATGGTTGAGAATCATAGAGTGATGCTTTCACAACCGAACCTCCACCAATGGCAGCAGCTCTTTCCTCATCAGTGACATGTATTGTAACTACAATCACAACCCAGTACCTTCACACAAGTCAATGGTCTTTAAGTTAATTTCAATCCCAAATTCTGTTTTATAAACACATACATGACCTGACATTGCTATTATATATTACACACAAGACCTCCACTGCTGCATTCTCTCCACATAAGGGTTTCACCAGCCCAGTATCCCCAGGAATTATGTTCATACTGGATGATTCTGCTGCACATAATTGTGCCCACGTTCAGTGCCAATGCAAGAAGCATTCTGTCCTTTAATGTAGTTAAGTAAGGGTGTTGTAGTGGGGGTGGTGGATAGACGTGTAGCAGATCTGACTTTCATGCAGTTTGTGACCCTAACCCCTAACTCCAATACCTTATATATACACCTTATAATACCTTATCCTTCCAATCTTCATGGTAACGGCTAATCCCTCCCTGGGACACCTTTGATTCTATCCCCTTGACCATCATCTTAAACATCTTCCTCACAAAACATCTTTGCACCTTTGGATCTTGGATTGTTTTTTTGGCCCTTAATCCCTTGACCGCTGCTTTTGCACTGTCTCCAGGATTCTCCTAATGTCTGGGTTCTCCTTCTCCTCTCTCTCTCTCTTCTCTACTTCCCTGCCACTTTGGGGCTCCTCCTGGCTGAATGAGGGTTCACACGGTGTGCGGACTCTTGAGTGACATGTGCTGACCTGTGCCTTCGCTTCCTATTCCAAACTTCCTTGTCAATGGAGACTAACCTAACCCTAACCCTAACCCTGAGGCAGCCATGATCTTTCCCAAACCTTAATCAGGTATTTAAGTTGCTTATCCTTTAACTGATAACCACTATTTTCCCCTAACCTGACCAGCCTGTAACTGCCTCACAAATAGAGTAGAAATAGATCATTTCAAAAACATCGGCACTGCACACTATCTGGAGTTTTGCTGAATCGGCCAAATCAATATTTTGAAGGCCAATACAATATTCTAGACTGAAGTCACCAACAGTGGGTTTTGTGCTGATGTTTTGTGTCAGTATTTTTTAATCTTGATCATTTTCATGTCAAAGAAGAACAAGAATTCAGTACTACCAAACCTTTACACTTATTAGGATGGAAAAGCCTTCGAACAAGGACATGGGACGTGACAAGGGGACACTAAAACACGTGGGACACTGGAACTCACACTAAAGAAATTCTCAGGGTTAGCAGCTTGTTAAAGCAAGATGACATACTGTACTTATTTAATGGTAGGGAAAGTAAACAATACATTAAAGAACAGTTTCGGGTATTACAACTTATTTTTGCACCATCATTTCTATCACTGAAAATAACACTTTCAGTGTAATGGTCAAAACTATGAAAATTACTTAAGTTATAATAAAGCGGAACTTCCCTTTAATATTTTTAGATAAATCACTTTTGAACAATTACACAAATAAATAAAGAAACAATTAAAGAAAGAAAAGTATGACTGCATGTCTAGGCTGATCTGATGAACCTCACTTATATCAGCAGTGGATGGCATGACTGGCTGATATCTCAAATCTGATAAAGTATGAGGTATGCGCTCTACCATAAACAACATCATTATATTCTGTTTTGGCCTGGCAGCCTATTTTAAATGTCCCTTGAAACTAAACGTTCAGTTTTTTGCAGGTAAGTCAAAAAAATTCCTTTTGATCCACACAGTGAACACTTCGTTTTGGGAGGTTGGGTCCAAATCAGAAAATAAAGCCCCCTCATACTTCCAGCCTTTTGAGGCTGCGTTCAGTTTCCTTTTAGGAAGTGAAATAATTGGACAGAAGCTTGCCCAGCTTACATATATGCATCTATGCATCCACTCACAAATAATGTCCTTTCAGTCGTCGCTCAGTCATTCATCTCATGTAGTCCATCTATTTAACAAAAAGTAGTGGGGTTATAACTGTAACACTGCCACTAGGTGGAGTCATTGCCCTGTAAACATGACCCACAGCAACTCTGTTTGTACGGATCCAGGTGGCACAGCTTCAGTCTCTTCACCACACTACAGTACTGGTTTGTGTCCCTGCATTCACCTGCATGGGAATAAAAGCACTCCACTCAGCAAAGAATAAAAGCATTTCATCGTTGTCAGTAATCATATTGTTGTATATTGTTGTTGTATTTTACAGCTCCCTTAGTTTGTCAAACATTAGAAAAAATATGATATTTTCATTGTCATTTCCTTTTCTTCTTGGAATGGACTGTATAATTTAGGACTTATTAAAGGCAAGTGTTATTGATATTAAGGAGGTAACTGAGTGCCCTGGATGCAACCATGGTTTTCCTTCTGCTTCCCCCAGATGAACTGCTCATTGGACCAGCCAGTGGTGAAAGGTAATTAAGTACATTTGCTCAAGTAGTGGTATGGTAACTGGACTTGATATTTGTACTCGAGTACATTTCAGAGGCAATCTAGGTGTATATAAGGTAATTAGAATTAGCTCCACATCGACTTGCTATAACATTAAAAGATGTTGCTTCATGTTGATGTAGGATTTGATCCAAGAGTAAAATATAAACAACAATGTTATATACTTTTAGGATGTGCCAGCCTGGGGCGCTGAAACCATCATCTAAGTCAATGCTACAGAAAAAACATTGGTAAACCCTGGTGCTGATAGTGGTTTCAGAATGTGCAACAAAACAAGATTAACTTCATGGGGTTTGCAAAGAAAACTTGATTTTCCCTCTTGTTTTTTCTTGTGGAACACTCACAACATTAAGCTCTGTTAACTAAGCAATTTAGCAGCCATGTTCTTTAATCCACTGTTGAATAATATTGATCGCTTATAATCAAAATGGTGTGCTGTAAGTCAATGAGTATGTATATCATTTAGAATTGTGATAGTGATATTGTTATATGTATTAAATATTCACTTTCTAGTGTTTCTATAGCTATTAGGGGTCATCTTAGTTGGGGGTCCAAGGCAGTTGCCTACCTTGGCTGATGGTAATCTACCCCAGTTATACAGAAAATAGAGACAGATGAATTGGAACACTTCCAATTAATACATTCTAATGAATTGGTAGTGTAACATATAAAGCTTTTTTAGTTTGCAGATAGCAAGTCAGCCAAACATGCAAAAGTTTCCTGTAATAAATTCTTATTTACTTGTGTTTAATGAATATCAGTCAGTAAGATTTTAGCATTTATTTTTTTCTTACAGCTTTTTTAAGTGTACACTATTCACTAATAAACTAATGGCTATATACTTTCTTCAACAATAAAAATATCAATATCAATATCTCAAAAGCTATGGGTAAAGGGGCATACTGCTGCTGACTGCTGCTCCTTGTAATGGTATCACAGACACACGTACAAAGACTTACTCCCACAGATGGTAATGTTGCAGTACTGCCAGGTGGAGGGCCGTTGGAGCCAGGCACAGTGCTGGTCAGCTAGAGTCCTGCCACTCCTGCGGTGAACACAGTCCACCTTGCGGGACTGAAAGCCGCTGCCACAGACCACCGTGCAGGCCCGCCACGCACCGGGACGCCAATGGACGTCACACAGGTCCGAGGAACAGTTGCGTACTGACGCAGGCCTGAAAGAGAGCAGTTTTAGTTTTGTCTTGCTACACATTCAGTCATTCAGTCTACTTTCCGTAGATTCTGAGAGGCATTAATTCAACTCTATGTTTAAAGCTGGTTGTCTTGAACTGTGTTACTAATATTTTTCCCCCTCATGTTTATAAATGGGGTGGTTTATGGTTAGGCTGCATAAGATTTCACAGGTGCACCTAACAAAGTGGCCTGCATATAACACAGTAATTCCTACATGTATGCACAGTTCTACAGAGTTACAGAGTAATTTGATTACCAGCTTTGTGAGAATGTAGACCTGATATACAGTAATAGTATTTTCATTGTGTTTGAGTGTATGTGTATACCTGTCCCTCAGATCACAGTCTGTGTATGAGGAGCCATTGGCATGTTGGCAGATGACAGATCTCTTCTGTACACTGGTGGTGGAGCCTACACACCTCCCTGAACACTGAAATTGATCAACACAGAGTTTACACTTAACCATACAATTTCTACAGTATGTCACATGAACAAATGTTTAATTCAGTGTTTGAATGTACCTTTCCCCATGGACTGGTTATCCAGGTTGGACAGTTATTGGCGGTGCACTGCTCTGTGTCTGTGGGCTGGCTCATCCTCTTGCAGCCAGCCGCTGTCAGGGTCCTCACTATACCTCTGGCATCCAGCTGCTGACAGGAGACCTGCCTCTGTTTCCAGCCACTGCCACACGAGGCCGAGCACTTTGACCACTTTGACACCGACCATCTGAAATGATGATATGAAGCATTTTACGTTGTAAAATGGGAGGTCTCTGCTTATGAATAATAAAAGAAACAATGATATGCAACCACTCATTTCCAAAAACAACTGTTAATCATACCTACTTCACACTAGACAGGTTGTAAGGCAGGAGTAGAAGTAACACATTTAGTCTTGTTACTGTAACTGTCACAATCCTATCCTGAGTTTCTCTGTGAGTGTATTTATTTGTCAGTTTTCTATCTGTCATTAAGGTCTGTGTTACGGTGTTCTGTCCTGTCTTGTTCAGTCTGCCCAGTGTTAGTTTCTTTACTGTTACCTGTCTTTTGGTTTTGATCTGTGCTTGCCTTAGTTCCTGTCTTACTCTGTAATTGTCTGGTGTTCTGTCTAATCCTAGTTTCAGTTCTGCCTTGCCCAGTTAATGTTGTTTTCTACTCCCTGCCTCTGTGTTCTAGTTCTGTGTTCTTGTTTAGGTTTTATCTCTTATGATCCTTGTGTTTTAGTTGGTGGGTGTTTGTCTGTTTACATGGGTTTCTGTCCTTGTCTGGTATATGTAACATGTGTTCTGTCTGTTCCTCCCAGTAATCCCTCGGCCTGCCTGTCTCTCTGCTTCCCCTGCTGTTTCTCTGCCTGCCTGTCCTTTACCCTCCCTTAAGTTTCAAAGAGCAGCACAATTAAATCATTTTATCCCCATTCAAGTTAGCAGCGGGCTAGACCGGAAGTTAGCCCGCTCGGGTGGCAGAAGTCTCTGGTGTGCACATATTCATCCTGGGTGATTGTTTTACAGCGGGATGTGCTTTTTTGGCTTCCTGCGCTACTGACCAACTTTCATAGGAAAGATAAGAGCCCCATCTCCAATCCTGTATCCATTTCTTCTTTATACATCCAGGGACCAAATCCTGGAGGGGATCATACGTGTGTATGTCCGCAGCTAATCTCGCATACTGGACCCATCAGCCTCATATGTTCTGTGCACATTTATGACTGTACGCCTATCGTAAAGCTTAGACTTCTGTCTTTTCAGCAGTATTTGCCATTTTAAGATATGTGTTACGGCAAAGCAAATGGCATATCTTAAATTCAGAAGATTTGACTTATCGTCTCGTTTATTGTTTTCTTATTAAGTTTCTACAGTTCAGCAAACCCAGGACGCTCAGTTATAATAGCATCGAACTATTCTATGCATCTTAAAGATTACTGAGGCTATACTATACAAAGACTTTATTTAAAACTTTGGATACATATACTGTATAAGAGAACTCACACTCTATTATGCTATACAAAAACACTTTCTCCCCTTCATTCCATGCACTGAACACACAGCCTGCCCTGCACTCCCCATTGATGACTACATCCTTGGCTATGTGTGTGGCTCTTATCTTGATGTGGACAGTAAAAGGTCAGCAACAAAGCCTGGTATTACAGTGTGCTTGGTGATAGCCTGAAAATACAGACTATGCAGTATCCCAGAGAAAGCTACCTCCCGCTGTGAGTCAGACGATAAGACAGTGCTTTTCACAAACCAAACTCCATCCACAATCCACACTGTCAATACTCTGCAACCTCTCCCTCTTCAAACGTCTCATGGTTCTACAATAATAATAAAAAATGTAACTGACAATTTAGTGTTCTTGTGCCTGAGTACCACAGTGCTTCGAGCTAATAGTGTGTAATGTGTGTTGCATTAGTGAGTGAAGCTGACACTGTGAAGGGAAGCGGGGTGGGGGTGGGGGGGCTGACTGTTGGGCAAAGGCGGGCTGGCAGAGCTGGAAACAGCAGGGGGCTGAGGCTGAGAAGATTCTGCTGAAAGTTACACTTCTGTTGTGACCTCGCTGCTCTTCGTGAATTCATTAGCAGCCTACCCTCTCTGTGTTTAAAGTCATTAAAGTCAGTGAGTAAAAGAGTTTTTCCCAAGTATGTAGACTTGCAAAATGTAAATCAGTCACTGTAATGCAATTCTGTTTGATTGCATCTTTATTGTATATTCTGTGCACACATGCTAGCTTTAGCCTGGCTGGCACCTTGACCTAACAGATATCAATACACCATATCCCAAATGAAATATCTGCTGAATATGGGAATTTACTAAATAAAAATGTTTGATTCGGTTTGTCATATCAAGGACATATGCACAATAATACCATTTGAAAATACTGTAAGAGAAGTCAGTCTTGCTGCTTGTATGATAAATGAACTGAGACCTGCTGACACAATAGTGCCCCAGCGTTTTCCCTTGTGTTTCCTTATGTTTCCGCCTTCCCTTGGTGCCATTCCTCATCCGCCATCATCCAACCCCTTAAACGAAGCTTGAGGAGATGAGGACGAGGAGAGAGGCTTCTGGAGGAGCTTAGAGTGAGAAAACGCAGGTGTGTCCTCCGCACAAATCTTTTATTAGTGGTGTGAAATATAACCTAAATGCAGCGCCTCCACATGTGTACAGATAATATAAAAAAAACATTACATAGTAATGTTACATAGTAAGATGCAATAGAATGTGATAGACTTTAGAATATATGGGATAATTGAATTGATTATTATTTAATTTGAAAGTGTTCAAAGCAGCAGTTTGTTTGTTATTTTACAATATAATCCACATTCCATTTTATGTGGTCAACATTAAAAACATAGTAATGTGTAGATGTGGAACTGTTACACATCTAAATGAATAAAGAAATATTGTATATAAGAATTTTATAAGGTCAAAAGAGATATTCATATTTTTCTCTCTCTCTCTGAAAGATACTGTAAGGTTTTGAAATAGTTCTTAAATTAGGGGTTCTGTGGACATTCGTGCTAGTTGGTTTAGGGCATTCAGCTCTGCAGCACGTTATAAGTAAGTGACGTCGCTTTAGACTGATGCTATGGAAACAAGGATTTCTCTTTTGGCGGCTTCATCTTCTCTGTCCTGGCGTCTCTGGTTTCTCATTTCTCTATTCTGTGCCTCCTGGTCTCCTCACTCCTCCATCCTCCTACCTGTGTAAGATGGTCTCAGCGCGCCATCTTGGAGGAGGTCTTAATTCCTACAATACATCTCGAGGAGAGAGGAGGCTTGTCAGAGGAGCTATGGGCTGGGAAGCACCGGCCTTTTTGGCACCCAGGATGTATAAAAGAGGCATGTCAGGACTCTACAGTGTTCCTTATGTATTCATAAATTGTATTAGTTAGGCCTATTTAAGATGCACGATCAAACTTTCTGCCCTTCACCGTTTGTTTAGCGCCTAGTAAGGAACTGCTCTATCCACATTCCTTAATGACATTTCACCTTGATATTACTGATCTGATTAATTGCGGATGAAAGCGGCCACTGCCCTCTAACAATAAAAGGGTGTGCATGGTCTGAAACATTTACATTTACTCATTTATCTGACGCTTTTATCCAAAGTCACCTACAATTGCTATATATGTCAGAGGTCGCACACCTCTGGAGCAAAGAGGGGTTAAGTGTCTTGCTCAGGGACACAATAGTGTCTCACAATGGATTTGAACCCAGGTCTCTCACACCACCACAAGGCTTGTGTAAGTGGTACGTGTCAAAGCAACATCTACATGAATGGCAGGAACCAAGATTTTCCAGCAGAACGTAGCCCAAAGCATCACACTGCCTCTGCTGGCCTGCTTTCTCCCCATAGTACATTCTGATGCCACATATTCCCCAGGTAAGCGATGCACATGCACCTGGCCTCCACATGGTATAAATGAAAATGTGATCCATCAGACAAGGCCAACTTCTATTGCTCCATGGTCCAGTTCTCAAGCTCACGTGCCCATTGTACGCTCTATTGGCAGTGAAAAGGAAGGAGTCAGCATGAGCACCCTGACTGATCTGTGACTGTGAAGCCCCAGATGCAACAAACTGCGATGCACTGTGTGTTCTGACACCTTTCTATCAGAACCAGCATTAACTTATTCAGTAATTTGACCTTCAGTAGCTCGTCTGTTGGATCGGACCAGGTGGGCCAACCTTTGCTCCCCCACATGCATTAATGAGTCTTGACCTACCATGACCCTGTCGCCGGTTCATAGCTTTTCCTTTCTTGGACCACTTTTGATACTACTGACCACTGCAGACCAGGAACACCCCACAAGAGCTGCAGTTTTGGAGATGCTCTGGCCCAGTCGTCTACCCATCCCAATTTAACCCTTTGCTCAAATCCTTACGCTTACCCATTTTCCCTTCCAACACATCAACTTTGAGGACAAAATGTTCACTTGCTGACTACTATATCCCACCCACTGACAGGTGTAACGTCATAATCAGTGTTATTCACTTCACCTGTCGGTGGTCAAAATGTAATGGCTGATGGTGTATATCTCACATGCTCAGTGTATGAACCAGTATAGCCCCTCTGGTTCTCTGTCACATGTTAGTTGTTTCAAAGTGCAGGACTAAACCCTTTGGTGAGGCGTCTTTTAGCTTATATGCCCCGAGTATAGCTGGAAGTGTTTAAATCTTAAAACATAAACTTTAAAACTACCTCTTCAGCCTGGCTTTTGATTAAGAATGGTTTAAAGACATTTACTTCATTTCATTCTCTTATTTTATTGTATTTATGTTATAAAATTGTATTCTATTTATTTGTTGTTATTCTATTAGTCTAGTTAGACTAGTTTTTAGTCTGGCTTTTATCTATTATTACCTAAGATTAGGGTATTTGGCTTATTATGGTTGACACCTCTGTCCTATTGGCTTGTCAGTGATCTGTGAACTACACTAACTTGTATTTAAGGTGCCATACAAATAAAGTTTGATTAATTGAGCAGTCAGATAACCAGACAGTCTGAATGTGCAAAATAACCCGCAGTGCTTGCATTTGTGGTCTGAACAGGCAGTAACATAAGTGAGTATATAAATGAACATGGACATTACGCTTCCTCAGTCTAACATAAAACTGCATTGTTTTTTCACTGAATTTTTTTATTTTACTTTATTTCCATTATTTCTTATTCTCCCATACTCCCTGTGCCAGGAGCTGGCACTGTGTCTGACCTAATTTGATGATCTCCCAGAAATACACGACATCATGACATCTGCATTTAAGTGTACCTGGGAGGGCAGTCCTGTCTGTTGCAGGGAACTGGGAAGGTGAAGGGTTTTGGTATGTGCTGACACATTCTGGGCTGAACTTCCCTTCCATCCAGAGTGACACAGTGAATCCTCTGCAGCCAAGTCCCTGTGTTCCCACAAGAAGCGCTGCATGTGGACCAGTCTCCAAAACCCCAGTCAAACTCTGTGGACCCAAATGTAACACACTCAGATCTATAGGATCATGGAAACAACAACAAAAATATTTCAGAACGCCTTAGGAAGCATTCAGCTTTAACCACCATCCAAGGACTTGCTAAAGTGTGAATGAGTGTTCGGCATTGTTCTCAATTTTTTTGTCAGATTTTGAAATGCCCACAATAGAGGTAAGAAACAGCTTGAGGCAAAACTGAGACAGCTGGGATAGGCACTTTTTAATGCATAACTAAAAACCTGAATACAATGAAGAGATATTCTGTGGAGGGGTTGGTTGAGTGTCTGAACCAGCTGAATCAACTTTGGATAATGTTGTGTGTAGAGTTGTAACTACTGATTGTTTTATTATAAACTGGATTATCTTCTTTATACAAAAGGTTGTTACAAAATTTAAATGAACACATGGGCATTGTCAAGGTATGAAACATGGAGTGCAGATCTTAAATTAAGTATGTATTGGACCAGAGTCCAACTACTTAACTATAAAATTATTCAAAATTGTTCTTTTTGCACTTACTTCTGTATATGTATCTATGTACACACACACACACACACACATATATACATACAGTGAGGAAAATAAGTATTTGAACACCCTGCTATTTTGCAAGTTCTCCCACTTAGAAATCATGGAGGGGTCTGAAATTGTCATCGTAGGTGCATGTCCACTGTGAGAGACATAGTCTAAAAAAAAAAAAAATCCAGAAATCACAATGTATGATTTTTTAACTATTTATTTGTATGATACAGCTGCAAATAAGTATTTGAACACCTGAGAAAATCAATGTTAATATTTGGTACAGTAGCCTTTGTTTGCAATTACAGAGGTCAAACGTTTCCTGTAGTTCTTCACCAGGTTTGCACTGCAGGAGGGATTTTGGCCCACTCCTCCACACAGATCTTCTCTAGATCAGTCAGGTTTCTGGGCTGTCGCTGAGAAACAGAGTTTGAGCTCCCTCCAAAGATTCTCTATTGGGTTTAGGTCTGGAGACTGGCTAGGCCACGCCAGAACCTTGATATGCTTCTTACAGAGCCACTCCTTGGTTATCCTGGCTGTGTGCTTCGGGTCATTGTCATGTTGGAAGACCCGGCCTCGACCCATCTTCAATGCTCTAACTGAGGGAAGGAGGTTGTTCCCCAAAATCTCGCAATACATGGCCCCGGTCATCCTCTCCTTAATACAGTGCAGTCGCCCTGTCCCATGTGCAGAAAGACACCCCCAAAGCATGATGCTACCACCCCCATGCTTCACAGTAGGGATGCTGTTCTTGGGATGGTACTCATCATTCTTCTTCCTCCAAACACGGTTAGTGGAATTATGACCAAAAAGTTCTATTTTGGTCTCATCTGACCACATGACTTTCTCCCATGACTCCTCTGGATCATCCAAATGGTCATTGGCAAACTGAAGACGGGCCTTGACATGTGCTGGTTTAAGCAGGGGAACCTTCCGTGCCATGCGTGATTTCAAACCATGACGTCTTAGTGTATTACCAACAGTAACCTTGGAAACGGTGGTCCCAGCTCTTTCCAGGTCATTGACCAGCTCCTCCCGTGTAGTTCTGGGCTGATTTCTCACCTTTCTTAGGATCATTGAGACCCCACGAGGTGAGATCTTGCATGGAGCCCTGGTCCGAGGGAGACTGACAGTCATGTTTAGCTTCTTCCATTTTCTAATGATTGCTCCAACAGTGGACCTTTTTTCACCAAGCTGCTTGGCAATTTCCCCGTAGCCCTTTCCAGCCTTGTGGAGGTGTACAATTTTGTCTCTAGTGTCTTTGGACAGCTCTTTGGTCTTGGCCATGTTAGTAGTTGGATTCTTACTGATTGTATGGGGTGGACAGGTGTCTTTATGCAGCTAACGACCTCAAACAGGTGCATCTAATTTAGGATAATAAATGGAGTGGAGGTGGACATTTTGAAGGCAGACTAACAGGTCTTTGAGAGTCCGAATTCTAGCTGATAGACAGGTGTTCAAATACTTATTTGCAGCTGTATCATACAAATAAGTAGTTAAAAAATCATACATTGTGATTTCTGGATTTTTTTTTTTTTAGATTATGTCTCTCACAGTGGACATGCACCTACGATGACAATTTCAGACCCCTCCATGATTTCTAAGTGGGAGAACTTGCAAAATAGCAGGGTGTTCAAATACTTATTTTCCTCACTGTATATACATATACACATATACACACACACACACACATATATATATAGATGCTTTGATGATAAATGTCTTGTGCATCATGTTATACACATACCCCCAAACAATATTTGGTATCTTTATAATGTCAACTAGAATCAAAATTAAATGCTGTGGGTTTTAACAATTTTTGGCTGCACCTCAGTAAACACTTTCCTGATGAGTTTATGGTCTCAATCACTACTTTCAGGTCTTCTTCAACACAGCATGATGTTCATTTAGTAAATTATGGTCCCATTTAGAGGAAAATAGATCATAAAGCAGAGGATGCTTTAGGGCGGGATTATCTATGATTGGCAAGTCGTTACCATGGCGACCTGTCAATCAGGCTAGAGTGACTGGTACCCATGGCACTGTGTAAATTTAACCAGCGCCGTTAAAAAAGCGATTTAGGAGTTGCTGGTTTAAGCCTGTTGTTTGCTAGACAAAATTGTCAGCCCCAAATGACAGTTAACGTGAATTGCAGATGCACCTAGCTAAACAAGCTAACTAGCTCCACAAATGGCCGTTAGCTCCACCGTCTCGTCCAAATATGGTCACTTCCTGGCTGCAAAAAATCAACATGGCGGCGCCCTATCACCCAAACTCGAGGCTTGAAAATGGCAGTCCACAAACCAACGGGTGACATCACGATGATTACGTCCACTTTCATACAGTCTATGGTCCTAAAATGACTCCATGCAAACTTGGCATGTAAATAAATGGTGCGATACACTGTGTGGTACCTTGATATAGAAAACAATTTGGGAAATCCACAATCTGGAATGGCAGTCCTCAGCTTGAAAATCTCCAGTATTTTTTTGAAAATGATTATTATTTAAAAATATTTATTATTAGTATAAATTTATTATTTTTGATTATCATTGTTTTTATATATTGTTTTTTATCATGCCATCGCTGTTTACTTTTATTACATACTGGAGAATCCTGTTTCAGAGAATGATTAATATGCTCAAAACTTACATTATCTATGTTTGTATATGATTTGATAGGCAGTTTTAGATTTTTTCTCACGTATGCTTATGAATTTGTTTTTTAACTTGTATTTGTACTATCTTGTTTTGCTAAGTGTTATATAAATTATTTTCTTTATTATTATAAATCACTTATGAACATCTTTTATCTAAAATGATAGGAAATATTCTTCAAAAGGCTATACTAGCCAGCGTACTAGCATCTTACAGGAAAATAATAAAGCACTAGTTTAACACTTATGCACTTAATGACATAAAGAATGATCTCTGTATACATTAATTACATGAACTACTCAGAAAGGGTGGTGGAATAAAGAATGGGTTTAACAGAGAATAAGAAGAGCTTCTCAATGTCTTTTACAACAGCTTCAAAGTCAATCACACACTTCACAGCAAAGGCAGCTGGGGTTATAATTACCTTTAGCTTTTCCTCTCCCCTCTGTAGTCCTGGTCCAGAGCTGGGCTGCAGACATGTGGGTCAACAATGAGGAGAGGAGTTCTGAGGCCTCCTCCTGCTTGATCTCACCTCTGTCAGCCTGCAGGGTGATATTGATCAGTCTCTCCTCAACCTGTGGCTGCAGGGAGGCCTCCTGGACACCAGGGGGCAGCAGAGACACACTTACTCCAGGCCGGAACAAGTCCAGATTTGAGTAGTGCCTTTGGCAAACAGGCAGCATCTCCTCCAATGTAGGACTAGGACTGGCAGTAGATGGTCTGCCAGTTGACCTACTGCTACTGTCACTACCTATCAGCTGGAGGGTGAAGATGTCTGAGGCGGGTCCAGCAACACACTTGTACACCCCAATGTCCTCTGCCCCCAGAAAGTGGATCTTCAGAGAGCCAGATCTAGTTACACCCAGGTGTTTGGAGCTGGACAGGGGATGTCCGTCTTTGAGCCAGCGGATGTAGGCTTTAGGGAACCTTCTGACGGGGCACCTGATGACTAGGGAGGTGTTGGGTAGGAGGTAGGCGTGGCCGCCGACAGTCAGGTAGAGGCGTTTCTCCTTGCGGGTCTGGATGTAGATGTGGTGTACACCCATGAGCAGCGGACACTGTTTAACCCCCTCCATATAGCCTCTGGCCTTTGCTGGACGTCTCGCTAGCTGCTTGACTTGGACTTGAACCTTCTGGTTGTCTTTGGGTCTCATCTCTTTCTTGTACTCTGTAATAAATAAGAAAAGTGAGAGGGTGTTATTTTTTTAAATTGTTTCAACATAAAACTATGAGGTTTCATTGAAATTTTGGGTCATCTGAACTGATACTTAATAATTTGTTCATTAGTTGTTCTAATGTAAAACACAATGAGTCAACTTGATTGACTTAAGGAAAATAAGTTAGACAAATTACAGGCTAGACTAAAAACATTTAGGAATGCCATGCGTAATGCCAGAGCAGCCCATTACTCATCATTAAAAGAGGTTTCATTTCAGCACTGTAGCCAGGCTGACAGAGAGTCACAGCTCTATTGAGCCATGTTTTCCTCTAATCCTCAGAAGTAATAACTTCATGAGCTTCTAACTATTAGATACAAAATTCAACTCAGGAACAGCTGTAAAACCTGATATATACTTAAGACTGCTTTCTCCCATCGATCTTTACCAACTAACTTCAGTAATTTTGTCATCTAAGCCATCAACCTGTGTCCTGGACCCCATCTAGGCTATTTAATAAGTTTTACCCTTAGTTAGCACTTCTTGACTAGAATTTGGGAACATTCCCGAATGGTCGGTGCTCAAGAGGTTTTTATTTTTCAGTTTCTTATGTTAAACTTTAAATTATCAGCGACCGCGCCGTCTGGCTGGTCGGTAAGCTGCAGCGAACGCTATCTGTGTCAGACTGAAAGACTGAGCCAAACTAATACTTTCAATATTGAGTGTGGATGCAGGAATATCACAGTGACTTATGGTGTTTGTGCATTTTTTTAAAGTTAATTTTGTGTTATGTTTTGAAAATAAATTTAACTGTTTTGACAAAACGTGCAAAATGCAGAGAGTTTTTGTGCTGGTGGTGAGTTTGAATGAGAGAACACTTCATGAAATTTGAAAGATGCGGTCATTGTAGAACAGTGCAACGTGGGGACCCATAATGTTTTAGGCTTGATAGAAATTATTTTTTATGATTAACAATTTATTGTTTTTTCCGAACATTTCCATATCCATCTGAAGAATGAAGCAGTACTCATACAACAAAAGAGAAAGAAAGAAAGACATAGCACGACCATAGACAAAAAGTAAACTATAAATACATTATAGAAGATGAAAGAAAACAAAAAAAACTGAAGGACAGTGATGCACCTAGCCCTTGAGTTGTATCCTCGCCTAAATGTAGGTACCTTATTCTATCAAAATGTATCCATCAGTCATGTTTTCTAGATAAATGCTATGGTCGCCGTTAAACCTCCAAGGTGTATGAAAGATACTTCCCCCATTTCAAGTTGTAGTCCTCCACTTTATCAAGCAACCTATAGGACAGTCGTTCTAGGGCAGCCAGCTGACCCAGAGCGGCGTGCCACAAATCCAATGCTGGTGCAGAGGGGGCTTTCCATTCTTTGACCAAAAGTTTCCGGCCTAGCATGAGGACAATCTGGGTCCAGTTAGAGAGTGTAGGGGTCAGGTTACTTAATGCAGAGGGGTCCCCCAAAATAAACAGACTAGGGGTGAACAGGATATTCTGGTCGACGATTTTCTCTACGATTGTATGAAGGGAAGAGCAAAATGCCTGAATTTGGGGCAACTCCAGAGCATGTGTACTAGAGTACCATTTTTGTCCCGACACCTCCAGCATTCCGAGTTATCAACCAAACCAACCTTATGCAGCCTGGATGGTGTCCAATAGATTCTATTCAGTATTTTGAATTGGATAAGACGCATTCGCAGTTCCCTTGACATTTTTTTCCATTTGTAAGAATTCCGCCCCATTCTGCATCTGTCAATGACACCTTTAGGTCAGTTTCCCATGTCATTTTAAGGGACATTATATTAGAGTCCGAGGCTGCAAGGATCATAACATAGTAGGAAGAGGCTTCATGGCCGCGCCCATAAATTGTTAGAACCTTCTCCAACATGTCACCGCTCGGAGGAACTACTGAAGGGGAGCCGAAGAACTGCACCAGGAGGTGTCTTAACTGAAAATACTTCCATTGTTGATTACGTGGTAAGTCAAATTCCTGTCTAAGTGCCTCAAAGGATTTTAATGTCCCATCATGGTACAAGTCTCCGAGCACCCTAATCTCTTTTTGCAACAAGAGCTCCCAAAGGAAGGATTTTGCCAGATCCCGGCATCCTGGTGCAGATACGGATCAAATTTAAAGATCTTAGCTACTCTCTTCCAGACCCACTGAATGTGGGACAAAATGGGATGTGACTGATTCTGTTGGGCTAATTTAGCTGTGATGTAAGCTATAGGTGTGAGAGGGGAGGACACCACGCTTTCGAGATGGAACGACGGGGGGGCTCTCTCCGGGGTAAAGACCATTATGCCATATGCCTAATGGTAAACGCATAATGGTAAAAGAGCAAGTTGGGCACACCTAATCCTCCTTTGTCCACTGGCCTCTGCAGCTTACGCAGGTTCATCCTGGGGCTGTTATTATTCCATAAAAATTTATTACAAAGTTGATCAAATTGTTTGAAATAGCGCAAAGGAATTCGAACTGGGATAGCCTGTAGCAAGTAGTTGAATTTCGGAGCACAAATTATTTTAATGATGTTTGCCTTGCCCCACATAGAGAGATACAATGGAGACCACCGCTCTAAATCAACCCGCAGTTTGTCCAGTAGGGGTCGAAATTTGTTTTGATCAGATCTGTCAATATGGGGGGGGGAATGTTAAACCAAGATATTTAATGCCTTTCTTAGGCCAGGCAAAAGTGCCTGACTGGAAGAGGGATTTGGGACAATATGGTGTGAGAGGAAGAGCCTCAGATTTGGTCCAGTCTTTATAACACAAAATGGATGAGAACTTGTCAATAATTTTAAATAGTGATGCAAGAGAATGTTCAGGATCTGTGACAAAAAAAAGGATATCGTCTGCATACATCATCAATTTATGACATCTGTCACCGATTTGTATGCCTGGAAATGCAGGTTCTTTACATATAGCCACCGCTAGCGGTTCAAGTGCAACTGCAAAAAGTAGAGGAGAGAGAGGGTCTCCCTGCCTCGTGCCTCTTTCCAGTTCAAATGGGAGGGAGATGATACCGTTAGTAAGCACCGATGCTGAGGGGTGAGTGTATATGAGCCTAATCGAAGCTATGAACTTTTTGCCGAAGCCAAAACATTCCAGGGTGGAGACAGATAATGCTACTCCACCCTATCAAACGCCTTTTCGGTGTCCAACGAGATAGCAGCCATGGGAAAGACGTGTTATCCTGAGTGGCCCACATAATATCAAGAAGTCTTCTGTTGTTGTCAGCCGAGGAGCGCGAACGTATAAAGCCCACCTGGTCAGGATGGATCAAGGAGGTTATTACCTTGTCGAGACGGTTAGCTACAATTTTAGATAGTAATTTACTGTCACAGGAGGTCAGACTAATAGGTCTAAAATTTTTACAGTCTAAAGGGTCTTTTCCTTCCTTCAAGATAAGGGTGATAATGGCCTCAGATAATGAGGGAGGGAGTTTACCCTTCTCGAAAGCTTCATTATAGGTGTCTAAGAGTAATGGTGTAAGTTCGTCAGCATAAGCTTTATAAAACTCGGCAGTAAAGCCATCTAAACCTGGTGCTTTACCTGAAGGGAGGCGTTTAATAATGTCCCTTATCTCCTCAATAGTAACAGGTTATTCAAGACGCTCAAGCTAGTCCCCTGACAACACCGGCAGATCAAGAGTCGACAGAAAAGACTTAATTTCTTCCCTGTCCCCCTTCGACTCTGAAGTATACAATTTTACATAAAAGTCTCTAAAAGCTGCATTAATCTCCTTGGGATCAGTCAGGACAGACCCATTGTCCCTCCTAATAGCAGGAATAGCACTCATTGCTTCTTTTTGTTTAACGTACCTGGCAAGCAGTCTACCAGCCTTGTCACCCTCCTCAAAGTATTTCTGCCTTGCCCGAAACAGAGAGAATTCTGCCCTCTGGGTCATGACTGAATTAAAATCATATGTTAGTCTAGTCAACCTGGTAAGATTTTCAGAGGACATATTTTTTTTAAAGTTTGATTCTGCCTCTCAAAAAGGCTTTCAAAGCCTCCCAAGCTACCCCTGCTGATGGAGCCGTTGGGAGATTGGTCTCTATATAGAGGTTGATTTGTGATCTAAGAGATTCCTTAAAGTTCTCATCTAATAGAAGGCTAGAGTTTAGTCTCCATCTAGTTGACCTAGCCGGCTTATTAAAGGACAGAATATGGAGAAATATTGGACTATGGTCTGAAATAATTATATTACCAATGTCACTCGCTCCCATAGCTGATACCAGCGAGTGGGACACCAAAAAAAACCTATTCTGGAAAACGAGCTATGTGGTGAAGAGAAGAATGTAAAATCTCTCGAAGATGGGTTTTGTAGCCTCCAAATGTCTACTAAACCAGATGCTTTGGACATATCTTTGAGCACTGCATGTGCCCTAGTGGTGCGGGCCGATGGAGAGCTACGGTCTAATATAGGGGCCATTACCTCATTAAAATCACCCCCGATGATGATTGGATAGTCTCCCAAATCATTTAGTTTCTTCACAAGTAGCCCAAAAAAATCCGAATCGTCTCTATTTGGAGCATACACATTCGATACTATTTCCCTGGATTTCACAGAGCATCAACAGCATTCTCCCTTCCTCATCTGCACTCTCTTTTTAAGCATTTAAATTGTAGCCGCTTGTTAACTAGAGTAGCCACTCCTCTGCTCTTGCTACTGCCACAGGCTGCCGCTACAAAGCCCACCCAATCAGCCCGGAGCTTTTGAGATACTTGTGGTAATAAGTGGGTCTCCTGCATCACATTTTTTAGATCTAATGAAAGTTAATACCTTCCTCTTCCTCACTATGTTGTGGAGGCATCTGACGTTCCAGCTCATAAGCTTCAACCCTTTTGTACTAGTAGCTGAAATAATGTAATATGAGTGTTATACAAGTTTTGCTTTACCTTCCAGATGACTTATTTATGCGTAACATCACTAAATAATAAGAGACAAAAAACACATTAAATTTAAACATACATATAACAAAAGCAACGAAAATGCATCTGAGAAGCCAGACGCAAACACTAATCTCAGTTTGGTCCGTGACTCTCTAACTTAAAGCCGCTATGACTGTGCCCCACCCATCCCGCACCTGTTGTCCTGCCCAGAATCAGGCAGTGATGACCACCCAACCTCCTACCTGCCCAACACGAGCGTAACCATTAACATTATAATAACAAAGAGGAAGATATCTGAAACGTAGACAATGAGTTACACATTAAACAGAAATCTGCATATAGAAAATAGCCGATTGTGTGACCCAAGACGCCCATATGCATAAACCAGAATAATGGGCGAACATTGTATGGACAAGGCCTGGCCTGCCTCACCAATAAAGTCTCACTTTACACCATGAAAATGGCAGCGGTGATGCCTTGCACAATATAGCGATTTTACTAACCTCCAGGTGAGTCCTCTCTTGTTCAGATGATCCGCCATTAGTCCATAAAGCCTGTAAACCTCCAGTAATATTACCCACTTATGCTCAGACAAAGAAGAAGAAAAAGAAAGGACTGTTTGACAGTCAAAAACAGAACATTTTGTACTTCCATCTTTACCCTCATACACTCTGGGGCCAATGGAAGACCAACAGAAAAATAATCTGCAAAGGGCTCAGCCCCCCACAACTCAAGGCCGTGACACAGTGGTGCTAAATACCATTGCTCCAAAACGCAGTAATGACAAGTTATCCAAGGGAATGAATATAAGCCAGGGCTTTTTTAAGGTCATCAAATCGGCGGGGGCCCTGCGCCGATCTCACAGTGAGCACTGCGGGGTAGTCGAGAGAAAATCTTGTGCGTTTTTCATGGAGCAACTTCTTACACTTGTTGAACTTTATGTGCTTCTCATTAACCTACTTGGAATAGTCGGCGAAGACCATAATACGATGCTCCTTCCAGGTAACACTACCCATCTTGCATGCAGCCTCCAAGATGCGGCTTCGTTCTTGGAGTCTGAGAAATCTGCTGATGATGGGTCTTGCTGGCGAGGGATGTTCCGGACCTGAGCTCCTGCACAATCCTCCAATCCTGTGCGCTCTGTCAATTTCCAGTCCTCCGGGGAAGGCGAGGTTCATGATCTCCGGTAAAATTTGGATGAGGAATGACCTAGTGTCTCCGTCCTCGCTGCCCTCAGGAAACCTGAAGAACTGTAAATTATTCATTTGCTCCCGATTCTCAATGTTGTCCAGCTTTTGGCGGAGGGCTTCCACCTCTGTAACTGTGGCTGGAGGGTTCGCCTTCAGTCTCTCATCAGCCTCCTCGAGGAAGCCCAAACGGCTCTCGACTTGAGAAATGCGGTTTGTAATTTCAGCTAGTTTGCTGTCTGTAGCACTTGTTGTCATGTTGACTTGTTGGTTCATCAGCGCCGTGCTCGTCATGAGGCTGCGGTTTCTTCAGGTTTGCTTGGCTAGCATTAGCCACATCGTTAGCCTTCGTTCCACCGGAGCCAGTTCTCGGGGGATTAGTGGTGCTCCTGGTATTATTTGGCATTGTTGCCAACTTCAGCTTTTCATACGGTAACTCACATAAAGATGGACTCTTTGTCAAATTTCAAAGTATGTATCATGCTGGGATGGGCGCAGCACTTCCTCAAGCGGCCATTCTCGTCAACCACATCACGTGACTCCGGCTTGTTAGAAATTATAAAACAAGCTAAGGGTAGCTAACAAATGGAACAGCATTTAAAAAGTACACAAAAAAGACACACGAATAACTTGTGTAAAACATGTAGTCCTATTAATATTTACAGGTCTGTCTCTGCAGTCAGTGACTGCAAAAACAAAATCACACATTAGAGAATGCGCTACTTGCACCGTTACATGTCATTACAGCGCAGGGGCCCTGACAGAATTTGTTTAGTTCTATATTCATGTTCTGTTTTTCAAATGCAAAACGTACAGTACATATATACTATATGTACATACAGGTATCAGAATATATTTGTGAGTGTTGTGTGTTTTCTTACTGGGACAGGCCATCATGCGGCAGGTTCGTACGAGGGGTGGGGAGGGCAACCCTGAGCACAGCTCCCTGGCCAATGTCACCTGGCGGCCCATGGCTGTCAACTGGCGACACAGTGGCTCCCTATGCTGGATCCCCAAACCGCAGGACACTGAGCACTACAGAGTAAAATGGATAGGAATGTTTATTACAAACGAACCTAATCTAATCCAACATCCCTATCGTTGGAAAGAATATTTATGTTGAACAATTCTGTAAACCTTGGTTAGACTATAGATCTATATCTAACCTTGCCATTCTCTCTACGATCCGTGAGAAAACAGTCGCCAGTCAGTTGTGTGACATTCTACATAACAATAGTTTATTTGATTTCAGGAGTGCATCATAACACAGAGACAGCACTGGTGAAAATTACAAATTATCTTCAAATTGCATCAGACAAAGGACTTGTCTCTGTACTTTTCTTGTTAGATCTTAGAGTTGCATTCAACACCATTGACCGTTACATCCTATTACAGAGACTGGAACATTTAATTGGTATTAAGGGAACGGCACTTAGTTGGTTTAAGTCCTATTTATCATATCAATCATATTCTAGCCTATGCATCCTTTAGGCAATATCATCAGAAAACACTCCAAAAACATTTGTTGTTATGCAGATGATATTATATCTACTGATCAAGCCAGATGAAAAAAATCAGATAGCTGAACTTAAAGTGTGCCTTAAGGACGTAAAATCCTGGATGACCTGCAATTTTCCGACATTAAACTCAGACAAAACTGAAGTTATTGTGCTTGGTCCCAAACACCTCCCAAACACATTATCTAAAGATTTAGCTACTCTAGATGGCATAGCCCTGGCCTCCAGCACCACGGTAAGGAATCCCTGATTTGTTATGATCAGGATGTGTCTTTTAATTTGCACATAAAACAGTCTCATTTTTTCACCTACTTAACATTGCAAAAATCATGAACATCCTCCCTCAAAATTATGTGGAAAAACTAGTCCGCGCATTTGTTACTTCTAGGCTGGATTACTGCAATTCTCCAAAGTTGATTCAGAATGCTGCGGCACATGTACTGACGAGAACCAGGAAAAGAGAACATATTTCTCCCATTTTAGCTTCTCTGCACTGGCTCCCTGAGAAATCCAGAATAGAATTTAAAATCCTTCTGCTCACCTAACAAACTCTTAATGGGCCTCACTGCTTTTTATATCTTAAAGAGCTCATAGTACCCTATTACCCCCCAGAGCACTACAGGGTTACTTGTAATTCCTAAAATCTCCAAAAGTAGAATGGGAGCCGGAGCGTTCAGCTAACCAGCTCCTCTCCTGTGGAACCAGGTTCCAGTTTGGGTTCAGGAGGCAGACACCATCTCCACATTGAAGAGTAGGTTCAAGACTTTCCTCTTTGATAAAGGTTATAGTGAGGGCTCGCTTGGGTGAGTCCTGAACCATCCCTTAGTTATGTTGCTATAAGCCTAGACTGCTTAGAGACTTCCCATGATGCTCCTCTCTCCTCTTCTCCCTCTCCAGCTGTATGCATTCTTATCACATTAATGCATGTTACTAACAGCATCTTCCCTCTCCGGTAGTTTTGTGCTTGCTCTTCTCTCTCCTCTCAGTTTCTGTTGCTTTTTGCAGGTAATGCTACCTTCGGAGCTGTAGAATATGGATCAACCATTCTGGGAGACCTGGGCCTGATCTATTATTGTGGGCCACATACTGTCCCCATGTTCCTGCTCCACAACCACAACTACAGTTATTACACTTAGTTCTATTATTACTTATTATCCTTACTGTTATTTTTTGTATTAATATTGAAATTATTTGAGAGATATTGTAACATGAGTAAGGGTGGTAGTGGGAATTATTATTTCTGCATTTTATTTTCACTGAAGAAACTATAAAAATTATGCAATTTATGCAGGGGTTTGTATCAAACAGGTATGTTCCCTTACGTGTGGAGAATGTAGACCAGGGCATCTCTGTGGCACCACATTGCTTCATTTAAAATGGTATGTTGTGACACACTTTAAATGTAACAAAAAATTGCAGGCCCTGCAATTTGGATATTGCACTTGGCTATATTGCAAAATTTCCATTAGAAGGTTAAAAGTATGGTCCTGTACCACAAGGCAGGATTTGAAGTTATCGAGGTAACTGCAGAGCAGGTTATGTTCGAGATAAGAAATCAATGCTATAAAAGCACCGCCTACAGACCAATCAATTCTCTTGCAAAATGGTATCACCATTCGTTGAAGATCCTGCAGACTGTTTATAGGCTACTTTTATGTTTGCTGTGGGTGACAGAGAGATGCTCTTGTATACTGATACATCCTACAACAGAGACTGACTGAAGGACTAAAGCCTTATATTGTTGTACTATGAAAGTAAGCCTACTTTACAGTGTGTTTTTATATTTATTTTTCCTTTTCACACAGCATGCCACAGCCATTTAAAGAAATCGTTTCCTTTTTCTTTTTATGTGAAGCTAAATATTACAAAGAGAGAGAGCTGCCCCTCGGGAGAGAAGACTTTCCAATGTTCTAACTGAGTCTCATTCAAACTGGGTGGCAGGGCTCTCAGGGCATTCTTCTACACTGGGAGTGTCGGGCCTTGACAACGCAGCTGGCCTGATCCAAAATGTACGATCCCTTAGAAGTGTAAGCAGTGCTGGAGCTAACCTTACTATGTCATTAGAACATGGTTTCTTTCACATCCGTGATATATAAATTTATTGAAGAGATTTATTTGTACCATTGTCTCGCAACTACCTGCAAACCATACCTCTCTTGAGGAGCAATTTATACTCTGAGCAGTATTATATAAATGTAGATGATGCAACAGAGTTTGGAACCAACCTTTCCACCAAACGTCAGCACTGTCAAGACAGTTTGCTATTGGTTAATGCCAGAAATATTTGGAAAGTATTGGAAAATTTATATTTTATATTTATATATATATCTACTTCACCCCTGCAAGGTAATTCACATTTCGCTTTGATTCCATTAAAAAAATTTGTTCACAAATGTTGCTGTTATGAATTAATTAAATCGGGCCTAATTTGAAATTAGATATGTGTCTTTGGAAATATAGCTACAGTATATTGATAACATTGGCCTTCATTCAAGCTTGCAGCCTCCAGCCCCACACCATCATCTCTTTAATTTCTCTGCTCACCTTTCTCCATTCTCCTCCTGTCATGTAGGGCAGACAGTCAATGTTACTGCAGCTTCTGTTAGTGGCAGGTTTGGCCCCCCGGCAGGCCTCGTCTCCCAGCCTTCTATAGGCCCCTGTGGACAGGAGCTGCTTACAGTAGACCTTCCGCACCTGGATACCCCCACCACAGGACTGGGAGCACTGAAGGTAGGAGGAAGAGGATGGAGTAAGGAAGGGAGGAGTTTTATCAGTTTTTATTACACACACAATCACATCATATAAATAGGCACACACAAACAAAGTCCATACCTGCTGCCAAGGTTCAGTCTCCCAGGCTGGAGGACAGTTCACCTGGTTGCAGGGTTGCAGGATGGCAGGTTTGAATTCCTTGCACTCGTCCTCTGAAACAGTCAGAATATCCTGCTGATCGACGGACAACAGACGCATGCAAAACACACTCCTAGTCTGTATACCGACGCCGCAGGACGCAGAGCAGCTGGTCCACGCCGTCTCCTCCCATCTGCAGAGAGAGAGACAATAAAGCAGGTCAGACACACATTCAGCTAAATATTAGGTGGTTGCAATGTGAAAGGTGTTATATGTTTGTCATTTCACCTATGGTATGAAATAATCCCTTTGTAGTACACCATACATAAACTGTGTAATTTTCAAACTAATTTTAACACCCTAGTTTTGTAAATAAAGAAATAATGGTGAAGTTCTACACTCTCTCCTGTTGTTGTGCGTGTGTGTCTGTGGGATGGAGAGATCTGTGTGTAAGGCCCTACACTCTGCAGCTGCTTCCTGTAAATGTACATTAGAAGAAGAAAGAGCAGCAAATCACTACTAAATGGGCAAATGTTCTGCTGCCTGGAAATGCAGTGATGCGTGCGCACACACACACACACACACACACACACACACACCTGTGTAAAAAGTGAAAAAAAACACCTACACCTACCAACACCTCACAGCTGATTCATTTACGCATTGTATCTGGTTTGTTGTCAATCGCTGCACAATAAGAAATACAAAACAACAATTACATGCTGGAACTATTCCTTGACAGATGACAGCTAGGTGGGTGGTGATGGTGCATAGATAAGATGCTTGCCTTTGGTGTGGGAGACCTGGGTTTGATTCCCACTGTAAGACATCCACCATGTGTCCCTGAGCAAGACACTCCAGAGGGGCGCGACCTCTGAAGTCGCTTTGGATAAAAGTGTCAGCTAAATGTAAATAATACATTTTGTGAACAGAATCAGCATTTACTACCTGTAGCAAAACTTTCACATTTTCATAGTCGGCATGTTGAATGGACAAGATTTTTTGATCCTTCTACATGCATGAAATCAAACAAGTTTGATAGTTTAATAGTACATTTAAAAATGACCAAAATCCTTCTTAAAAATAAAATATATATAATAGTCAAAGTAGCAAAGCCAAACCCTTTTTTGCTTTTCAGATTCAGTTTTAAACTGCAATTATTCAAGTTGAGCAATTCAAATTAAAATATAAATGATTCAAATTCATTTTCTAGTGACACATTTCTGCCTATAAAACACTCTCTTCTGTGTGTGTTTGTATGTGGGTGTTTGCACATTGTTCTAACATAATGGTGAAATGTTATTTTAATGTGTAGGCTGGAAAAGTGTAGGCTGACAAGTAGTCAGTCTTAAACATGAACTAGGGTACTGCAGAACTGAGGAACAGAAGTGTGTGCGCTGCACAGCATCACAGTAGCATTCCCTGTTTATGCACCAGAGCTGTCATGGAGTGATCGTTTGCTTCTATAAGCACAGTTGTAATGATTAAGAACCTAGCTGGGCTCAAGCAATGACAGGTTTTCCAAAACAATCCCCTCTCCCAGGAGAAAATCCCCCCATCAACAACTGAAGATCAAGCCAGAATACTTATTAGTGGCTGTGGTTTGTAAAGTTTAAAATGGCACTCCAGTGACTTTGTATTGCATTTCCATAGTTGGGGGACTTAAGAGAGGCACATTAACAAGACTAAGGACTTCACTTCTTTGCAGCATAAAGATCTCAGCTAGTCTTCTTGACTGAACTTCCGCCAAGCTTCATTTCACCCAGTTTCATGAAAAATCGTAGGTCAATAAAAATTCTAATTTATTTATGTGTTAGGATCATGTTTATGTTGCAATGTAAAGATCATGGGAAACTATTTTGCTCTCAGATTTGATCAGCAATTCGTTTTGCATGTACTACTGTCACAGTAGTTACCAATTTTTATGGCAGAAAATGCTATTGTGGTGATATTTCAACACAGACCAAAGTGTTCAACTGACCAACAATCTTACATCCCTATACCTATACACCTGGTGAGGCAAAAGTAATCAACACAGCTTAGAGGAAAATAAGAAATATACACTATTTAAAGCATGTTGGAAAGCATAGAATGACTGGTTAAACCAGACTCCACCAAACAAGATGTTTAGTGTGTAAAAACCAACAGAGCCAACCTGGACCTGGATTTAGCTCCACCACGTCAGTGCCAAGAGCCAGAAAAATAAACCACAAGAGAAGCGGCACATTATCGGGACAAACCAGTTAAACCGGCCAAAACAAAAACAAAAACCACCACTTTATCAAAACCCACCATCCTCATTGCACGCTAAGGCAGGAACACTCTATAGTGAAGCAGGAAAAGGTCTGCAGGAGGCAAAAGATGCAGCCAGTGCACCACCACCAGACTACCCGCCACAATCAACCTGGGTTCTGCTGAACCTGTTCAAAGACAGGCAACAGGTTCCAGTCTCGCATGGATCTGACTGCCTGCAAACAAACCAAAGAAGGAACAGAAGACACACAGGGGGCTGTTTGAGCTGCAGCACCACTGGGCTAATGACTGTCCAGTGAATCGCAGAAGTGGAATGACAGGGGCAGATTGACTGTGCACGGAGCTGGAGAATTGTTGGGTTCCAGATGAGCAACATGACTGTAAGAACACCCAGACAGACAAACAAAAGCAAACTGTTATTTAATTCAGCTGATCAAAGAAAACACAAAATATACCATGCTCACACAAACAGTCTACAAAACTATTCCTACATACACAAATCTCAGGCCAAGCAGTCATCTTTTTGGTGGACTGGGCAGCAGAACTAATTATTAAAACATCAGATCTGACTCCTCAGAGAACATTAAAACAGCAGACGCTACAGGAAATTCAATAACAAAAAAATACACTGTTGGTTGATTCATTTCTATTGTCTGATAGCTGTCCAATTTACCTTTTGGGGTTGGATCTTAAGTGTGGTTTGGAAATATCTTTGAAATGCTGTGAGACAGGATAGGGGTTGTTAGGCAGGAAAAGTGTAATCCACACAGACCGCTCTATGTTTATGAATGGAAACTGAATGACACAGGCCCCAGAGCTATAAATAGATACCTGCCGGATACAGCATACACACACACTTGAGGCAGGGAGTGTAGTACAGACAGAAACAGATGTACAGTGGGGGAAATAAGTATTTGACCCCTTGCTGATTTTGCAGGTTTGCCCACTTACAAAGAATCGATCTATAATTTTAATCATATGTACATTCTAACAGTGAAAGACAGAATCCCAAAGAAAATTCCAGAAAATCACATCATATGAATTTATTAAAACTGATAACCATCTGATGAGGAAAAACAAGTATTTGACCCCCTGGACAAACAGCATGTTAATATTTTGTAGAAAAGCCATTATTGGCCAGCACAGATGTCAAACGGTTTTTATAGTTGGTGACAAGGTTTGTGCACATTTCGGCAGGGATGTTGGCCCACTCCTCCCTGCAGACAGCCTCCAAATCATTCAGGTTCCGAGGTTGTCGCCTGGCAACTCGAATTTTAAGCTCCCTCCAAAGATTTTCAATTGGATTCAGGTCTGGAGACTGGCTAGGCCACTCCAGAACCTTGATGTGCTTCTTCTTCAGCCACTCTTTTGTTGCTTTGGCGGTGTGCTTATGGTCGTTGTCGTGCTGAAACACCCATCCTCGACCCATCTTCAGCTCTCTCACTGAGGGAAGGAGATGTTGGTCCAGAATTCCACGATACATGGCCCCGTCCATCCTCCCCTCAATACGATGGAGTTGTCCCGTCCCCTTGGCTGAAAAGCACCCCCAAAGCATGATGTTGCCACCACCATGCTTGACGGTGGGGATGGTGTTCTTTGGGTTGTACTCGGTGTTCTTTGCCCTCCAAACATGACGAGTTGACTTGAGGCCAAAAAGTTCTATTTTGGTCTCATCTGACCACATCACCTTCTTCTAGGCCTCTTCTGAGTCGTCCAGGTGGTGAATGGCGAACTTCATGTGGGCCTGTACATGTTTCTTCTTGAGCAGGGGGACCTTGCGTGCGCTGCAGGATTTCAATCCATGACGGCGTAGTGTGTTACCAACCGTTTCTTTTGTAACTGTGGTCCCAGCTGCCTTCAGTTGATTCATCAGTTCCCCCCTTGTGGTTTTGGGATGATTCCTCACCGTTCGCATGATCAGGGACACCCCACGAGGCGAGATATGTGTGGAGGCCCAGACCGAGGGAGGTTGGCGGTGGTGTGGTGCTTCTTCCATTTCCTGATAACTGCACCGACAGTTAATCTTTTCTCTCCAAGTTGCTTTCCGATTCTCTTGTAGCCCATCCCAGCCTTGTGCAGATCAACAATCTTGTCCCTGATGTCCGTAGAAAGCTCTTTGGTCTTGCCCATGGTGGTGATGTTGGATGCTGGTTGTTTGGGTGTTGACAGGTGTCTTTTATACAGGTAACGAGGTGAGGCAGGTGTATTTGATGTAGATAATTGGTTGGGATTGGGGCTGTGTCTTAAAGAAAGACTAACTGGCTTGTAGGAGCCAGAATACTTGCTGTTTGGTAGGGGGTCATATACTTGTTTTTCCTCATCAGATGGTTATCAATTTTTATAAATTCATATGATGTGATTTTCTGGAATTTTCTTTGGGATTCTGTCTTTCACTGTTAGAATGTACATATGATTAAAATTGTAGATTGTTGCATTCTTTGTAAGTGGGCAAACCTGCAAAATCAGCAAGGGGTCAAATACTTTTTTCCCCCACTGTATATTGCATGTCACAGGTTTCACACAGATTATGAGCTAAAATGTTTCAGAGAAGGGCAAGAATGTGTCATGTTGAAAAGAGACTGGATGAGCTGGAGTGATGATAAATGTGCAGCAGGAGTGCAGTTGAATAAAGACTATCAAATGTATGACCCTGTACCACAAATTACATTGGGGTTCACATTTCAGACCCCTACACCATCTTATCCCAAGTTCCAGCAAACAGTAAATGGCTGTCAGTGGTAGCCAGCATTTAGCTAATGCCTTATTTAGCATCCCAGTCTACAAAAGATTCTCAACAGGATTTGCATTTTCATTTCAAGTTAAACACAGGTTTTGCTGCAGCTTTAAAAGAAAACCTAGATGGTGCAATACTTCCAAATGCACTACTGCAATATGTCGACGACTTAATGATTTGTTGCAAGTGAAATAGACAACAAGAAATAGTTGCAACATTTGGCACAGAATGGTCACAAAGCAATGGGTCCCTCTACCCTAAATGTATAACTGCCATACAAATACATCTCAAAACCTTTAACAAAGAAACAAGTAATGAGTTTTCTAGAAGTGACATAATACATGAGACAATGGATACCAAATTATCATTGTCTGAGATGTGCACCGAAAAGCCAAAAAGTGACGTTGACAGGACACGCAGAAAAAGCCTTTGTTGGTCTGCCAGTCTACAAACAGCACTGATGTTAGGGTTGCCAAGTATGAGTATTTTCAACCTCAATTCAACCTGACATACTATTTTATGTTTGGTAGCTACTGTCTGAGGAATCCGAAGTGACTTATTTCAATTTAAGAAATGTTGAATCTGTTTTTTGGGCTACTGAGGATAATAAAGTCTGATTTTAATTATGGTTTAACTAGCAAGAACCACATAATCAACAGGTATGATTAAATGATTTATTGATGATCGAAACAGAAGATGTATGAGGCTTGCGGTTGCCGAAGAGACATTTGAAAGCATTATGGGGAAGCTACGATAGGGAAATCCGCCGTAGCACCCGGGCGCGACGGACCCCCTTACAACCCTATGGAGAGGAAGAAGATCAGGAGGCAGGACAGAGAAAGGGGTGGGGGGAAGGGATGCAGGATACGAGAGCGAAGGGGAGGAGTTAGGACGTGTGGGTATTTATGGAAATGCTGTCGATGACATGGTTGATGTGTGGTCCCACTCCTGAAACTCTGCTAATTAGCACCACTTACATAAATATAAATGAATAAATTAAACCTTTACCTGTGAGTAAAATAAAATCAATCAAAATAAATCAATCAAAATAAGTTAGATGTATTAATTACCTAAATTATAATTTCTGAACCAGTTACAGGAGTCTTTAGTGGACCTAAAATGTTGAAAAGACCACAAATGTCTCTTTCAGCTAACATGTTTCATTATTAGTGTTTTTTCCAGCCCAAAATACATTTGTGTTCATATATCATATTGACAACTGTAAACCCCGCCCCCTTGTGCCCAGGTGCCACAGAGTCTATGCACGTCCCTTCACTAACCCGACCATTTCACTACGCCAGGCCTGACAGCATGTCTCATTGTGTTTATTCTGTAAGATGCTTGTTTTGGATGGCCACATATGGTATATCAATCAGTCTACACAGGAACAGCCCTAAGCATTGGTCCCAAACCCTCTAACTGCACTCCAAGAAGTAATCTCCATGTTTATTGAAACTAAAGCATGCAGCTCTGTTTTGTTTTCCTCTAAACTGCATCAATGAGCTTAATTTCCAAGTTATTCTAACATCATAGTATGAAAAATGAATTACGGCTTTAAAATTTGGAGTTCATTCTTGGCACAACATGTCTGCTCTCTGCGCGTATAGATGGCATGAAGGATTCTTTTGAAAGGAGACTAACTGGGTCTAATTCTACAGATTGTAATAGTAATTTAGGGACTTGGCCAATCCTTATCTCCTTGTTTCTGGGTCTAGACTTCTGACATCAGCTTTAATGTTCTTTATTGAGACATTTTTCTTGCCTTCTTCTTTAAAATCACATTAAGTTGTGGCAAAGAAACATGAGATCCTTTTTTCTGCTTACTGAGTGCCAGAAAACAAAGTAGACTCTGAGATGCACTCCCTCATTGCGGCGTAGCACCCGAAAGTACCACTAAATCCCTACATTTCTACCCAGTTAATTATTGAGGTTTTGTAATACAACACAATTTGGAACTCAGAAATGTGTTGTATTTTAAAACATCAACAGTGGACTGGTTATCTGGGTGAAAGGGTAGTGATGGTGCAATGGATAAGACAAACGCCTTTGGTGTGAGGGACCCGGGTTCAATTCTCACTGTGACCCATCCACCATTGTGTCCCTGAGCAAGACACTTAACCCATCTTTGCATCAGAAGCATGCAACCTCTGACATGTATAGCGATTGTAAGTCGCTTTAGATAAAAGCGTCAGCTAAATGTTTAAATGTAAAGTGCACTGGTGATTATAATCATTCAGAAAACATTTTACCTCTTACTCATTTTATTTATTTTTGTATTAAAACAGATCAGTCCTCTACTGTCACATCGTGCAACAACAGCTGTGACCACCACAGATCAAGCCAGATATGATCTCCATTGAGTACACACAATGGCAGAAATACACACATTTGGTAGCACTTTAGATTACAGCTTGGTAAAAACATGGTAATAGTTTGATAATAAAGAGGTAAAAAATAAGTAATACAATGTAATTACCAAAGTAATAAGCAGGTAATTAAGTAAGGTAGTTTGGTATTAACAAAAGGTATATCTGGGTAACATTAGACTGAAATCTACTCAACAGAATAGAGCAACGAAGGAACACTTTTTAGTGATATGGTAATATTTTGGCAACAATGTGGTAACCAAACAATAAATTTGTTACAGTTACACAGACATGTAGTTTGTAATTACCGTGAAATTAAATAGAAACTGGAAGTTTAGCATTTTGCAGCCTTGATTCATGGATATTACACAGAAACGTTTTCAGGTAACAAGTCACAATAGCTTCAATCAAGCCAGATGAAACCAACCATTGGTTAACTTCAAGCATGCCTTAAGGATGTAAAACCCTGCAAATTTTTGATGTTAAACTCAGACAAAACGGAAGTTATTGTATCTGGCCCCAAACGCCTCCAAGATGCATTATCTAAAGATATAGTTACTCTAGATGGTATTGCCCTGGCCTCCAGCACCACCGTGAGGAATCTCGGAGTTATATTTTTAACTCAAAGATCAAACAAACTTCGCATGGATGTCGTTAGGGCAATTTGAGGGGGCCTGAAGCTACCCTAACATGATCGTAAGCCCCCCAAATCATAAGAAAAGTAATTAATAGATTTTAAAAAAAATTAAGCCCCCCACCCATACCATAACCATTAGAAATGTTAGTGCCTGAATCTAAGTCACTGACTTTATGGATTTCGACCGGCTAACCCTACAGCTGTGCACATCGGCCTCACGTTAGCCTCTTTTGTGTTGCTGCGACGTAGCAAATGGTGGCGTTTCATACAGACGCTGAAGGATACCTTTAGTGTAAAATAATTATGCTTTGCCACGCTGTCTGAAAGCATCGGTAATGATGCACTGAGATGAGAATGCGTTGAGCTTATAGTTAGGACTGGCTCAGAAGAGTCCTGAGCCATCCCATAATTATGCGGCTATAGGACTTCCCATGCAGGTCCTGCAGGTTTTGCCTCCAGACCTGCAGAGTCTGGATCTGTGGTTGCAGACAGCCTGCTGCCTCCATGTTCCTGCTCGACACTGCCTGCTACAATTATTCTAATTAGTCCTATTATTATCATTAATATTAATATTATTAGTAGTACTATTATTTAGTTTCATGATGTCTATACCTCTACCACCTTTACTGTGGTCAGAGCAGGCCCTCACTGTAGTGTGCTTGTTCTGTGAGCTTTCTATGTGGCTTCAGTGACCTTTTGGTCTCTCACCTTGGGGGGCATGGCTCAGGGTTACAGATGCGGATCATAATTGGCGGCCTGCTGGATGAATCACAAGCAGAGTCCTCCACCTCCTCACCCTGCTCCCTGTTAACACACCTCACAACTGCTTTCTGCTTCCCTGGTTAAAGGACATACACAAGAACCAGTTGAACATGAAAGGACAATAGGCATGGGCAAAAGAATTCAGAATTTTTTAACTGCCAAACTCCATTTGAGAAACCTCACCAGCAGCACATGTGGCTGAGCAGGCAGTGAAGCCTCTGTAGTCCCAGCTATACATATCCTGAGTCTGGATGTGAGGGGGCCCGTGGTCCTGGAGGCCTGAAGTGGTGCCTGGACTTGTGACACATGGCCACTGGTTGCAGGGCCTCTCCAGCTGGGGTCTGTCCTTGCCACACTCCTCCTCTGGAAGGTCCACCTCTGTCTTAGTGAATGAGAGCAGCACCCGGCACTTGACCTCCCGAGTTTGCCTGCCAGGCCCACAAGTGGCACTACAGGGTGACCAGGGCCCGGGGACGAATCTGTACACAGAGGCAGAGAACATAATACACAGAGCCATAGCATCAAACATTTTTGTTTGACATGTGTTTTGCACCTGTTTGCCAAAAAAGCGCTTACAATCAGCTGGTTAAAAGATTTACAGTATCATAATATCACAGAAAGTAAAAGTGATGGGCAAAATACAACTGCATCTAATTCAATTTAAGATTGTTAATTAAGTTGACAGACTAAATCCTTTATTTTAGATAGAGACTGACATAATCTGACATTTAAGGAAGCATTTTGGCAAAATCTCAGCTTGAATTTACAATGATCATCTGCACAAGATGCATCTATTAAAGAGAAGTGTGCTTTAGCTTGATATTGTGTAATCTGTAGTTTATTTGCATTATTGTTGTCCTTTTTTTTTGTTCTTTCTGTCTTCCAAACGGCTTGAGAGAGGCCTCAACAGTGACGGAACATTAAAGGTTTAGTATTATACTTGTTATACATGTTTTGATTCACGTGTGATATGAAAGTGTTTTGAACACAGGAAATGGCAACACCCTGTGTTACTGTGGCTTAGGGTTAGATCCCATAACCTTAACAAAGTATTTGCCTGTCCTAAGTTCTAATAAAAAAAAAATATTATTTTACCTAAACCTAACCAAACCTTAATCATAGTGGTTACAGATCAGAAGATCATCTTTTTTCAGTGGTCAGCTGTAAATTGTTTTGGAAGTTGCTGACCAACTATGCCTGCCAATAGCGATGTCAGATCACAAAACTTGCATATATGTAGGTTGTTTTGGAAAGCAGTTACACACGGCATATTGTGCTGTTTGGTTTGGTGAAACTGAAAGAAAGAATGCAGGTTTGAGGCTCAGTTGGTTGGTGTTAATACTATAATCATGCTTTGAGTATGACCTTGGGAACACTAGTTTGGGAAAATAACCTTAACTCCAGGCCTTCATCTTTGAATGGAGTTCACTCAGAGAAATTTTTGGCATTTGGTCTGTCTGTTGTAATTATTTAATTTAGCCTCAGTAAGCTTTACTTTCATTCTTTTCTGGATCCAATTCTCACCTTCTTCCTCGTTGAAATGTAATTATTAACAATCATCAAAGTTAACTGCAGGTATTGCAAAGTGTACTATATTTGAAGTGCAGTGCATTCTTACTTTTAATTCTAATCTATACGAAGCAGATACTATGGCTAACATGAAAAACTTCATTTGCTTCAGTTCACTGCAGCTCTTCCCCATCCAACCACCATCCCAGTTATGGAACACTACACTGCTACTGCTGAAATACTAGAACACTTAAACAATAAAGCTGATATTCATAACTCCAGCTGCTTTATGTAATGAAATCCTTAAGCTGTGGAGTGCCTGACGCACCACAGGTAATGCGTGACAGTGAGCTTGTTACGGTTTCTGAACAGAAGTGAGCAGAGATATATAGTAGAGGAGACTTTCTGTAGAGCTCTCACTTAAAGGTATGTTCAAGCTCAGTAACACAGAGGTAACGAGGTTTATTTACTCCGTTACACATACTCAACTAACTTTATTGAGTGAATTGTACTTGTCTGATTAATTTAATGCATTATATGTTTACTCTTACATGAGTAGTTTTTCAGAGAAAAATCATTTCTTTTACTCTGCTACATTTGGATACATTCAAATACATGATCAATACATTAAGAGGTCAGCTGGTCCCAAGTCTGCTAGGGCTTCGTTATCCTACCGCAGTCAAGCATCTACATGACTCTGTACAGGGCAGAATAATGGCTGGAGCTACAGAGTGGTAGTATGGCTTTCAAATAGTTCTGGCAGCTAATATTTACAGATGAAAATTTTGTGCACGGTGCAGCGGACTCCGGTTGTGAAGGTTGTGAATTTTTAAAAAATCTTTTACTTACTTATTGGCATACTTGTTATTATACTGAGTATAATAATAACATAGTATTTTTTTACACATATAAATACAAGTGATGCTGCAATTATTATTACTTTTACTAATATTAATATTATTACTTCTGATGTTGCTACTATTAAGTACAGATTCATATACGGGTTGTTCTACACACTTTATTATGCTCGAGCCACTCCATGTTCACTCTGCCTTACAGGTATTGAGCTGCTCTTTTGTCTCATCTAGTGTTAGTTACTGGGTTGTGTTATATGGTATCTTGTCTTGTTAGCTGTTTAATGTGATTTTGTTTTTAGCACTGTGGACCATGAGGAACGGCATTTCGTTCATTTGTATACTTCGTATGTGGATAAATGACAATAAAACAAAGTTGAACTTGAAGTTGAACTTCTTAACCTTCACTGAGGAAGACCGTCAGTAGCTGAAATTATTCCTGTTACATCCACATCAACTAAAAGATCCAGTGTTCTTTTTGTTGTTTTTTTTTCTTTTCTGTTCTTAAGTTACTCGCTACTCAAGTAATTTTTTCAGTAAATACTTTTTTACTCTTACTCAAGTAGTTGATGACCACTTTCTCCTTGAGTACTTGTTTTTAACAGTACTTTTTCTTGAGTACAGTTTTTGGCTAATCCACCCACCTCTGCTTTTCAACACCATTATCAAAATATGAAATGAGAGAATTTCTTTTGGAAGAATGCTGTTCATCATGTGACTTCTACACACTTGACCTTTCCTTTCATTAGTCACCCATTTGTCTTTTGAGTACACACTTATCACATAGATATAGATGTCCACCCTTATTAACATACAGTCTATAATAAATGTTCAGAGGCAGTTGGTGCGTATGTTGCTACTGTAGGTAGCTTACAGCTAAGGCCTGTGCCATAGCCTGTATATAGTCAAGTCTGTTGGTTTGAGGTCATCACACTGTACAATGGAAAAAACAAAAAGGTCCCATGTTCAAATTTGCAAGAATGATGCAAAAATTCGCTTTGCTTTATGTCTGAACATTCATGGCACTTTTCACATTTTCTTTTTTTTTTTTTTTTTTTTACTTTTCACATTTTCTAGCACTTCAACAACATCATGTTACTTTCCTTCTAGAGACATATGTATTGCTTAACTTGTATCAAATGTCAAGTTAAGCTACATGCTACAAACATTTCAGAGCCACCCTTCAAGCCAACAAGGGGGCGTGTGTTTGATACTCAAAGATTTGTTTTTGTTGGCATATTCCTTCCATACAAATGTATGCAGGGTCATTACCAGAGCTGAGCTTCACATGATCATCATCAAATTATGTGGCTTACATAAGATTTGCTTGGCTGCATGTGATGAGGATTTTGCTTAGGCCTGCTGTACATGTATGTGCAAAGGACCTAAGCGTGCAGGAGCATTTTGAAGAGCATGTTTGCAAAGAGTCTGACGAGCGTATGTGTGTCAGCCAGGTCTTTGTGGTGTAAAGGGCTGGATTGGTAATCTGGCATACCGGGCAAATGCCCGGTGGGTCGACCCACCTTTGGGGCCGGTGTTACCTAAATTATTTATTTATATAGGCTAAAAACGGGCCAGCGATGTAAAGCATGGACAGCGGCCCATTGGGTAATTTTCTATACTGACATTGTGCGGGCCCAATCACATCTCTTACTAGCCCCCACCCCCTCTGCTCTCTGTGTCTTGCATTGCGGGCCAAAAAAAACATTATTCAGACGGCTGCCGCCAAATGCTCGACAATAACAGATATGTTTGCTGCTGGGGCTGCAGTAGCTTCAACATCAGCTGCAGGACCCGATGTAGAGCAGGCACAGGCACTTGAAGGAGTAAAAGAGCTGTGGTGGCCCCTGCCAGGCAGAGGAGGCAGCATGTGTTAGCGAAACAGAGTGACAAAGTGACAGGGCTGAGGGACAGAGAGAGCAGGAGGAGAGTGGAGGTGAAGCAGTAAGCATGGAGGAGGCAGGGAGGCAGGGCCATTTACACTGGGGACATCTAGCCACCACTTTCTGAGCATTTGTTAAAAATGTCCTGAAAAATGGCTTGCATCAACAAATGTTGATTAACAAATAAAAATGCAATGAGAAAGGTTTATTTGCACAATAAGAAAACCTACAATGCAATGTAAATATAGAAGAAAGTACTTAAGCAAAAATTAATAATAAGCTACTGATTACTCCATTATATTTTATTATATTTTTATATTGTGAATTGTTACCTGCCACCTGAATTTTGTGCGTCCCCTTATAAAAAATAAAGGCTTTTCCACCATAAATTGGTGCAGAAAATGTTTCCAGAATGCAGGAAATGAAGTGTTTAATGCTAAAAATCTTCTGGCCGAGGACTCCGGTCTAATAAAATATATTCTTGTCTTGTAGTTATGGACACCCAACTTGTGCAAATCTTACATCTCAGTGTTTTATCCCACCCTTAATCTGACCCCGTAAATGGATCGATGGTGTATTGGTGAGGGGTGTCTGACTGATTTTGGTGGGCCGCCTCGGCCAAAAATGCCAGGGCCGATTTTTTGTCCCAGTCCAGCCCCGGTGGTGTATGAGAGCTCTGAGAGCTGAAGGATCCCAGGGAGGCTATCAGAGCTGACCAGGCCCAGAGTAGCAGGCAATAATCACATGCTTATCGTCAGCAGCAGTAGGAGAGGAAAAAGAGCTAGACAGAGTCACACAGCCCTGGATAAGCTGTGTGTGTGTGTGTGTGTGTGTGTGTGTGTGTGTGTGTGTGTGTGTAGTGCTATGTGTCTGGAAAATTTCAATTGAACATGAATAAAGAGTGTATAATATACTATATCTACTGACAATATATTTCATCTTTACACATGCACAACATAACTTTATGTCATTCTCATGTCTGAATAAGCACCCTGGTCACTTTTACATAATAGTCAGGAAGGCAATCTTACTAGGTCGGACATAGTAATATTTCTCTATTACATTCAACATGGCACAAGTCTGACTTGAATGCCGTCAGAGTAATGTCATTTCTAACACAATAAATTTAACATCTCAATAAAAGATAATATTTTTTATTTGTTTTTTCAGGTGGGTAAAAGTCACAATGCACTTCACATCTTCTAACTAGTATTATGTGTGCTTGGTTTTGTCTATGGTTATATGTTCTGTCCTGCCTGAAAGTTTTAGAGAGCAGTGTTTAGACAGAGGTCTAATAACATTTACATTCGAGCTGTCTGAAATTAATGGTTAATGGACTGAAAAAACAACACAGTGGCAGTGAATGAGGAGTGAATGCTGAGTGGCCGCTGTGAGGAGAGCTGACCGTGTCTCTTTATAGTTCACATATGTGCTTTTAGGCATTTTTTTTTTACATACATATTTGCATTGTTAGGTCATTTTAGCTAGTATTCTACTACGTCAACGGACTGCCTCAACGTTAAGACTTGGTTTTAAGGTTACATTTTTGGTTTAGGTTAAAAGAGAGGTGGTCTGGATTAGACATTTATTTGTGATGGTTAGGGGCTAGGGAATGCATTGTGTCACTGAGGGACGTCTTTAGGGATATGTCTGAAATGGTCTCACTCTCCAAGCCTCTCAAGGGGTGGGCTGATGTTTGTTTGATTGACAACTGAGCTTGGCAGGGACACATGGACACAATGTTAAAGAACCAATTTTATCATCTAAGCTGACTGATTTTGCAGGTTTTTCATATGTTCAGCGTACTACAGCAGACTAGTTAGTTATCTAGTGATGTAAGCTGTAAAGTTTGTTGCCCATTCAGAACCAACAAGACATGTGTCCCTGCTTGTACCTACAGTAGACAAAAAGTAGACATTGGCTGGAAAACTAATCTGTCTGGATGTGAAGCACGGTTTAAGATGGTAATTAAAGTCAAATTGTTATACCGTGGATGCTTGTGGATTTGCTTTCTTTTTTTTTTTTTCAGTGAGCAGATGGAGAAATTTTGTTCAATGTAAAATAGATTGTAATTGTAAATTGCAATGACACTGTGTGTGTGTGTGTGTGTGTGTGTGTGTGTGTGTGTGTGTGTGTGTGTGTGTGTGTTTATATTTATCAGGGACAAATTACAGGAAGAATCTGAATAGAAGACGGGAGAAACATCAAATGCAGATGCTTCCAAGCACCAGGGCTCACTGAATGGTTTGGTGAGTATGAAAATCATCTGAATAAAAGGCTACAGCCTGTATAGTTTCCAGATCTCAAGCCAGTGCCCTCCACCACCGTCTCCATAAGACCAAATTATATAATATAAACTTTCATCTTCAGATCTTTTTAGACAGTCTGTGACTGTCTCTGATGCTATAATGTGTGTCCTTTTGTTATGTTTGGCTACATTCTATCTGCTGTATTCAGGTCTCTCTTGATCTGAATGAGACTACCGGATCAAATAAAGGATGTATATATATATATTTAAATGAGAAATATCTTGTAGATGAATGGTGTTTATCCCTACAATACAGTTCCACAGACTTCCACAGAGCACCAAAGCTGTCCTGGAGGCTCATGGGGGCCAGGCTCCATATTAAGACGATTTATTTTTGGTTTTTCTTTTAATTTGTCACCTGTCTGTATATACAGTGGATAGAGAAAGTACACACCCCTGTTAAAATGCCAGGTTCTTATGATGTAAAATAATGAGACAAAGATAAATCATGAACTTTTTCCACCTTTAATGTGACCTATAATGTGAACAATTCAATAGAAAAACAAACTGAAATCTTCGAGGGAGAAAAAAAAAAAAAAACTCTCAAATAACCTGGTTGCATAAGTGTGCACACCCTCTTATAACTGGGATGTGGCTGTGTTCAGAATTAACCAATCACATTCAAACTCAGGTTAACTAGAAGTCATTACACACCTGCCATCATTTAAAGTGACTCTGATTAATCACAAATAAAGTTCAGTTGTTCTAGGAGGATTTTCCTGATATTTTCTTAGTTGCATCTCTGAGCAAAAGCCACGGTCCACAGAGAGAGACAGTCAGGAGACGGGAACAAAAGAATTTCCAAAGCATTAGATATACCACGGAACACAGTGAAGACAGTCATCATCAAGTGGAGAAAATATGGCACAACTGTGACTTTACAAAGAACTGGACGTCCCTCCAAAACTGATGAAAAGACGAAAAGAAAAGTGGTCAGGGAGGCTTCCAAGAGGCCTACAGCAACATTAAAGAAACTGCAGGAATTTCTGGCAAGTACATGTGACAACTATCTCCCGTATTCTTCATATGAATGGGCTATGGGGTAGGGTGGCAAGACGGAAGCCTTTTCTTACAAAGAAAAACCTCCAAGCAAGGCTGAAATTTGCAAAAACACAAACAAGTCCCCCAAAAGCATGAAAATTTCAAAAGGTATGTTTGGCGCAAAAACAACACTGCACATCACCCAAGGAACAGCATACCCACAGTGAAGCATGGTGGTGGCAGCATCATGCTTTGGGGCTGTTTTTCTTCAGCTGGAACCGGGGCCTTAGTCAGGGTGTAGAGTATTATGAACAGTTCCAAATACCAGGCAGTTTCGGCACAAAATCTTCAGGCGTCGGTTAGAAAGCTGAAGATGAAGAGGAAGTTCACCTTTCAGCACGACAACGACCCAAAGCACACATCCTAATCCACAAAAGCATGGCTTCACCAGAAGAAGATTAATGTTTTGGAATGGCCCAGCCAGAGCCCAGACCTGAATCCAACTGAACATCTGTGGGGTGATCTGAAGAGGGCTGTGCACAGGCGATGTCCTCGCAATCTGACAGATTTGGAGCGCTTTTGCAAAGAAGAGTGGGCAAATATTGCCACGTGAAGATGTGCCATGCTAATAGACTCCTACCCAAATAGACTGACTGCTGTAATGAAATCAAAAGGTGCTTCAACAAAGTATTAGTCTAAGGGTGTGCACACTTATGCAACCGGGTTATTTGAGGGGTTTTATTTTTCATTTTTCCCCCTCAAAGATTTCAGTTTGTTTTTCAATTGAATTGTTCACATTAAAGGTGGAAAAAGTTCTGACATGAAATCTTTGTCTCATTATTTTACATCATAAGAACTTGGCATTTTAACAGGGGTGTGTAGACTTTTTCTATCCTCTGTACATATATGTGGTATGGTGAAAGGAGCACTACAAGGTGTGTTTGTGTCTAATGTGTGTGTACTCACGTGGGGTCCTCTGTAGCAGTTTGGTGTTCCTCCAGTTCGTGGGCTTGTTTTAACCAGGGCACCTTGGCCTCCACTGGCAGGGATTCTGACAGAGACACAGAACATTAGCAGGGTTTTGACCATGAAACTCACACAATTGACACTTTTCACATGTCACACATCCATTTTCTCACACAGTGCAAAAACTAATTTATAACATTGTGGCACAAATCAACTCTGTCCAGCTAATACGATATCAGCATATGCTGGGACAGTATTCAAGTGGACTCTTTGCTGTGAGTCACAGACAGTTTATGACTAGAGTGGTAATGTTACTGGTAGAGTTTTGCAATACAAAAACCACTAACCAAAGCAAGTTTGATAAATTGATGTGTCATTGTTTAAAGGATGTCTTTAACTACCTCCAAAGGTAAAAGTTAGATATGGATACATGAAGGATAATATTTCTATATTGGATATTAAATTTAAGACAATGAGATGGTGGCTATACAATGTTTTTATACTTCAAAGTAGGGAGTAAAAAAGGTTTGTATTTTGAGTTACAGTGAGAAGGTATAATTGAAGAGTGATGACCCCGACCCTTGCAGTGGGTCAGGTCACATAGCCTTCTGATAAAATGCACCAACTAAAAAAAATGCAATTACTCACTCCAAACATAACCTAAAAGTTAGCAGCCCTGAATTCCTTACATCCCAGTCATTCCAATCTGACACCAGTGATCAGGGCCCAAATTTATCAAGCACCTCAGAATAGGAAATTGGTCCCAACTGGACCGAAGTAAAACAAACTGTTCCTACTTTTAGGCATAAAAAAGTTAAACCATCAAGATTCTTAACCTGGGGATGTCATCCTGTCCCCTGCAGGATTTAGAGCTTTCCTGGTAGGGGTTCTCAGCAGGAGGTGAGTGATAAAAATGAGTAGGCATGAACACAGTGCATATAATTTAGAGCATCTGATGGAAAATTACAACAACAAGCAAGATATTGCTTGGATTGATTGGTTTTATGCATGATATAATTGTCCCATCTACTTTAAGCTGATGATACACAGAGCAACTTTTAGAGATATGTTGCCATCAATGGTAATGAGTAAAGATTACTAGCGTGTAACTGTAAAGGTAGGGAGGTGGCTGAACCCTATATTTGACAGATGGCCCTCCCCAACAATATTAATGTTTTCGTCGGACCTTCCGCTTAACTAAGAAAAGTGTTTGCAAGTGGCTGTGGTATGGGATAATAGCCTCCATGTTAACCATTACAGTCATGGAACATACTAGGTCGGAGGGTAGGAACCATTCAATGCAAAGCGTAACATTACATTTAGTAATTAGTTACAACATTTGGCTAAATATCCATGGTCAACATGTTACCTTTCACTTTACAAGACGGAAGCATGTGTTGCTGAACTTGCGTTATTATTATAGTTGTGTTATACACGTGTTTCATAAGTATTTTATATTCTCAAATATGACATATTGGTTGTATTTGCAACATGTCAAAAAAGGCAAAGACAAAAAAGGTCGGTTGTCAGTTGTCCCAAAACAACATATAAAATGTTGGCAAGTACCAGTGACAGGCGTACCGGACCCTAATATGTTATGAAACGGTGGTACTTTGGTTAGGTTTACGCAACAAAACCCCTTGGTTAAGTTAGAAAAAGATTGTGGTTTGGGTCAAAATAAGTACATCATGTGACATAAGTCATCTACAAAACGTTTAACTAAAAACACATCATCTTTTACTTCATTTCACGCGGGACTTGAACCTCGGTCTCCTGGGTGAAAGTTTACTTAACACATACATCCATGCCACCACCTCCTTACACAGACTTTGTTGCTCGTTATTCTACGTCACCTGACTTCCTCTGCCATTAGAGGTCGCAGCCTATCAAAAGAAATGTAAATATGGGTCGAAATAAGCTGCTGCAATGGATTCATACGGACGCTTTTCTGGTCAGGATTGGCTGTGTATTGGCTGTTAGTTCATAGATGACAGGACTATAAATCAATCATAATTTCCACAGGATGGGAAGCTGATGCAAATTAAGCCTATTGTTTTTATGGTGAAGGTGGTTGACTGTGGGGATTAAGGACAACACATGAACACATACACACACACACACACACACACACCCTTTAGTTATGCACTCAGCGTGACTGGCAAAGAACCCTCAGTCACTACTGCAGTACCAGCCTACCAAATGATGCACTTGAAGAGTACACATGTGCACATAGAACCCATTATAAAACATACTAACACATTTTATATAATATTTGTGCTGTACAGTATATAAGACATATGTTAATAGGCTTTTATTTTAAACTGACCTTGGACATTGAACTGAATTGGACAGTACATATGTTTATGTAATGGTGCTATGTATTTTTTTTAGAGTGCAGATAATATTAGATTTCAAATGGGATGCCTAGATATTTTTCACTGGAAGTAATGTACTGGAAAAATGCAAAAGCCATATACAGTACCATATACAATAATGGTGAAAAAGTGAGGTGAACTAATGTAAGATTACTTTCATTAATAGCTTGTGCATTTATGCCATGTGTTAGCCTTCTGGCACTAGTAGATTCCTACCTCCTTCTTAAAATATAGAAAAAAATACATTGGAGATTTGTGAACTTTATACACCTGTCTATTTTAGTCTTTTGTCAATTAGTATCCTACCTCTGGGTTTGTGGCAGGCAATAGGGACCAGACAGTCTTCTTTAACGTGAGGTTTGAGGGAAGCTTCACAGCCTCCAATGTGCTGCCCACGATGGTCGATGCACAGAACCACCCGGTAACGCAGGCCACGGCCACAGGTCACTGTGCACTGCATTGGGATGGCAACACACACGTTACCACGCAAATTACACTGACATCAATCTAATCAAGTGTGTGGGGGCTGCAAATAACAGTTATTTTCGTTATCCCACCAGTTTGACAAGTCTACCGGTTGTGACCAGTTCAACCATCATTTTCATTTTAAAAAATAGGAAGAAAAATAAAAAAATATACATAACTTTGAGTATCACAAATATTTTTTCTGCTTTCCTTGCATGTTAATCATCTTCCTCAGATTTATTTAGTGCTGACCACCAGGTTGGGAAGCATTGGATTAATCTAACAATTATTTCAGAATAAGCAGATTAATGTTCATTAAACAAAAAAGCCAAAACCAGACATGATTAGCCAATTATCAAAACTGTTGCAGATTAATTTTCTGGCAATCGACTAATTGAAAATTGGTGAATTTTACACCAGCAAATAAAGCCCTTTGATGCTTGGGAGCCTGAGTTCAGATGAGTTCCCCCTTACTATTATAGATAGCTGGTGTGAACAGATACTTACTGACCTGAGACCACTCCATGGCCACCCACTGGGGGCAGATGAAGGTGTTACAAATCTGTCGGGTGATAGGTCGAGGGGAGTGGGTGCACTTCCACTCCTCCACCTGGGAGAACTGTCCCTGGGTGTCCTCCTCCACACACAGCACGCTGCGATCCTGCCAGCCGCCACCTTCACCACAGGACACCGAGCACTGGGTCCAGGGGCCCTGCTCCCAGCTGCTCACACACAGGACAGGGACCAAGCTCACATAATACTTTCTGAGGTCATTAAATGATGAACATTGTGTGATAACCGTACAAATTGCATCGTCATGATATGTCAGGGAGTTCATGTTATCTTTTCAAACTCTAAGGGCGTGTTGGGGGGGGGTGCAAGATAGAGACGTGAGGCAAAGATACTGCATGATGTGAAAGGGAAAGGTGTGCGCAGTGTTCTGAAAACAACTGGAAGATTTTTTTTATTTAGTTTGGGTGCTGATTTGGCCCACTTACTAACAAGGTCAGCAGTTGGGGGGTGCAGCAGTGACTGTGACACACAGCTCATGGAGGCAATTTAGGTACTTTAAAACCCTTAGCACTTAATCGCCTCAATTTGCATCAAAATCACACTCCTGCTCTGAATCACAACTCAAATCTGAAGACACAGACACGATACACACATTTTTAGATTCAGTGTGACTTACACATACGGAAGTTATAATTCTCATAATTAAACATTCATAAATTCAACTACAAATCATAGAAGAAAAATATTATTCTTGTATTTCCAGAACCTGCCTGAGAATCATCATGTTTTTAGATTTACTGGAGTGTCAAAATGATCCATATGCTGTTGTCCAAAGGCTAACTGTAGCTGTGGAGGATGCAGAGATGCTTTTGAATACTGATATTTAGGGCTGACCCCGAATAGTCGAAGATTCGATTCTTCGATGGGCGGAGCCTGATTTGACTGTCAATTTTACAGTTGAATCTTTGCAGCGGCGTTATGAAATAGGATCATACCATTTTAACTATAGGCCCATGGGGGTGCTCAACATCTCATTTTAGAGCTACCATTTTTTAATATACAGCCTCTCATAGTATAAATATAAAGATATAATGCTGTAAATAAAAATTTGAAAAGAACAAAGCTTTTAATAAATCTTTTTTAAGAGCGTGAATAAATACAATTTTTTAACTAACCCTAGCCACACGGCCCGCATGCAAAACTCTGCACAAGACCGGTAAACCGCAGACGAGCTCTGAGAAAATAATCAACAAAAAGCCTCAGTTTAGCTGGAAATGTACAGTGTAAGTTACAGTGAGTAATGATGATTCTCAAGATTGAAGCGTAGCTACCATGTATAACTTCGCCCCCGCCAACAAAAAACATGTGTTCGACTATGACTTGACAATTCTGATTCGACCATAGAAATCGTTAGTCGGGGACAGCCCTACTGATATTGTCATACAACAGATACTGACTGCAGCACTACAGCCCTGATACTTGTTGTAGGTTACTTTTAGGAAATTAAGCTTGGAATCATGTTTTTATATATATTTTTTATTTGCTTCCAAGTCTGGTTCACACAGCCTGTGACAGCCATTAAAAGAATTTTTCTTTTTATGTTAGGCTAAATATTATGAGCATATATTTTGGTATTCAAATTAAGTTTTGAATTGGTTGATTTTAACATTAAGTAGCATATGTTTCTCATATTATAGAGTCATGTCCCACCCCATCTTTTGCTATTTGGGCGCAGGTAATGTGGATGAGTTTTCCATCTGCCTTTAAATTTGAAAGAAATAACAATTTGACATTTATCATGTTAATTATCGATATCGAATGATATTGATATGATTGATATGTGATATGATTTTTTATCATGAGAACAGTTTTGGCCTTATTACCCAGCCCTAGTGTTTAGTGGATGGTAAGCATAGAAAAGGAATGTTGAATAAAGATACTTATGTTGATTTCAGCTCGAATGTGGGTGTTTTAATGGGAATAGGGATCTTTCAGATCAGTCTGAGAAGTACCTATGATCTCGTTCCACATTTTACTTTGTGTCATGTAATGTGGGGAGGCCCTGCGATGGATTGGCGAACGGTCCAGGGTGTACCCAGCTTTTAGCCCGATGGCAGCTGGGATTGGCTCCAGCTCCCCGCGACCCTGTATGCAGGATAAGCAGTTGACGATGGATGGATGGATGGATGGATGGATGGTAATGTGGGGAACTGGTCTTGGTCTTGGCTCGGTCTCGCCCTCTCTCGGTCTTGGTCTCAACTTGGTCTCAGTCCCTAAAAGTCTTGGTCTTGTCTCAGTCTGGAAAAACTCTAGTCTTGGTCTTGACTTGGTCTGGGTTTGGGCAGTCTTGACTACAACACTATTTACAGCATCTCTCACCAAGAGGGAAGTTTAATGACTTCAGATGACTTTACATAATTTTTACGTCTTCTTCTTCTGGTTACTTCAGGGTGCATCACTGGATGTATTCCAACCGGTATGCATATCATGGATTTCTGAACACTTTCTGCTTTCCAAACTGGAAATATATCAAATGACAGAAGAAAGCACTTATAAAATGAAGGATAGTAAGGGTTACTCACCGAGGCAGTGGTTGGAAGTGGTCATATGGCATCACCTCTTTGAATCCATCACTGGAGAAGACAAAATATCACACAACACTGTAAGTTTATGATATCCAGATAGCAGCCATAGAGGTCATAGGAATCTGATGAAAGCCTACAGAATATGATAAGAGTGCTTATTAACAGTAGTTCGGCCTTCAAGGTTATAATGAAGTCTTTTTAATGAGTGTAAAAAATGCTTTGCACTGCTGATTTAGCATTTATGTCCTTTAACCTATTGATCAAATCCTCCATTGATTCAGCCCTTCATAAAAGAAGCACTGAGATGTGCTAAGAAGAAAATCAGCTATTTCATACTTCATACCAGGTTTCTTGTTAGCAGTGGGCTCACACAAGCGGTTTTATTTTTAAATCATCAGGGACACAACCACTGTCAACTGGTTGTACATTCCCTTTTACAGCTTATATATCTATTTATATTTTGAAGCTAAATATTGTTGTTTTTCCAAGGCTGCTTTCTTGCTGTGGACCTTTAGAGGTGCAATAACATTTAGTGAACAATCAGACAGGTGTAGGCTTTGACTATGAAACGATATGCAGAACTTTGAGATGCTTCGCACATCAAAGATGCGTGTGCACAAGGAGGAGGGTTAGACAGTATGAATAACTGGTGATAAATGACAACAAATAAGACAGGATGGAGATCACCAAATTTAGTCATTATTTTGCAACCAAGATTCATAGAAAACAATAACATTTAAGTTTGCAGACAAAATGAAATAATTTAAAAAGAAAGTATTACTGTATAGAGAACTTTCTTTTTCACACACATGTTGTTTCAAGTGTATTAGTGCTGGGAACTAAAGATGGTGCATTAGTCTGAATCTTTAATATATTCTAAATATTTCAGTGCGGGATGTGCACGTTTCGGGTTGACAGACCTATGTATTATGATAACAGGATTATCAAATTTATGATAAAGTGTTAGTTATATGAAACAGTGCTAGGTGGATGGAGCTAGTAAGCCAGGTGGAGAATGCCAGTGGGAGTGAACAAAGTTTGCAGCTAGGTCACATGGACCCTGTGGACTGTGGTGAATGACATCTCTATTAAAAAATTATGCACGCTCCAAGAAGTAACAATGTTGAATCACCAATAATCAATGAAGGAGGAAATAAAGGCTTGAAAGTCTGGAACAGAGAGGGGATTTTACAGGCAAGTAACTGCTCGCAGCCAGATCATGAAGATGGGGTGAGTCATTGAGGGCGACGGTCAGCAAGAGAGACTGACAGCTTGGACACAGCAGTAGAGAGTGGAGGCAATGATAAGGGGCCATCAGACTTCGGGGACGATAGAAGGATATGGCAACACTGTGACAAGTAAGTAGGCAGTGACACAGGGGGATACCTAAAGTAGATTTGTAACGTGTTGCACACAGGAGGGTCTACTGGGAACAAGACTTGCAGGCACAGGCCCAAAGACTGGGCCTGCTGTTATGGATCAACCAAAGCAGTTTAGATAGCTGTGGTTTCCTCCCCGATGGTGATGTTGGTGGCGGTGATAGGACATGACAGCAGTAATATTATCCGCTATCCCCAATGGCTAGCTAGCTCCCATGCTAAAAACAAGCTGGGTTATGCTAGCAGCAAATCCACTTACAGCAGGCTATTTTGATTGGAAGACTTAAAACTTAAGATTTGAATGTCCGATGACTCAAATATTATACAATGTTAAAACATATAGTGAAAACAACCAGTTGTAGCGTAAAAATATGTCTTAAAACTGGATACAAATGTCAGTTTTTAAGAGAGCATCTGATGGATTTACAGAATAGATGGATGGGTTGAGGTGTAATGGTATCAAAATGTTCCTTAAGTTTTGGCTTTATATAATTTATAAAGATATAAAATAGAACTTCATGATCTCTACCTCTCTGGGCATGGGTCCATGTTGCACTCCTTCAGTTTTGGTGTGGGTTTGATATTTTCGGGATAGCTGTTACACTGGTGCTCAGGCAGGGTCTGGTTGGACCGGATGTCTGTGCACTCTGCAGAGTTCAGCTGATAGCCTGGGGGAAGAAAGCAGACCCAGACTATTTACCTTTATGTTAGTGGAGAAAGTTGCAGATATCAACAGATGAAGCTGGATATTCTACACTAGACTGACGGTCAGCTCACCTCCTCCACAGGTGACCGAGCAGGGGAAGAAGTCGGTCTCTCTCCACTGGTACCTGATTGGCTGGTAGAAGACAAACTGGACAACTGTGTCCTTGGAGCCTCCATACTTCATCTGTACAACGTGTAGGGTGAATGAATAGTGGAGAAGAACAGCATTAGTTGTGTAGTAACAAGTACCGTAGGGTGGAGGAGATTAGAGTACAGAATAGGGTTGCATTGGTTGCTGTTTGTTTTATAGCGATGCCTGATGGGGAAGTAGAATGTCGCAGATTAAAATTATCTGTGCTGTCACTCAGTAGGCTACCAGTTGTTATTTATTGAGGAAACAGTCCTGTTGGGCTTTGGATCTTATTGATGTAAAGTGATCAAGATGGTGATGATGTGATTATGAAGACTTTTAAATCTGTCCAGAGAACTGATACACTGTTCCTCAGGAACTTCGGCTGTCCCATGACCATAGCAAGGCACTAATGGAAAGTGAATGACCATTTCTCAATTTACGACAAGCCTGCAAGAGCATGAACAACAAAGGCTGAGATCCTACTCGGACAATCAGATACCTCCGTCTCTTAAAAGGACATCTCATGAGATTTGGTTTCCATCAAAAGGAACTCCAGACTCCTGTGACTCAGAGAAGACACCAATAAAAGTTAAGTGAAAATGGCCAATTTATGACTCTCACTAATCCATCCTCAGGAAGTCATCTGGACTTCAGCAATAACCCACACGGGGAACAAGGAACAATATACCAACTTTGCAATGCAGAGTCAAATGTACATTTATTGATATACCATGTTAAATTAATGTAATCTGAATAATGTGAAGTTATATTCCAACATGCTGAGTTTGATGCAGAAACTGAATTAACCAGAACTAGGTATTATGTCCACTAACACAGGAAGATTGGTGTGGTGTGTGCCTGGTCTGCGCTGCGTCTTCAACCTTCTTCTTTTTCCTTCTTCTCAGGAGAGAAGACATTCCTGTGATCCCAAGAATAAGGACAATGTATTAATACTGACATGTATGGATTGTATTTGACTCACTATACTATTATACTATATGTATGCATATATGTAGGGACATGTGTTTGTGTGTAATAATAATAACAGATAAAACATGCCATTTAAACCTGGAGTAAAACAGTCTAGTGCTTCGGCTTTATTGCAAAGTGGAACGCCTGCAGATCAACGGAATCCCGAGCCACACCGAAGACCTGATCTCCACTGAACCCTCAAAGGAAGAAACCCTGTTAACGCTCCTAAGCTGCCACTTCCAACGTAAAAAGAAACTGCTCCACTCTGTAACACCTGCGCCCTAACGATACCACTGTTAGGACCAGAACAAACTTTAGAACTAAGTCGTTGCGTTGCCATCAAAACCACGCCATGCGGGGTGTAAAGAACACCTCGCCATATATGTTGTTGTGTCACATATATACAATATACAATTCTGTAAAGTGTCCTTGGGTTTCATGAAGGCCGCTATATAAATGTAAGTTATTTATTATAATTATTATAATAATAATTATTATTATAATTATTTCTATACTTAGTAGAATTGAATTCACTGAATATCCTTTAAAAATGTAGAATGTTGTCAGAATGTGGTCCTTACTGCAACATAAAAGGGATTGTGAAACAAAACAGCCACTACAAATAGAAGGATTTCTATTCAAGTTAGTAGGCCTTTCCCAACAGTAATACTAGTGGTGCTGCTGGAAACAACCTCACAGTCTTATTTAAACAATCCCTGCATTGTTAAATATTATGCATCAGAAGCCAAAAGTCTTAAGGCTCTTGCTATAAACCTACGCTAGGCCTCTTTCCTTTGTTTCACCTTGATAATGTAATCAGCACTGAGTGGGCCACGTGTCCTGAGAGTCTGCCTGTCCGTCCCTCTGTGGAAGTCCAAGGAGGTGTTTCCTATCACATAGGAGCCTACAGATGCCAGACTGGTCTCCTCCTTCCTCCCCTGAAGAGAGATAGCTTCGATAACTGAGGGAGAGACAGAGCAAGAGGAATGTTTATTAATGATCTTTCAAAAATAACTTCATATTTTAACTTAATAAAGGGCCGAAATGTGAGGGGACCCTACTGAAATGGAAGGAATTATTATTATTATTAGGTCCCAAGCACAAAACATTCCTTTTTGTCATTGAGGAAATCCTTAATACCTGGATAATGCTATTTTATGAAGCAGTGACAGGAAGTCAGCGGCTCCCGTCAGTACAAGAAGAAGACTAAGAAGAGCAGTATATAATAGTGTATTTCACTTGCATATGCCTAAAAATAGGTAAAATGATTGACAATGTGCGAGAAAAGACTACAAACTAGTTATTTTCCCCCATGAATGGTTATGATTATTGACAAGTTATATACCAAGACTGTCCTTCTTGCACAAGGATTTAATGAATAAAACAACCCAGAAAAATGGAACAGCTGCAACTGGAAACAGAATCATGAAACAGAAAGTTGTTGTAACCTCACTGTACTAGTGTTACTTTCGTCAGACGAAATTAAACCAAATATATTCGTCAATGACCTTTTTTTCCCTGACTAAAAGGAGATGATGACGAGACAGCGACAACGTCCTTAAACACTGACTGTGACTTTATTAACATGCAATGTTGTTGACGAAAATGACGAGACTAAAATGTAATTCATAAAATAAAATCTCTCTTTCTTTTTGTCAGTATAATGAGGAGACAAAGGAGACGTTTTTGTCTTCCTTTGCTTTGCATGCTGGCCGACCGGGGCGACACCTGGTGCGCGAGGAAATCGTTACTGTAAATACAGTGAGGCGGACAAAAAAACAGTGCCCAATTATAGCGGACGGCAAGCAATGTGACTTGCCGTCTGATAGATTGTCAGATTTCTGGAAAAAACACAACAAACTTAAGGCTAAACACCCGGGAACTGAGGTAAGTTAATGTCTCCTTTGCTATAAAAATTAGAACAAAGCTAACATTCAAATTTTAGAAAACAATTTATCCATATGTGAGATGAGTGAAATAAAGACTAAAATGATAAATATCTCTATTTTGGTTCGAGCAGATTAACCAAAATTATATTAATGAGTTAGAAAAGACTAAAATTATGGTTAATGACTAAAACTAGAAAAAAAAACTAAAACTAAAACTTGAGTAAAAAAATAGTATACAGTGGACTAAACATGACAAAAACTAACAAGGACATTTGTCACAGGACTAAGACTAAATTTTAAAATGTCTGACAAAATTAACACTGAAAACTTTACATGTTTGACAATTGACTCTACATGCCAATATTCAATAATTGTCATAGCGCCACTTACTGGTAACAGTAAATGACAAGTTTTATGCTGTGATGTACTACTCTTAGCAGGTTGAACAGGTCCACATAAAAACTGTCTCAGAAAAGCCAATGGTGATGCTATCTTGAAGTTTGTGAGTTTTCGTTGTGTCCATGGCGTGATGTCAAATTTCGTTAGCGTCTTACTTTAACAAACCCTACCTAGAGAATTAATCCAAAATGTTTGAGGCGCACATTGGTGATGAAAAAAAAAAGTTCTTCTTGATGGGCGTGTCCGTGGCGTGGGATCTTTGTAACTTCAGTTTACATTGTCAAATCTTCCCCAAACTGTACATGTTTGTTAAGATTCCAGGCCTCAGGACATCTACATGATAATTAGGACTCATGGTCTTTGCACCACCTGCTGGCAACAGGAAGTAAAGTGTGACGATCATCATTTAATTTACAAGCAGTTTTTCCAGTGTGGTCTACAATTGAGATCCTGGTATGTAACATAATAATTGAATGTTCTCTAGCGCCACATGAAGGGGACACAGGAAATGACGTTTAACTCCTTCGTATGCCATCCAAGACGCATGATAATTCAGAGCCTCGTTGACTGGCTGTCATAGTGCCACCTACTGGCAACAGCCCCAGGACTACGCTTCACCTACATGGAGGAAATGTTTGCGGCAGATGTAGTATCACCCCAAGACAAACAAAAAAGCCTACTGTAATCATACTCTAAACATAACAGGTAGTCAGCCATTTTTAAATGAAAGTACAAATTTAGGGCATTTTTTTGCTATTTACAGGCTCCATACTTTAACAAATTCCTCCTACAGCACACTCAAATCGACTTAAAATTTTCACAGTACAATTTAAAGTCCTTCTCGATGAAATGTTGTGCTGAGTTTTTATTGAAGCCTCTTGTGACAGTCATTTGATTTATGATTTATGTGCACACTGTGTGTCATGCACATTTTTTATGTATACTGGGACAAAATTGTGTAATTAGCAGGTGTTCTATAGCGCTACTTAGAGGACACAGGAAGTGATGTTTAACTCTTTCACACAGCATCCAAAATGCTTGCAAATTCAGAGCCCACCCTATGTGCGTGAAGTGCGGGTGGCTGTTCATTGCTGCTTGCAGCTTTAATTTTAACATATTACCAACAGGGAATTGCATAAAACATGACGAGCAAACCAGAGGAGGCTGGGTGTGAAACGTGTTGTATGCTCCAAAAAAAAAGTTCTAATACAGAATTAAAGCTTCTAACTTGAGATCTGTTGTGCGGTGGGATTTCAATTTACACAACAGTAAATTCAGATAACACTGTTCCTTGAGAAGTGATACCATCAGACAAGGCAGGGCAAACCAGATAATATGTGCACAACTCAACAAAAATCAATAAATCAAGACAAGGACGACAAGGATAAAAAGCAAAGAGTAGAATGGAAAAAGTAATACAATAGAGAAAAAAGTGGTACAGGTCACATCTTTGGCTAGCTCTTTGGGATTTTATAGGGGAGGTTTCAGTAGATACAGTGAAGATGTACAGATGAAAAGACTAGACAGGAGCATTTCTGAATCCAGAACAGCAGTCCATCTTCCAGTACCCTAACCCCTACTCCCTGCAGGTATGAACTACTGGAATTCCCTAGCTGCACCTTCTGTTGCACAGTGAGTGGTTGGAAGGCATTTTTCCAAAATGAGAACTTTAGGCTGTTAAGGCTTAGCTAAATTGCAAAAGCTACTTGTCTTTGCACGCTGGCATACTCTGCCATGAAGCTTCTTCTTATAACACTAAAAACACTCTAACACTACTGGCAGGGAGATGGACTGACAATAGTTTCCAGTGTCACAGTTTTTATTTACTCCAAATAACGTCTGGCGCCCCAACAACTTTTAGAAGGCACTTCTTCATCCACTCCCAGGATGAGTTTCCTAGCTTTTTGTTTTGTTGTTTGGCTTTGGGCAACAGATCATTCTAGTCTGTACCAACAGAGTGATAATGATTGCACTTTGTGGTGCATGAGTCTGAATTCAGGGGACAGTAAGATAACAGCAAATGATGCATCCATCCTGTGTCCTCTAGTCATGAGAAATCTGAAAGCAAACCAAAAGGCCATGCTGTGAGGTACTGTAATGTTACTATAAACTGTAATCCATGATAAAAAATGAGACTGGTGAAATTATAGTATGGTGGGGAAACCCCAGATCATGTCTTTTTTAAGCTGACATGTGGGTAAACAAATATTGGATAGGTAGCTGTCCTTTCTGCTAGAGCTAATGCGTTTCAGATGGTGCAAGACAAAGCATCAGCCATTGCTCATGTTGCATTTCTTCTTCTACTTTTCTCTATTTAGACATTTCACTTGAAGAATTATAAATATTTTCCATATAAAAGAAAAAAAGGAAGACAAATCTCTTATTTTTGACATTAATTATAACCTTTTTCCCCAAAGCTTTCACAACTTGAAACAAGTAACAATCATTTAGCCTTGCCATATCATGAAAAACATTTTTTTTTGAATTTCAGAGCCAATTTGATTTACTCTCTCCCTTCTGCTTCTCTCCCTAGTGGTTCCCATCCACCACACTCATCTCCTGGTAGTTGATGAATGATCTGCTACAGTATTTCTTAGGTCAGTCCTCGATTCTAAAACATCTGACAAAGCACAAATCCAGTAAAACTTGCAGCTCTTAGGGGTATTACACTGTCAGAACTGAGTATACTAGCAGGATATGGCTTGTGGAAATATTTTTTCCCGTACACATTCTCATACATCACATGCTTTTGGGAGCTCAGTGTCTTTTTCAAGGACACTCTGACACTTTGACAGAGTAGCTAGGAACTGAAGCACCAAATAGTGGTCTTCACAGGTCTTTTTAGCACTGAGGAACGAAGACCAAACCTGGGACCCGAGTTGGACATGGTCCAAATAATGCTCTGTCTAATTGGGTCTGGAAGGATCTTCTTTCACTGCCACAGATCTCTGGTCTATAGTGTGTGCATAGTGTGGTGTAGCAAATATGCGGTCGAGAGAGAGAACGTGAGGGTGACAGTGTAGTTGTGCTCAGAGAAGGCAGGTGCTGGCATTCTGAGCATAGTGAAGTTAGTAGTAAAACTGTGAATATAGCAGTAAATGTACAGATTGAACTACAATTACTATATAAATGCTACAGCCCCTCAAGACCCAAGCCATTTAGTCAGAATAAGATTATATGTACTCAGAATATTGACTGAACTGTAGTCGCTCACCTATCATGTCAGGTCCTTTGGCATTGAGTCTAAGAAAGCGGCTTCCCAACGGCACCTCAAGCACCGTCTTTAGAGCTGCAGGTAGACACAAAGTTGGAAAAGTTAATTTCAACATGCAGTACGGTACAATAAACAGAGGGGTGGCAGAGTGAACACCTACAGTATGGAGCAACATGTTAGACAGCATTCTTCACCTACATCACCAAAACACACAAAATATCATAAATAACAGACACAGAGACAGAGCCACACAGTGTCGACATATGGCAGTGCCATCTTTCTCTAACAGTCCCCTACTGAGTTGCAGAAACTTGTAGCCCTGAGAGTCAAATTGCTAATTTGTCATTTTGAGGTTGGGGCTGCAACTTTACTTAGCTGTGAACATAGTGGGGCATTAGCAGCTTAAAGTTGTCCTGTTGAGTTTTCTTGTCACCGAAATGCTTTGTGTGTATCCTTGAGCTCTAAAAAATGTGTCATTCGTCATAAAACCTTTGGTAAGTTATTAAATGTTTTCAATCCAGCTTTTTTACTTGCTAGCAGTCTTCTTCTTCTTCTTTGCTGGTACATTGCAGCATTTCTTGCTTGCCCTGTACCACCTTTTGTTCAGCTGAATAGTTTAAAACTATTGGCAGGACTGTTTATCAAGACACCCGTGTGCGTGTGCGTGTGCATGCGTAGGTGACTCGATACATCTGGGCATTTTAAAACTAATTAAGTACTATTCTTTAAGACCAATTGATTAACAAAATCACTGATCACTGGGGTGACAACATTTCAGTGCCACAGTTGACAGATTGTTTTTTTCCCCCATTGATTTGTTTGTGACCATTTGGGCAGTTCCACCACAATGAAAATAAGTCTCCATTTCAATGCACGTCCACTCCTCTGCTCCAGTTACTATGATGGAGACTAACAGGGCAGTTTGGTAGGCTTGACATAACAGATGACTGGTGATCGATAAATGCCATCTCAACGATGCTAAAATTACTCTGTTTAACCAATGAATCTGTTCATTTACGTTATGACTTGTTATGTTTAATGTCACATGATCCAATAGAACACCGGAAATGACGCTCTCTTCTTGCAATTAGATTTGCCCATAGCACAGAGAAGGGAGGCCTGGATGGGCCAAAATCCTTCCAAACAGCACATTGCAAACCCAATGGCCATCAGTGACATGGGAATAAAAGTCTGCGAAAAAAACATTTGACTCAGACTGGCCTAACAAAACCCACCTTTAGACACGCTACCACCCCTATGGCAGTTGTCAACAGAGATTAGATTGTTTTAAATGAACTATGATAATTTGTAGAATTATACATGAAATCTGAGGCAGAATCAGTGACACCTTTTAAATCACGTCACAAAATCTATAAAATACGCTAGCACATCCAACATGTGTTCTCTGTTTTATGATTAGAATAGTTTTTTATTGTTTTCACATTTTTACATTATTATTGAATATTTTATTCCATTTCAATATGTATCTTTTTTTATTGTCGGATTTTATTTGCCCCCTTTGTGGTCCTGGGGGATCTATGCAACTACAGCTTCACCACCCCCTTTCATACCATATCATCACAATGGGGAAGACTTTTCACATTTGTCATATTCAAAACATTGTTATTGTTCAACAGTGTATAAGACACATGTCTGTGGTGTGGGAGACCGGGGTTCGACTGCAACACATCCACCAATGTGCCCCTTAACGTCCACTGTGTAATATTTCTGAGGATCTACTAACTATGTTTTTACTATTAACTATGTTTTCAGTGGTGTATAAAGACCTTACATGATGAACCGTTGTGTTTTTCTAACCTTAGAATGAGACATTTCTATCTACATAACCGCGGGTCCCCCCTTACATGGACATTGACATGTTGCGCCGCCATGTTTCTACAGTAGCCCAAAACAGACAAATCACGCTACAGAGTACGTTTCGTCACTACGTTGTTGTTCTTCTTGTAGAATTCTGGCAGTGTAAACGCTCATCACTACGTTGAATACGTACTAACAAAGAAGAAGTAATAATATACAGCAGGGGTCGGCAAATAAGTTTTGCATCGGAGCATTTTTTTTATCCATTAGATGGTGGGTGAGAAAATAAGGCAACCCTGTTATTCCAAGATGGTGCCCAGGGTTTGGAGTAGTATTTCCTAGCGAGTTTATGCGATCAGACCTACAAAAACTGCAAAGGTAAGACACAGTTCATAGTTGTAAATGTGTAGATGTAAGTTTTGGTCTGTGCGGTCTCAGTATTCATTTAAGAGGTAATTTGTATGGATCGCATGACATGAGAGATACAGGACTCACCTCAAACATACAACAAACTCCTACCCAGTCCCTGCTGTAACACCTACTGTACGCTGTTCACAGGTTGCAGTGGCCTAACGTAAATACAGCTACATTTAAATCACAGAGTACTTTGGTTAATTATCATATTAGAATTTCTGATGAGACCAGAGCAGAAAACTGAGCTGAATAACATTTTACTGCTTACTAAACCAAAACAAACTCATTGCTGTTGTCTTCTGTCAAGTGCCTCGGCTGCTGGCCTTGGCTGGTGTTGACTGGATTCAGTGGGCTGCGGCCTGAACGGAAGACGGGCAATCATGACACCGTACCACGGAAGAACTAAAGTGGAAATATTTTGGATTGGATTATTTAATCTACTTTGTGATATAAAAAGAAGATCCGCCTTATTTCTTGACCCAAAACTGTTACATTTTGGGGAGTGTATGTAAACTATAGCATAGTCTAAGGAGTATGTTTTGCAGCTACGTGCTTAGGCTCCATAGCTATTCATAGCCATACTATAACCCCTTGACACACAACCATAAATGCTGCTTTAAGTTAAGGCTAAATGTCAAGTTGGAAGCAAATAGGCACTAACATGAAGATGTGACTAGAAAAGTCAAAAATCCCTTTCAGCTGCAATTACATTACATATATTTACATATACAGCATTTTGTCTCAAATCTTCTTCCTCCACCGCATAGAGAGAGCACAGCCTGTGTATGACTCATACTGAAATCCCTAAGATAAAAAAAATCTCCTTCATTGCCTGCTTGTGGTAATGGCCTCTCACTTTTTCAAGAGCACTGACTGAAAGAGTCCAGCACACAGCACACAGTCTACCATCCCTAAATCTGCCTGCTTTTCAACTTCACAGGAGCACTGATCAACTCTAAATAACATCCATGTGTCCAGTCAAACATCTGTGAGCCTTGCTAACAAGTCAATCAAACTCCTGAAAGTAGTTACTGCTCTGAAAGGTTTTTCTGTTTTTCAGGCTGCAAGAATACCTCCTGACTTTTCACACTAGTGGTGTACCTCTCTCTCTATGGTTAAGCAAGAAATAAACAAATGAAGTGTAAATTCTATTTTCCACATTTGATGAGACTTACTTCTGGCAACAATTGAGCATTGAGCTCAAATAATTAAGCTGCTCTGGCTGCCAGCCAGGGGGGTTTTGCCCTCTAATATAATTATGCTTGGAAACTGTATCTGCAATGTCCTAAATTTGCAGGAGCAATGAAATAAATTCAGCTGCAGCAATTAGCTTTTTTTTTTTTCTTAGATTAAACGTAAAGCCCAGTCATTTTTTAAAAAGACCTTCAAAATAAATAATGGAAATGGAACGTATATAACAAGCTCTTAACTCATTTAACATGAGTTTGTTGGACCCATAAATGCAGGCTTTAGGCAATACTGAAGCAAATTCATATTCCAAAAGCAATGACTGATAAATAGTAGTTATGAATAATGGATTTGGAGGAACAAAGGTGATACTGTGTGTCTGTAATGGTAAATAAGCTCACTAACCAAGGTAAGACTAAATGGTCGTGATTGATTTACTGAATCAGCTTGCCTCTTTTGGCACATTAACGCTAAGGGCAAGGAAGAGAGAACATGAGAGACTGAAACTTTTAAACTGAATGGAAAACGTACAAATGGTTCTGACAGGTAGCCTCTCTGGCCAGAGGAAACTTTGACACTCATTTAAAGACAACCACAGTGTTACAAGTTCCCCACTGGCCTCTTGATAAAAGAAGTGTTGCACTCAAAGGAGACCTATAATTCTGCTTTTCCAGTCCTATATTGTAGTTCTGTGACTCCTGTATGGCAGCTCTGCATGATTCAAAGCTCAAAAAAAAAAAATTGCTGTCTTATACTGACTCTTGTGTCATGTAGGCCTTCATTTCAGCCTCTGTCTGAAACAAGCTGTAAATGCTTCTGTCTCTTTTAGCCCAGTTCAAAACAGAGCGTTCAGAACAGGAGGAAATCTGAGGTTTTGGCTCACCGGGATTTCTTTTAAACACATGAACATCCAACATTGTAACATTGTAGAAAAGTCATAAAATGTGGAAAGGCATAATAGGTCTCCTTTAACAGTGCCAACCATTCTCAGAAACACACAGTGTGTATTCAGAGAATACACAGTAATATACTGACACATAGTTTTTAAGTAAAGAAGCGGTTTCTATAAACAACATGTGAAGCTTCCTTTATTTTTATCGACACTAGCGTGGCTCCAGGGTTGTCAATGTTGGTCAGTTGATCAAAAAGATTCCTTCAGGCCTCCCTTCAAAGCCACTCCCCCAAAACATATATTCATGCTGAATGAGTGCACAAAGGTAGGCAGGTAGGTAGATATGGAGATATCTGTTCAACTACTATAAAAAAGGATATATATATCTGTTGCAAATTAACCCATGAAGTGTTTTGACCCCTTAAGATCAAGATATTGGAGCTATATGTCCACACTTTTTGTGCCAAACGTGCATCTTCAACTTCAGTGTTTCCTAAATGTTCAGACTTAATCATGGAAGGTTAAGACATGTCTCCATGTTTTACATTTCTTTCAGTTTATTTCACTGATATTACATGTCCTACAGAACAGTACTGGCACACCCCTGATGTTCTCCCCAACATATTAAAACCCAAAGAAATATTAAATGGTCACTGGCTGTGATTTATAATACCAGTCTTTTTCAGGGAATCCAGTCATTTCCATTTCCACTCCCCGAGGCATGCCAAAGCAACTTAATTTGAAACATTTTATACAAAACTCCAGCATGAAAGCCAATAACTCAGACGGAATGATCAATGCTGAGCCAGTTTTGTTGTGCTAAATCTAAGATGGATGCTGATTAAAACTCCTTTCCAAACACACATTTTCTGCTTGTCTCATTCTATTATGCAGTGTTTTTGGATTTAACCGACTCCAAGCAAACATGGACAAATCTCATGACGAGACCAGGATTGACCAAAACACAGTTATGTATTGAACTGAACTGGACTGAATCTCTGGGTTTAGGAAAACCTGCTAGAAGAAAAGTCATTGATGTGTGAATGGTGTATCTCCATCTGCTAGTGTGTACGTTGTAGGCAGATGGCATTTTAATAGTAGAAAGAGAGGGGGATGACCGAGGAGCAGGCCAAAGCTGTTGGCTGTGGCTCTTGAAGGCATGTGACAAACTCAGCAAGTACTCCCTAGTCCCAGCAGGCAGATATCCAGCTTTGCCCATAGAGCCTGGCTGGGAGGAAGGCTGGGCAGAGATACAGTACATATTTTGTTTACAGTTATGAAACTAGCAGAGAGCTATTAGGCATGAGCTGAGGGTATATTACCTGGTTGTTACTTTGGATATTACATGGTATTACTTACTTATTACCTCTTTATTATCAATTACCCCACTATTACCATGTTATTACCGAGCTGTACTATAAAGTGCTACCGGATTTGCTTGGGGATACAGAAGAGGATTACATCATTGTGAGTCCAGCAGTCAGATACTTACATTGTTCTGGTGTTAGGTGGGGTATTGCTTGTCCTCGTACCAGCCGGCAGGTGGAGCCATCGCCACCACACACGCCGCAATTATCCTCCCTGGCACCGCTGGCCAGCTGGCGATCACAGCCCACCTCCTGCACACAGATCACAAATACATACTCAGAAAGAAATATGGGGATGACCAACCAAAAGACAAGAGAGCTGGATATACAGTACACTCATAGTAAGGCTGTTTCATCTGTTGCACTGATACAGTCAAGCCTCACAATGACATATGGTCATTGTTTGTTCAGTCTGTGATTTGGGAGAAAGCCCATTCTCAGCAGCCACAGTCAGACACTGTTAAACTCTCCACATGAAAAACTTGCCCATTCTTTGCAATCAGCGCAGATATCTGATAACTTCTACAGGTTACACTCTCTTGCACTGATGACGGCTGCAACACTGTTGATGTTGAGAGTAAGTTTAGCTACCAGGTCACTCCCTTGGTCCTCGCCAATGTAAAAAACAAGGGAATGTTTAGTTTTGTGATGATGACAGATAATAAATTCATTCGAAACCACCACTCTCTGTCTGCAAATGAGACAAACTGCTGTTAAAATTTATTCTGTAAAAAAATGTATTTTATAAATTTTCTTTTATCAGTGTGCCACTGACTCAATCACTCCATCTTGACTGGCTGACCCAAAGTCAGTGACACAAAATAAACACACAGAACATGAGGGGGAGCAGAATTCTTTTTAAATAAGACCAATCGAATTTTAATAGGGAAGCTTAACAGCACTGTGTTGTACATTTCTGACAAAAAAAGGAGCAGGAGCTTGTCAAATGCCATGGCGGGTAAAAACAAAGGGAGAATCACAATCACCAAATTTGGATGCCTTTCGCCATCATCACAATAAAAATCAAAAATTGTCCAATACTTTATGACTAAATACATGCAAAACTACCGGTGCTCCCATCAGCCTTATCTGTACTTTGTGTTTAGTGCTAACTGACCCTTCGCTAAGCCCCGCCCCCCTTAGTTACTGTTGCTAAGAACGACAAACTGTCAGCGCTGCCACTGTCTATTACAGCACTCCCTGGAGAAATATTGTCTAATTAGTTGGAAAAAGCGATCTCTGAAAGAAGCAGACAGTTTTGCAGTTGCATTATAGATATGAAGGTTGTGTTCAGGCTGTCCAGCTGACGTGAAAATAATGAAAGCTAGAAGCTAAAGCCTACCGATCACACAGTACAAGTGAACCACCGCATCCCCCGACGATTGAGACAAAAGACAACGATATTAAGGATCAACACTGTTCCTGTACAGCTGGGTAGGCCTCTGTTCATGTATTAAAAAGCAGAACAGTAGGACTTTATAACGTTACATTCAGTAGGAAGTTAGCTTGTGTTAGCTAACTAATATCACATTAGGAACAACCCACAGCCGACATTTTTCTGGATTTATTTAAGAGATTATAAAGAGAGTAAATTGTACGTCTCCTGTCAACCTCTCTTGGTAGCAACTGTAACTATTACAAGTGCTCCAGGAACAGCGTTTCACCATATCTTAGAAAAATATAGCCAAAAGAAAGCTAGAAAATGACTCTTTTTATATTACAGTCAATGGAGCACATGGAGTTCAGCTGGAGAGAGTCCTATACTGTGCTGTGATTGGCCAGCTGTGTATTCGGGGCGTGGCTTAGTGAAGAGTCAATTATCTAATGTTGGCATAATGACATGCTAAAGTAAGATAGTAAACTTAGTTTTATTGATTTATTAAAATATTGCAAAAAAACAAATCCAACAGGGCAAAAAAAAGCATCAGTGGTCAGACAATCACACAAACCAGCCAACAGTTTAGCCAGATTTGCCACTTGATGTCTTTAAACATCCCTGCTAAACACCAGCTTGTGGATACGGTCATTGTGATGATTTTAGCATTATAACCACTACTATACCAGCCACTAGCACTTTTACACTTTCTTCACCACAGCTGCTTAAAAAAAGGATAAAAAACAAAGCCTGGACTTTTATCCATCTATTTTTTTGTTTTCTTTACACAATGAGCATTACAGCCCGACAAAGCCGCTAGCATGGCTGTAGACTCTTGTTTTCTGATATTTTATAGACTAAATGACTAACAAATTAATTGAAAGAAATAATCCTAATTCATCATTAATCAAAAAGTGTTGTTGTAGCCAAAACAGTCATGTCTTGGAACCTTAAAATTGTATGAACATGAGTTTTTTTTGTGGAGGATCTATTCAAGTTGTTTTCCTCCCTGTAATCTTCCTCCCACAGCTCTATGTTAAAATTCAACTTGAACAACATGAATAAAAAACGTATAATCAGTTTCATCACAGTGTGTCATTTCAGGTCACAGGATGCTTATACACAGTCTCACGCAATACAAATGCATGACAAATTAAGTAAGATCCTAGCATTACTGTGTAGGCATTGTTTTCACAAACCCCATGAGATGCAATAGTCACAAATGTGAAATTAGAAATTTAATTAAATTTACATTTAAATTAGACATCCTAAGTTACACCTGAAAACACCAGTTTTAAACAATGTATAATTAAGAATCAGAAGAAAGGATTTTGAATTGATCCATGGTGAGCAATAAACGTTTCTCTTTTACTACAGGCTGCACAAAACAGTGACAATGTCATCCATGCATAAGCTATCCACCCTTATCGTTTGAATGGTCACAGGGGGCCTGGAGCTGATCCCAACATAAAAGATACTAAGATGAAAGATAATATGGCAGACCTAAATGGTCATAGTTATTATAGCCTCGCAGTGATGAAGTATAGTTTTAGAAAGCTACGGCCTCCAGTAAGACTCTTCTCACTAGAAAACAGTATGGGTAATGTGGTGAAATTATTTCAGAGAAGCCTGCAAGCTAGTTAAATTAAGTCAGCTAACTCAAGTTCACCACTACACTCACATGGCCTCTGACTGCAAGATCATTATCCCCACTCCCCACTGAGCTTGGTGGTTCCCTGAGGGGAATGGCTAAGTCAGAGCCTAGAGGCCAAATATCCATGGTGTACATATTCTAAATCCATAATAATGACTTCCATAGTTGTAGTGATTGACTTCCCCGAGCAAAAGGAGTTCATTCCTGTATTTTGGGATCCTGTTCAAGAATAATGGTAAAATGGAGTGTAAAATGGTGTGCCGTCATTAGAGGTAATGCTGGTGTTGTACCGGACCGTTGTTGTGAAGAAGGAACAAATCTGGAAGGCAAAGCTTGCGATTTACCATGTGATCTGTGTTCCAACCCTCACCTATGCTCATGAGCACGAGGTAGTCAGTCACCACAAGCGATCAGGGGAAAAGGGTTTCAGTCAGGGAGGTGACCAAGAACATTATGGTCACTCTGACCGAGCGCCAGTGTGTCTCAGTGGAGAGAGGAGAGCCTTCTCTGCAGCACTCCCCCAATCAGGCCTGTATAGTAGCATGGCCAGACGGAAGTCACTCCTCAGTAAAAGGCACATGATAGTCCGCCTGGAGTTTGCCAAAAGGCACCTAAAGGATTTTCAGACCATGAAAAACAAAATTCTCTGGTCTGACGAAACTGGCCTAAAAGGCAAGAATCATGTCTGAAAGAAACCAGGCACCGCTCATCGCCAGGATTGAGGAAAAGATGAATGCAACAAAGTACTGAGACATCCTTGATGAAAACCTGCTCCAGAGCACTCTAGACCTCAGACTGGGGCGAAGGCTCATCTTCCAATAGAACAATGACCCTAAGCACACAGCCAAGATAACAAAGGAGTGGCTACAGGACAACTCTGTGAATGTCGCTGAGTGGCCCAGCCAGAACCCAGACTTGAACCTGATTGAACAGATCTGAAAATGGCTGTTCAACCTGATGGAGCTTGAGAGGTCTTGCTACGAAAAATGGGCGAAAAAAGCCAAAAATAGGTGTGCCAAGCTTGTAGCATCATACTCGAAAAGACTTGAGGCTGTACTTAGTGCCAAAGGTGCCTCAACAAAGTATTGAGCAAAGGCTGTGAATACTTATGTACATGTGTTTTTTTCGTACACTATTTTTAATAAATTTGCAAAGATTTTAAATAAACTTCTTCCACGTTGTCATTATGCGGTATTGTTTGGAAAATAATGATTTTCATCCATTTTGGAATAAGGCTGCAACATAACAAAATGTGGAAAAAGTGAAGTGCTGTGAATACTTTCCAGATGAACTGTATATCTCATCTGGCTTGGGAGCGCTTCAGGATCCTCCAGGAGGAGCTAGAAACTTTTATGGGAAGAGGACATCTGGATGACCTTGCTTAGCCTGCTGCCACCGTGACCTGGCCCCAGATAAGCAGAAGAAAATTGAATGGATGTTTGTTAAAATAAAAATAAATATTAATTTCGACTTTTTCCACCCCAAAACATTGTTACACTTTACACCAGTTTAATGCTGCTCAGTACGTGCTATGAATTTGTTGTGCATATTTATATGTGACCAGTACCTTGTATTCCAAAAGTAATGTCTTTTTTTTATTTTTATTTGATTTAATTTACCACTGCTCTCGTGTACACATACTGACATGTAGATATACTGAGACTCTTGCTGAGTTCCTGTGACAGGCTGACAAAACAAAGTGACACACACACGGGACAGAGCATTACACAGCACTGCTCTCCTCCCCTTTACTCCCAGGAATGGTATTTATTTTCTCTTCTCCTTGTATACAGCTGGATTTCATCTTGCTGTGTGTGTATTATTAATCCATATACATGCACTAGAGGAAGGACTGGCCTCATTCCATCACTGACAAACTTCCTGCTATGGTATCACAGCGACCCAGCACCCCTTTCTGTACTGCTGCCTCCATCACTATGTGATGCCATTTCTTCCCTGCCATGGCAGATGCCCTCTTGCATGCCAGGGCTGTCAACAGCTGCTGTTTGAGTGCACATCTATCTCCCATTACTGTAGTGAAGTACCTGTGTGTATCAGGCCTGATTGTTGAAAGTGTTTTTCAGTTTAATGATTTACCAGAAGCAGCCTCAGTAAACTGAGTATCTCCTTAAAGTGCTTTTTAGTCTGGCAGATTCTGGCTCATCATTCAAAATTTCAAGCTAAGTTCAACATGAAGGGCTGAGTGAGGAAACGAAGTGGAGG